GCCTTCCTTCTCGCCAAGAAACGCCGACATTCCTGCCCTGGCTACAAAGCCACAGAGCCTCTGCAGTCATCCAACCTCACTCCCACACACACACACACACACACACACACACACACACACACACACACACACACACACACACACACACACACACACACACACACACAAACACACACACACACACACACACACGCAAAAAAATACACGCAGGCACACATACTACATACACACACACAGTCTCACAGACCACAAACACACACCTGCAAACACACCAACTGATACATACAGTACATTTACTGAAACATTGCATACAAACATACAAACTCGCTAACACACAACCAATATACCCACCCCAACACTTTCACACACATTCACACACACACACACACAGACACCCAGTCCTCCAACATATATGCTTCCTCAAAAAGCTCACCAGCTAGACGACCAATCCCTATCCCCCTCCCCTTCCCGCCAGCCCCTGTTCCCCGCTGAAATTACACAACACACACAGCAAATTAATGCGCCTCACTTCCTGTTGACCTCTGACCTTTCACTTCCTGCTACCTCCCCAAAAGCCCAATCTGAAAAAAAACCCAGACCCAGACAGAGGAGGGGGAACAGAAAAATGGAAAATAAGAGCTCCTCCTCTTTTCTCTCTCTTCTCTCTCTTCTCTTCTCTCTCGCTCTCTCTCTCTCTTTTGCCTCCATCTCCCTCGCTCTCTCCTTCCCTCTCGCCAGGGATACTTTGGTGACCATTAGTCTGCCACGTCAAGCCTGCTGCTAGTCCTCGCTCTGCCCCTCAGCGGGAATCCTCTCGCACTGAGGAGAGAGCCTTTGGACAGCGCTGTGACAACCTCCAGCGTCTCTCTGCTCCAATGGACTGCCATGGCCAGACAACAGGAGGCTACCTGAATGCAACATTTTCTCTCCTGGCAGAGGAGAGAGGGAGAGAGGAGAGGGAGACAGGGAGTTGGAGGGTGAAAAAGTGGAGGGGTTCAACTTGGTTGAGATACCAAAGAGACTAATCCACTGACCAGTGCTGACAGCAACTGGCAAAGGAGACTTCTTTCCCAAGAGATGCCACGAGGTGAAAGACAGAGAAAGGAGGAGAAGAGGAGATGGAGAGCGAGAGTCTATTGGCCAACCCATCCAGAACCCTCAAAATGGACTAGGTATCTCTTCTATCCTCTGTGTCTGTCCACTCTGTGTTAAGTGACTGTGAAGGAATGATGGGCTCTAGACTGATGTGCTTGTGGGAGGTGTTGTGTATAGATGTGTGTTTGAGAGAGTTGGATGGACATGGTTATGAAAAGTTGAGAATGAACCGCTATCTATGCTGACTGTGTGTTTCTACCGGTAAGTCTGTTATTGGTTTTGATTGGTTTCCTGACCGTAGTACTACAGATGGTTGCTGGTAAAGGAACAGTGTCAACACCAAACCAACTTTACTCTAAGACCAGAGTTCATTTTTGACTGATTAGTAGTGGAAAAGACAGATTGTAAATGTCGATTTTACCTCAACGCTTTAGATTAATGAGGGCATACAACCTCCAATCTGGTCAGCTAAGACACTGTCTGTGAATGTGTCTGTGTATGCAAGTTTTCCAAAAAAAAAAAGATTAATTTTAGAGACTATTGACACATCGCACAATTAAATATCCTCTCCTCTGTGACTCATGGCTTGGAATGTTTCTCTCTCTGCCTCTCTCTCTCTCTCTGCAGAACACAGGCATGAATGCTCAGGCTGCCAATCACAACCCATCACTCCTCAGCCTGACGCATCTCAGCATACTGCAGAATAGAGGGCGATAGAGTTCAATGCTCTCTATCTCGCTCTCTTCATCTCTATCTCTCTCTTCTCTACTCTCGTACTCTCTTCTCGTGTCTCTTCTTCTCTTCTCGCTCTGTTCATGTCTCTCTCTCTCTCTCTCTCTCTCTCTCTCTCTCTCTCTCTCTCTCTCTCTCTCTCTCTCAGCAAGACCCCTCCTCCTTTCTCCACTGGGCAGAAATCCCTCTTCTCTCCTGAGCCCACAGGTTCGGTCAAATAGTTATTTTGGATACAGTGCAGATATATGTGAGTATATGTGCATGTGTGTATGTTTGCGTGTGTTCAGTGTGTACGTGTGTGTGTGTGCATGTCTGTGCAGTGTGTGTTCAGTGCATGTGTGTCTGTGCAGTATGTGTGAGTGTTATATATATATATATATATATATATATATATATATATATATATATATATAGATATATATATAGATATATATATAGATATGTATATATAGATAGCTCCTTTACCCCCATCCCTCGTGGACCGGCAGCCCGCCCCGCCTGCCCAGTGTTCAGACTACCTGTTCAGGAACTAGTGGTTGTACAGTAGTCTGCACATTGGTTAGGCTGGGTGGGGAAGCACGAGAATCAGGACACTGAGAGACAGCTAACCAGTGGGTGACAGCAGCCACAAAGACCATGGCACCGCTCTGGGAAAGCCTGGCACAGTCGTAAATATCAGACCCACAGGCTCAGCCACAGAAGCAGGCCATGCCCAACTAAATGCCTGTCTAATACTGTTCTGTGCGTTCTGTTGTGTTGTGTTCCTCCATTGATGGGCAAATGTTTGTGGAGGTTCTTTGAGATGTTCTCTATTTTTTTTATGCACCTGATGTAAGAGTGAAGACTGATCATGTTGCTTTTTCCTCTAAACTGTCGAACATTCATATGGACATTATAATGTTTAATTCCGGTTCTAGCTATTGGTGATGTATTTTAGTTGATGACTAACTGTATGTCCTGAGAAGTTTAAATAAAGTTTTTTTGAAGACCAGCCTGGGCTTACTTGGTGTCTTTTTTGGGTTAAGATGTCTGCTATAAAGATTGAATGCAGAAACAGTTCTCTATTCCACACCTAGTGAGGTTTTGTAAATATTGTCATGAGCAAGAATTAAAACAGTAGATTTTAACGTTGAATAAGACTGTCCAGTCTATATATTTATTTTCTATGGTTGAATGGGAATCACTGGTATTGGTAATATATATACTCAAGATGACTTCTTCTACTGGAGTGGTTATATTTGTATGAAGAACCAAAATATTCCAACCACAGGAGGATGACTAAGACACAGCACACAGGAAGAGGAATGACCATAGAGTGTTAACCCAAAGCATTCCTGTTGCTCTACACTAAACTGAAGCTTACAATTAAGTCACTGCCTGAGCTACATAAAGAAGTGGTGGTTCTAACCTCAAGCTGACCAATGGGCAGACGACATCTAAAGTCACTGACATGAAGAAGGAAAATACTTTAACATATCTAAATGATGTCTATGCTTCTGTTTGCTTTTCCTACGATAGGCTTATGTCGCCTGTGAAAGTATATCAACTGTAACTGGCAACATTACATACTGTATGATGTCATGTGACAATTTAGTTTTTGGCTAGACTGACCTAAAAGAGAAGGGGGTTTACTTCTGTCTTTCTCGCTCTCTCTGTCTCTCTCTGTCTCTCACACACACAGAGTTGAGACTCATTCACACGGTATCCCGGCTCGCAGATTCAACCAGAGGAATGAAAACCACACAGCAACATGTTTCCACTTAACAGTCTGCTGTAGAGCACAACTGCTTTTTAGAAGATCCAGCGCCTGAGACAGACACACACACATTCATAGATGCACAAACACATACAAACCACAAATACGCACACACACATTCATAGAAATATGCACACACACACACACACACACACACACACACACACACACACAGGCGTACATACACACAACACACGTACACACACACAAACGGCACATAGCCACAAGCAGACAGATGTGCGCACACACACATGTTTTGGTGAGTGCTGTTGAGAGCGAGCGCCTCCTATTTCCCCCCAGGTTATTTACAGCTCAGATCTCCAGTTGAGACTCTTTTCCGGTAGCTTTACAGCAGGACCGGGCTGCAAGGAGACCCCCCCCCCCCCCCGAATATAGCATCCTTGAAAGCTCACATTATGTTCTGTGTGTGTGTGTGTGCATGTAAGGGTGTGTTTGTGATAGTGAGTAGTATTACATACATTCTTGTGGGAGCGAGTAAGACGTGTCACAACACTGAGCAACACTACATGGTAAGGATTAAGAGGGGATTGTGTGCATGCCTGCATTCTTGTGTGGGTGCTTGCCTTGACTGACTGAGAATGTGTGTGTGTGTGTGTGTGTGTGTGTGTGAGTGTGTGTATGTGCTTGCTTGTGTGTGTGTGTCTGTGCGCATGTGCAATATCTTATAAAATGAAGGGAGGATGGGGTCAAGGCTATGGTCCTGCTTCAGTAGTAGGCATTGTGCCCTGTGCTGCCAGAACAGGGCATGGGTTCACAAAGATGAGAAGCCAGCTAGTAAAATATGAAACAGGTTAATTTTTGTAAAGCTCTGTATGTGTGTCAGTGTGGATGTGTGGCTGATCCTTTGTATGTTAAAATTGACAAAGTCTATTCAACTCTGCTAAATAGTGTACTTTACATATACTAGGTTTGAGTGTGTATGGTGTTCATGTGTGGATGAGTGTGTGCGTGTGTGTGTACGTTAGCCAGTGTGTGTATACCCCAGAGTGTGCTTTAGTGTGTGACTGAGTGTATAAAAATGAAAACATGTCCACTTTGCTTGGACAAAGGCATGGAAATGTTTCTGTTCCCTGCTCATTAAGCCACACTAGTCTCTCCTCTGAGCTGGAGCAGCGGTGCTATATTAGTTCTGAGTCCTCGTGCTCCGAGAGACTGCCACTTTCAAATAAATACATGTGGGGCAATGCCGACGGGACGGGAGGGGACGCGGTTCCTGCCCTCTACGTGTGTTCGTTATTTGTGACAGGGCTCTGGGGATAGGGGAAAAGAGGGAGAGAGGGAGTGAGTTGACAGAGACTTTTGTTCAGCAAGAGATGAAAGGAAGATCCCTCGCTTTTCTCTTTCTCTCTCTCTCCATCCCACATGGTCCTTGTTACTGTGGCCCTAACCAGCTAACCAGACACACTCCTCCCCTCCCTCTTCTCCTTTGCACCCAATCCCCTTTCTCTTCCCCTTTCCCCGTCCTCTCTAGCACCCTTTGAAATAAAATATGTTTATGAGAAGCAGCCCTGGTCTAAGTCTTGAAGGGGAACATGCAGGCCAGCCCTAACAGTGTGTTGTGTTGTGTTGTGTGTGTGTGTGTGTGTGTGTGTGTGTGTGTGTGTGTGTGTGTGTGTGTGTGTGTGTGTGTGTGTGTGTGTGTGTGTGTGTGTGTGTGTGTGTGTGTGTGCGTGTGTGCGTGCGTGCGTGAGTGAGTGTGTGTGTGCACATGTGTGTAATTGGGAACACACACTCAGGGCAGGGCTCTGGTATGCACATGTGGGTGCCAGCTTTGGTGTCTGACATGCTGGGGGGCCCTGTTTCACTTTGAACAGACTTCTCTCCCACTACACCCTACAATCCCCCCCCCCCCCCCCCCCCCCCACACACACACACACACACACACACACACACACACAAACTTCCCTTCACCCATCTCATCATGTTAAAGAACAGACTCTCTGATATGTAGAAAAAATAAGGTCACACTTTAATTGGATAGTCCAGATTTTCCAACTGTAGATGCTCTACAGATGGTCATACTATCAACAAACTATCTGTTGATAAGCAACTGCTGGCTAAGGTTACTGTTACGTTTAGGGTAAGGTTTAGAATAAGGGTTAGGGTAAGGGTTAAGGTTAGGGTTAGGATAAGGATTAAGGTTAGGATTAGTAGATAGTTAGTTGAAATGTTACTTTGTTTGTAGATAGTCTGTAGAGTATCTACAGATGGACTACCCAAATAAAGTGTTACCCTAATTATCATATAAGCACACATGCACACACACAGTGATGTCAGTCAGTCAGTGGAGCGGCTGTAGCTAGGGCATGGAGACGACCAGACTGTGGCTAACTCTAACTCTTAATAAAGCTGCAAAGGATTCTGGGAGTGTCTTTAACCAATCTGACCTGGTTAAACCTTGTCAGGTTCTATTATCAAGACATGGCATTTTAAACACAACCACCAAACTACACCAGCACAATTTACTGGGAAGAAACTATGGAAAAGAAACGTTGAATCTCCTTGGCAGAACGTCTCGAAGTAAAACATCCATAAAGTATCCAACAGAAATAATTCCATTACTGGTTTTGGAAAAAACAACCCATAGTCACACATGAAAGAGTTGTTGTTAAAATGAGACACATGGTTGTTGTGATGTGTCGTGTGCAGGCGCCGATAGCTCAATGAGAGCAGTAAAGACCAGCATTTTAGTAGTCTTCTTTTGTCATTCATCCAACACAATATAGCCAATGAAAATATATTTAATAAGTCATTTTATGAGAAACCTGTATATGTGAGGTCCTTCTGAAAATTGTGACAGAATCGGGAAATAAGCAAATGAGGTACCTGCATAAAATCTCTCTAGTATGAAATCTTTGCTTTTAAATCCAGTGTGTATGCGTGTGAGTGTGTGTGTACAACCAAAGACTCACCTCATCGTCCTTGTACCAGGACAGGGACTCAGCGGTCAGGACGAACCAGTACTCCTTTGCTCCACCCTTCATGATGCCAATGTTGTTGATGGTTAGCCAGCCCTTCCTGATCACCTGAGAGTGAGAAGGATGGAGGGAGAGAGAGGGGGAGAGAGGGAAAAAAAACGGATTCAGAAAGGCAGACATACACAGAGCTAGCCTTCTCTATCCCCTCGCAACAGCACTTCATCCATCATGACATTGTGTTAGTCTGTGTATGGCATGTGTGGTATCCCATCTCACTACTGCTCCTAGTGGACATTGGGAGTCACTATTTATTTTATTTTATTTAACCTTTATTTAACTAGGCAAGTCAGTTAAGAATAAATTCTTATTTACAATGACGGCCTACCTCGGCCAAACCCGGACGACGCTGGGCCAATTGTGTGCCACCTATGGAACTCCCAATCACGTCCGGATTGTGATACAGCCTGGAATCGAACCAGGGTCTGTAGTGACGCCTCTAGCACTGAGATGCAGTGCCTTAGACTGCTGCGCCACTCGGGAGCCCAAATGGGACCAGATCAATGGGCCTATCTACTAGCATCTAAACACAACTATCATTGTGATTATATCAGTGTCTCTCCCACAACATAAACATAGAATGCATATTGTGCCTCTGTATTTACCTTAAACCGATCATTAACCGCTCCTCTCTCCGGCTGAATGGGGATGTGGAGAGAACATTACACAACTATGCCATGTACGGAGCACAGAGCATTGGCCATTCGTAATGCACAGGGGCAGGCAGCACACTGGCATATTGGTACATTGGCACACTGGCTGGATAGAGTGGGGTACAGCGAGGGAAGGCAGGCAGGGACAAAGGCGGACAAAGAGCTATATGGGGTTGTAGGGCCGCTTTCAAACCAAAACGCATGCAGAGCATATGCTGATGCATCTTTGTGTCGTAGTTGCCCACGAATGCGTCGTTGTGGGGTGTGGTGGGGTGGAAATAATGATCAGTTGGTTATTAACTGACGGATGCCTAGTCATGTGTCATGTCTTGATCTGTTTTCTCAAACTTTTCTGTTGGACAGCACAACCAACTGCTTAGTTGCCCCTTAGTTGCCCCACCAAGGCATTGTTAGTCATTATATTGCATCATAATGTTTGGTTTGAATGCCCTAGATGGGTAGAAAGGGAGGTCAAAGAAAGATACCAGGGGAGGCTGTTAGTCAAAGCGGCTGGGGGAGGGCAGAACTAAACGTAGCCAGCTAAACAGGAAACAGTGAGGGCCAATGTGTTTACACTGTCCCTATGCCCTTTGACCCCCCGCCTGGGCGGTCACTATGGCAACTGACAGGGTGTGCCTCTAGAGGTGATGTATCTATCTGTTCTGCACTGAGAGATGTTCTCCCTCCTTCACTAGATAGTTAGGATCTATCAACACACAGATAGAGAGAGAGAGAGAGAGAGAGGAGAGAGAGAGAGAGAGAGAGAGAGAGAGAGAGAGAGAGAGAGAGAGAGCGAGAGAGAGTAGTGTGGAGTAGAGTAGAGTAGATAAAGAGTGCTATAATAACTAGAAACTAGAAAATGGATTTGCATAACTTGTTTTAAGTAGAGAAAACAGCAGGCAGCTCCCCCCTCTAAAGCTTCCATCTCTCTGGGAGCTGTTGTCATTGGAGAACACATGGCTGCCTTCTTTATCTGGTTCAAGCTAAGGCTGGGGGGGCGACGAGCAATCACTCAGCCAAGGAAAATGAGGCTTGATTATGAGGCAACGGCTGTGAAATGTAACGTCTCCAAGTGGTGCTGTTTCTATGGGAGAGAGAGAATACACATACAAATATATTGTGCATTATGTAACCTGGAGGCCTATCTGGTCTTAACCCCTCTGTGTTCTGTCTATGTCTGGGGGTGTATTGTAAAATAATGGTTCATGCTATTTCTTTACTCATGCTAGTTTCTAATGGGAGATGAGCAGTGCTAGCTGGGTATTTTTCTATTGTGTTGCATGGGAGCACTGCCTGGAGGAGGGAGGCAGCTGAGGAAAGAAGCAAATGCCCAGAGAGCTCCCTAGCCACCTACCCATTTACAGTTATGAGAGGCTCTCTCCACACACACATTCTAACAAACACACACACAGAAACACACACACATACGGAAACAAACACATTCTAACACACACACACTGTTACGCACACATACTAACACACTCACAAACACACATACACACACACACACACTACTCACCATAATCTCATCCTGCTAAGTAGAATAGTTGTAGCAAACGAGAGGTGAAGAGAAAAGACACACAAGAGAAAGATACATCACTCAGAAGAAACAGAGCAAAACAGAAATAGAGTGGGAACACTACACAGTTAAAACACAGCACTACTAAAGAACAACCAGGCTAAAGAACAACCTGGCTAAAGAACAACCAGGCTAAAGAACAACCTGCCTAAAGAACAACCTCGCTAAAGAACAACCAGGCTAAAGAACAACCTGCCTAAAGAACAACCAGGCTAAAGAACAACCTGCCTAAAGAACAACCTCGCTAAAGAACAACCAGGCTAAAGAACAACCTGCCTAAAGAACAACCAGGCTAAAGAACAACCTGCCTAAAGAACAACCTGGCTAAAGAACAACCTGGCTAAAGAACAACCTGGCTAAAGAACAACCAGGCTAAAGAACAACCTGGCTAAAGAACAACCTGGCTAAAGAACAACCTGGCTAAAGAACAACCATGCTAAAGAACAACCAGGCTAAAGAACAACCTGGCTAAAGAACAACCAGGCTAAAGAACAACCTGCCTAAAGAACAACCTCGCTAAAGAACAACCAGGCTAAAGAACAACCTGCCTAAAGAACAACCAGGCTAAAGAACAACCTGCCTAAAGAACAACCTCGCTAAAGAACAACCAGGCTAAAGAACAACCTGCCTTAACCAGAAGAACAACCAGGCTAAAGAACAACCTGCCTAAAGAACAACCTGGCTAAAGAACAACCTGGCTAAAGAACAACCTGGCTAAAGAACAACCTGCCTAAAGAACAACCAGGCTAAAGAACAACCTGCCTAAAGAACAACCTCGCTAAAGAACAACCAGGCTAAAGAACAACCTGCCTAAAGAACAACCAGGCTAAAGAACAACCTGGCTAAAGAACAACCTGGCTAAAGAACAACCTGGCTAAAGAACAACCTGGCTAAAGAACAACCAGGCTAAAGAACAACCAGGCTAAAGAACAACCAGGCTAAAGAACAACCTGCCTAAAGAACAACCTGCCTAAAGAACAACCTGGCTAAAGAACAACCAGGCTAAAGGACAACCTGCCTAAAGAACAACCTGGCTAAAGAACAACCAGGCTAAAGAACAACCTGCCTAAAGAACAACCAGGCTAAAGAACAACCTGGCTAAAGAACAACCAGGCTAAAGAACAACCTGGCTAAAGAACAACCAGGCTAAAGAACAACCTGCCTAAAGAACAACCTGGCTAAAGAACAACCTGGCTAAAGAACAACCTGGCTAAAGAACAACCTGCCTAAAGAACAACCAGGCTAAAGAACAACCTGGCTAAAGAACAACCTGGCTAAAGAACAACCTGCCTAAAGAACAACCAGGCTAAAGAACAACCAGGCTAAAGAACAACCAGGCTAAAGAACAACCTAGCTAAAGAACAACCTGGCTAAAGAACAACCTGGCTAAAGAACAACCTGGCTAAAGAACAACCTGGCTAAAGAACAACCTGGCTAAAGAACACAGACAAAGATAAGTGGAGATATAGTACAAACACTCAGAACTGTACTTGTCGACCTTGCATCTAGGAACATTATTCCATTCCTTTCTGAACAGCCCATGAGGCAAAAGTCTTAGTGAATGTAATGGAAGACTATCTGTAGGTGCTGTCATGTGCCTATAGTACCTTATTGCCAGTTTGCTTCTTCTGGGCCACCTGGCTGCTCCTCTGCTGAGCACTACAGGGGATAGACATCACAGTCATGGGCTACATTGGTACACACGTCTAAACAAAGGGTTCATTAGTAAGAGCCTGTAGGTCAGGGTTCACAGACTGTACTGTGTCTATACTGGGTTGTTTGTTCTAATCCACTGTTTCAGGACAGAGGTCAAGAGGTCGACACTCACTTGGCAAAGCCAATGAAGTCCTCATGGTTGGTGTTCATGTAGGCCAGCTCAATGTCAATCAGCAGCATCACCTGGATGGAGGGACACATAGACAGTATATGGAGTTATTAATAATAACACTTTGGATTGGGAATATTGTGTGTGTGTGTGTGTGTGTGTGTGTGTGTGTGTGTGTGTGTGTGTGTGTGTGTGTGTGTGTGTGTGTGTGTGTGTGTGTGTGTGTGTGTGTGTGTGTGTGTGTGTGTGTGTGTGTGTGTGTGTGTGTGTGAGAGAGTCACCTGGTCCTTGGTGCGGCTCTCGCGGTCTCGGATATGCTGGGTGACTATCTTCTCCATCTCCTCTCTCAACATGGGGTACTGAGCCAGCTGTGGGTACAGGACAGCGCAGGGCACACCGTGTGGGTAGGGGGGCACAGCTCAGACACAAAGCACAGCCAACACAGTCAACACACCCAAACACGCACACTCACTGAAGCACACTGCACTACTGTGATGGCACAGAAACACACAGACACAGACAGACAGACACACACACACTATACAGTACACACACAGCACACACACACCTCACAAGAGCACATCACAGACTCTGCCCTAGTCACAAAAAGTTTCAACAATTTACATGAATCAGTGTTAATGTTGTCTGTTATTAGTGTGTCTATCTTTCCACAAGGAGTTAATTAAATTAAATGAGAGTAAATGAATAGTGCAAAGTCTGTAATACTGCCATAAAACACTAAATAGTCTTCTGCCCAACCAATAGTCTTCTCCCCAATAACACATAATTTTCCTGGCACACTATGACCTTTTTCCATGTATTGTTTGTAAACACATCAATACAGACATTGGTGTGCTTCCAATACAACAGACACACAGCACAATCAAAGAGGTGGGTGGGTGGGAGGAAAGCCAACTGAAATCACAGTGAGAGAAAATATGCTGACGTCTGACACAAGTTACAATGCATCCTTTACCACGACTATTCAAGGTTACGGGATCACACTGGAATCAATGAGCTCCTTGTCTTTATCGTTCGACTTCTCACTTCCTGGCACAGGCCCAAATACACAGTAGGAGAAATTGAGGTCTTGAGGGCTGAATAGACAGATAGCCATGTCATTGACGCCTATTAGATGACAGCATTAGTGTCTTCCCTTCTGTACTGTCTTCTAACCACAAGTCCTGGTGACCAATATTTCACTGGCTCTTTGGCTCTGATGACACCAACGCATGGCTATTTCACATGCTGTGCTATAATGCCATGTCGGGACTATCACTAATACTACTACTTTATGGCCAGGTGAATTACTAGAGTAGACATTAAATTGAATAAGATCGATATTAGCGGTTTGTCATGAGATCAGGGGTCAACAGTCAGGAGAAGGAAGATCTTTTTAATTTAAGATCAATTAACCAATGCATCATTGTAAAGAAGCATTGCAACTTTCACGTTCACAACATAGTCGTGGGCACTGTCTCACAGCCAGTTAGGAATGTTCTGTGTTTGACATAGAGATGCATCGGGGCTCGAACACCCCCAGTGGCAAGTACATTCATATATAATAACTAATATAAACAGGGTAGCATGCAGAAAGGTGCTCACACACACACATACACACACACACACGGGAAGCAGGGAGGAGGAAAAGGAGTCAGAGAGGGGAGAAGGACGAAAAGACCTCTTGTGGATTTTGGTGGTCCTCACTAGCTCAGTTGGTAGAGCATGGCGCATGTGTTGCCAAAATAATGGGATCGATTCCTGGTACCACCCATGCGTAAAAAAAGGTATGCACGCATGACTGTAAGTCGATTTGAATAAAAGTGTCTGCTAAATGGCATGTCGATTTTTTATATATTATTTTCTCTCTTTCTTTGCAGACTGTTTTATGGTATTAAGAAAATCCACAAGAGGACTCTTTCTGTTTTTTTTACACGTTTGCTTGATGAATAAGCAAGACAGTGAGAGGTTAGACGCAACAAGATGTAGAAGACAAGAAAGAGAAAGACAGAGAGAGATGCTGTGGAATCTGTTAGTCGAGATGGTGAGACACAACCTTTAGACCTGCAACAGCAATTACTACAACAGATCAAATCATATAAAATCATATCGACAGACACGGGATGGAAGTGAGTAGAATCAACTAGAGGAACTCAATCAGATGACAGAATCGGAGAGTGAGAGGAGGTCACAAAGATATGACTAACTGAGGATAAAACACTGTTGCATGCTGGTTACGATGGAAACTTGGGACAATTAGGTAAATTGTCTATTTTGGCCAATCAGAAAACAAAACAGAATGACAACGAATGTTTGAATAGAAATAGAATGAAATAAATCAAAATGGGAGTTTAATATCATGGTCAGACTATAGTAAGGATAGACCGATAGTCTGCTGGACAAATGTGCTAGATGCCACGTCCGAAGACAGCAAAGAATAATCCATAGTCTCAGTCCTACTATATTCATACTATTAATATAAAAGAGTGAATATACTGTTCACCAATGTTGTTCTGACTACATAACATATTCCTGAGTGGACACAGAACACAGACAGTGAAGTGTGACAGAATGCTAACGGTATCACACATATAGAGAAGCTGACATTTCATCAATAATAGTGTGCATGGTTAGGTGTCCCCTATTGAAAATAAACAATATATCTAGCTTACCATGTCAATAGATGTTTGAATCCTTTCATGTGTTACTCCTCATGGGACTTGTGTCATGACCGCAAGTGACCACAATCTATCCTCGGCATTCGCCAGGTTAACAAAGTGACTATGCAGTATATGAATGTCACTGTATATTGTCACGGAATATTTATGGGAGTTAATTCTGCGTGAAAAAAATGTCTGCAATGTCTGTCTTCCGAGTCAGATATAGTATTCAACATGTTTATGATACCATCATTGCATAAATGGAACGGCATGTTTCAAGAAAAGAAAAGAAGTCTGCAATGGAGCTGGCTCGGAGCCAACACCTAGACTTGTTCTTTGGCTTTTCGAAACCAATATGGAAGAGCCCAATTTGCAGATAAACTTCAGACACTAATATCACACCACAACACCTCACACGGTACAGTACAAAACCCATGGAGAGCAGGAGAGGTTGATCAAAATGCACAGAGGAGATAATTGTGGAATATGGAGTATGAACGAAGAGACTGACTGACAAAGACACACTATGAAAGGATGTCTTAGCTGTGTGGCATACTGTGCATTCTATAATGAGAACTTCTGTATATGTCAAACTAAAGAAATGCAATCAGACACATAGGTCATGGCTGTATGCACGTTTAGTCTGTATCATTCTGCATCTGTACTTATAAGCACTCAAATCTTCAAAGAACTATAAACTGGTAATCATAAAGAATTTATAAAATGGCTATTTTAGTTAAGTTGCCTCTTTTCGAACAAACTGAAAGCATATACAGCGCCTTCAGAAAATATTCACACCCCTTGACTTTTTCCACATTTTGTTGTGTTATAACATGAATTTAAAAATATAGATTTAAATATAGATTTTTTTTTGTCACAGGCCTATACACAATACCCCATAATGTCAACGTCTAATTATTTTTTCTAAATGTTTACAAATTAATCAAAATGAGAATTGGAAATGTCTTGAGTCAATAAGTATTCAACCCCGTTGTTATGGCAAGCCTAAATATGTTTAGGAGTATACATTTGCTTGACAAGTCACATAATAAGTTGCATGGACTAACTGTGTGCAATAATAGTGTTTAACATTTAATGACTACCTCATCTCTGTACCCCACACATACAATTATCTGTAAGATCCCTCAGTCAAGCAGTGATTTTCAAACACAGATTCAACCACAATGACCAGGGAGGTGTTCCAGTGCTTCACAAAGAAGGGAACCTATTGGTAGATGGGATTTTTTTTTTAAAGCAGACATTGAGCATGGTGAAGTTATTAATTACACTTTGGATGGTGTATGACCCAGCCACTACAAAGATACAGGCGTCCCTCCTAACTCAGTTGTCGGAGAGGAAGGAAACCACTCAGGGATGTCACCATGAGGCCAATGGTGACTTTAAAATAGTTACAGAGTTTAATGGCTATTATAGGAGAAAAATGAGGATGGATCAACAACATTGTAGTTACTCCACAATACTAACCTAATTGACAGAGTGAAAAGAACTAAGCCTGTATAGAATAACAATATTCCAAAACATGCATTATTTTGGCAACAAGGCATTAAAAACATGTGACAAAGCAATTAACTTTTTGTCCTGAATACAAAGTGTTATGTTTGGGGCAAATCCAATACAACACATTACTGAGTACCATTTTCCATAATTTCAAGCATATAGTGGTGGCTGCATCATGTTATTGGTATGCTTGTAATCGTTTAGGACTGGGGAGTTTTTCAGGATAAAAAAGAAACGGAATGGAGCTAACTACTGGCAAAATCCTAGAGGAAAACCTGGTTCAGTCTGCTTTCCACCAAACACTGGGAGATGAATTCCCCTTTTAGCAGGACAATAACATAAAACACAAGGCCAAATCTACCCTGGAGTTGCTTACAAAGAAGTCAGTGAATGTTCCTGAGCGGCCGAGTTACAGTTTTGACTGACAACCAATTTGACAGAGCTTGAAGAATTGTGAAAATAATTATGGGCAAATGTTGCACAATCAAGGTGTGGAAAGCTCTTAGAGACTTACCCAGAAAGACTCATAGCTAATCGCTGCTAAAGTATTGACTCAGGGGTGTGATATTTCTGTACCTGATTTGCAAAAATGTTGAAAAACATGTTTTCACTTTCTCATTATGGGGTATTCTGTATAGATGGGTGAGAAACAAAATCTATGTAATCCATTTTGAATTCAGGCTGTAACAGAACAAAATGTAGAATAAGTCAAGGGGTATGAACATTTTCTGAAAGCACTGTAGCTACAGCCCTAACCATTATGCTGATCTAAAATAGATCACGTATTTAGCTTGGCTTTTTTTTGTAGTCCAGCCATCGGTCTATCCCTACCTCTAAGAATGACGCAAGCCAGACTCCGAACATGGCTCGGTTCGTTGGTTACCTTGTCACTACACTTTCGTATGGTGGAGGTGAGTTCGCTCACTACCATATCTATACACTTCAGTGAGGGTTCCTTCAGCTTTTGGATCTGCTTTTTCACTATGGCCTCAAAGGCTAGGTCAGGAGTGAACAGGCCCGTCCTGTAGAGAGGAGGCGGTGACGGGAGAGAAGAGAGAGAGAGAGAAGTAAAGAAATAGAGAAACAGAAGGGGGAGAAACCGAGATAAAGAGACAAAGAGAAACAGAAACAGAGATGGAGTAAAAGATGAAGAGAATCCACGGGGATAGAGAGCAGGTCAAAGCATAAGAACGAGAGAGAGATGAAAGAGTAACACAAGAGGGCCACACAGAGAAGGAGAGAAACAGGTGGGGAAAAATAGGGATGACAGGTTGAGAGGCAGATGAAAAAGAGGGGATAGGGACAGGCCAGGGGGAGGTGGGTAAACAGTAGAGGGATGAAAAGGCAAGTGAGACATTTGGTTTCCCTTGAAGCTGTTCAAAACAGGCCAGCGCTGAGGTCTATCCCTCCATCCAGAGAGAGAGAGAGAGAGAGAGAGAGAGAGAGAGAGAGAGAGAGAGAGAGAGAGAGAGAGAGAGAGAGAGAGAGAAGAGAGAGAGAGAGAGAGAGAGAGAGAGAGAAGGAGAGAGAGAGAGCGATCACAGCCTACACCACCCCACTGGCCCACAGCTCTGAGCCATGAGCCATTTGAGACCGCAGCTGTGCACCCAACATCTCAGACGAAGCACCTTGCTCTTCCCCTCTACCTGACCCCCGCTCCACCCCCCTATCCCCCAGCTGACCACTCAGAGCAGGGCCACAGCATTTGTTATTCCACTGTCCCAGAACCACTGTGGTCAGACCGCATTCCAAACTGGGCGTGGTCACAGTGGATTAACTGATATTAAGGCTGAGTGTAGCCCTCAAGGGCCCTCTTAGCTGAACTTGGCCCTTGGGTGAGCCGCCAAACTTTCACGTTGTCATGGGTCCTTTCTGCTGCAGGTGCACAGCCCCCGGCCTCACAAGCAGGAAGTCTGGATGCTGAGGTCACCCAACATGGCTGCCAGGGACAACAGCTGAGTGACACTTTGATGAGATAGTCAGAGCATCAAAAATGATGTCACCACTGCTAAAATGAACTCAGTCACCTGTGACTTAACAGAACTGTAACATCTTAAGATGTGTTAATTTGACCATTAATTTAATTACTAATGTTAATTTGATCATATTCATAGCAAAAATGTTTGTTAAAATATTTGAATCCTTACTCCTGTGTCTAAAGTTGAAACCCTTGACATGCAGTCATATAGCAGCAACCCAGCAGCATCCAGACCCCTTCTATACCTAGCATAGTTCTCTAACATGGCCATGCCGCGGCCACTCTGCCAAGCCACCCCATCCAAAGCGGTAGGCAGGCAGTCCCTCACAATACCCCCGCTACCCCAGTACGCCCCCTACTGTCCCAACCCGGGACAACAGGGGCTGGATAACGAGACGGTACGGTGATACGGTAACAGGGATGACATAGCAGCAGGTTTTGGTGGGAGGGAGGGGTGGAACCATAGTGTTGCTCTCCACCATGTGTGTTTACCTTCTGAGTACACTGCCTAACAGTATTGACTAGCTCAGAAATGACCATGTCCACACATTTCTGGCAGGGCTCTTTGATCTTGCCGATCTGCCTTTTCACAATGGTCTCAAAAGCCATGTCCGGGGTGAAGAGGCCAGTTCTGCCCGGTAACAGGCCCAAAAAAAGAGAGAAAAAGAAAAAAGGAGAAGGAGGAAGAGGGAGGGATAGTGTTAATTGAAAATAAATTCCCCCTCCCGACCCCCTAACACAACAAAAAGAAGAAACATGCAGATAAGACAAAGAAAGAGAATGACAACAGAAAGCAGAAAAAATGACTTAAAAAATGAACTAAATCATCACATCATGGTTTGAGAAAAATATTCTGCTAGCTGAAATGTGCTTATATGTTTACATGTGCAGATAAAAGCATAACTGAGCTCTTAGAACACAACTTATATGATTATTGCTATACAGTATGTGAAGAGTTTTCCCAACATGCTCCACTCCTCAGATGACACCATGCCTATTGGAATCCCTACACTACTACAACAAAATGTGTCCTAATTCTCTTAAATGGTTACCTTTCACCATTCCCCCTCCTTCAGAACCACTGACCTGTAGGGTAGAGGGCACCCTCATTGTAAGCATATGTTATCAACCATTTTCCTTTTAACTGCATCTTTCAGATCATTGGCCCCAAAGGAAAGGTAACAAAGAGAGGAAGTCAAATATTTTTATATAGTCAAAAGTTTGGACACACCTACTCATTCAAGGGTTTTACTTTATTTTTACTATTTTCTACATTGTAGAATAATAGTGAAGACATCAAAACTATGAATTAACACATATGGAATCATGTAGTAACCAAAAAAGTGTTAAACAAATATATATATTCAAATAGGGACCCTTTGCCTTGATGACAGCTTTGCACACTCTTGGCATTCTCTCAACCAGCTTCACCTGAAATGCTTTTCCAACAGTCTTGAAGGGGTTCCCACATATGCTGAGCACTTGTTGGCTGCTTTTCCTTCACTCTGCGGTCCGACTCATCCCAAACCATCTCAATTGGATTGAGGTCAGGGGATAGTGGAGGCCAGGTCATCTCATGCAGCACTCCAACACTCGCCTTCTTGTTAAAATAGCTCTTACATAGCCTGGAGGTGTGTTGGGTCATTGTCCTGTTGAAAAACAAATGATAGTCCCACTAAGCCCAAACCAGATGGGATGGCATATCGCTGCAGAATGCTGTGGTAGCCATGCTGGTTAAGTGTGCCTTGAATTCTAAATAAATCACAGACAGTGTCACCAGCAAAGCACCCCCTCACCATAACACCTCCTCCTACATGCTTTACGGTGGGAAATACACATGCGGAGATCATCCATTCACCCACACTGCATCTCTCAAAGACACGGCGGTTGGAACCAAAAATCTTAAATTTGGACTCCAGACCAAAGGACAAATTTCCACCTGTCTAATGTCCATTGCTCGTGTTTCTTGGCCCAAGCAGGTCTCTTCTTCTTATTGGTGTCCTTTAGTAGTGGTTTCTTTGCAGCAATTCGACCATGAAGGCCTGATTCACACAGTCTCCTCTGAACAGTTGATGTTGAGATGTGTCTGTTACTTGAACTCTGTGAAGCATTTATTTGGGATGCAATTTCTGAGGCTGGTAACTCTAATTAACTTATCCTCTGCAGCAGAGGTAACTCTGGGTCTTCCATTCCTGTGGTGGTCCTCATGAGAGTCAGTTTCATCATAGCGGTTGATAATTTTTGCGACTGCACTTGTCTAAACTTTCAAAGTTCTTGACATTTTCCATTATTGACTGACCTTCATGTCTTAAAGTAATGATGGACTGTCGTTTCTCTTTGCTTATTTGAGCTGTTCTTGACATAATATGGACTTGGTCTTTTACCAAATAGGGCTTTCTTCTGTATACCACCCCTACCTTGTCACAACACAACTGATTGGCTCAAACACATTAAGAAGGAAAGAAATTCCACAAATTAGCTTTTAACCTCTTAAGGATCGGACCCTTTTTTTCAATTTTCGCTTTAAATGACATACCCAAATCTAACTGCCTGTAGCTCAGGACCTGATGCAAGGATATGCATATTATTGATACATTTGAAAGGAAACACTTAGAAGTTTGTGGAAATGTCAAATTAATGTAGGAGAATATAACACATTATATCTGGTAAAAGTTAATACAAACAAAAAAACATGTGTTTTCTTTTTTTTTTTCTGTTGTTACATCGTCTTTGAAATGCAAGAGAATGGCCACAATATAATATTGCAGTTTAGGCGCAGTTTAGATTTTGGCCAGTGTGTGTGCAAAGTTTCAGATTGATCCAGTGAAGCATTGCAATACTGGACTATTTTGTATCAAGTCTGCCCAAATGTGCCGAATTGGTCAATTGATACATTTTCAAGTACATAACTATAGAGAACATACAAAAATTATATGCTAATACAAAATGTAAGTTTACACATTCCCAGGAATGTCATACATGATGGATCATTAGCTTATACACTAACTTTCACACATCTAGATGGCCGGGCGGGGTGGGTGTGGAGCCAGAGACAGCAGGGGTTCAAACTGTAGAACACAGTTCCTGCATTTGAATATAAAAATGGATTTTATCAAACAAAACTATGCTACATTTTATCTCTGGGACCCTTAGGATGACAAATCAGAGCAAGATTACTGAATGTAAGTACATTATTTACCTTCAGAGGTGAATGTATCAAACCAGTTGCCGTGAAAAGTATTTTGTTGTTGTGCACTCTCCTCAAACAATAGCATGGTATTTTTTCACTGTAATAGCTACTGTAAATTGGACAGTGCAGTTATATTAACAAGAATGTCAGCTTTCTGCCATATAAGATATGTCTATGTCCTGGAAAGTTTGCTGTTACTTACAACAGTCATGCTAATCACATTAGCGCACGTTAGCTCAACCGTCCCGTAAACGGGACACCGATCCCGTACAGGTTAAGAAAGCACACCTGTTAATTGAAATGCATTCCAGGTGACTACATCATGAAACTGGTTGAGAGAATGCCAAGAGTGTGCAAAACTGTCATCAAGGCAAAGGGTGGCTATTTGAAGAATCTCAAATATAAAATATATTTTGATTTGTTTAACACTTTTTTGGTTACTAAATGATTCCATATGTGTTATTTCATAGTTTTGATTTCTTCACTATTATTCTTCAATGTAAAAAATAGTACAAATTGAGAAAAACCCTTGAATGAGTAGGTGTTCTAAAACTTTTGACTGGTAGTGTATATATATATATTGAAATCTGTATTTTGCATTCTGCATTGTTGAAAAAGGACCCGTAAGTAACTATTTCACTGTTAGTCTACACCAGTTGTTTACGAAGCATGTGACAAATAAAATTTGATTTCATTCAAATTTTTTTATTGAGTTCAGAGCAAACCAATTGGGCTTCTCTTTCCACCATCTTATACCAACTACACTAGAGAAATAATAATTGTTCATAGTTAAGGTAAGTATGGTTTATTGGTAGTCAGGAGGAATATGTGTTCTGGTACGTAGATCAAACCGTCTTCTATCCTTGAAGCCTTCCTTCACTCATGGGAGTTAGGTTAAGAGGGAGGAAGAAACACAGGGGTGACTTTCAACAGGTTCACTTCCTGAAGAGTGATGACATCACTGTTTGATTCTGATTTATATCACTCTAGGACCTAGGTAAAAGACCTTGTCATAGGACGGGGAGTGAGCTAGGTTACACATGACGGGCATATGAGGCTTCAGCAGACAGACAGACAGACATACATACATACAAGATACAGACAGACGGACGGGGCAAAGAGTGAGAGAAAGACACCACCCAACCAGCGGTCTCAGATCTAATCACAAATCCCTCCACCTCTGTTTCTGATGTCCTCAGTATGCAACAGCATGCTGGGCGCTTGACTGCGATCAGTGTTTCTAGAGGTCTTCATGATTAGATGGGTGAGGTTGATTAGAGTTGGTTTGGCCCATAGGGGTGACCCAGGGGGGCGTGGACAGCGGTAGGGAGAGAGGGAGAGAGGGAGAGAGGGAGCGAGGGAGAGAGGGAGAGAGGGAGAGAGAGAGGGATGGGGATGAGGGACGTGCCTGATGCCGTGGATGTTCTTGATTGCGTAGCTGATCTCCTTGCGAAGCTCCTTCTCATTAAACTCCATCTGTACAGACACAGAAATGACAAACACACCATTGAATAGTGAGCACACACCTCCGACACACAGCAGAAACCACAGAAATAGGAACCTAAGGTCCCTTGTATTCATTGAGTGGCTCTGAAAATCAGACAGAATATTAATCACAGGAGCACATTTACAACCACTCTTACAACATAAAAACACATTCAAACTAAGTACTAACACTGCTCAGTTATTCCACTCAGTCTGAAGGTGAATCATTTGACATGATACTTAGAGCTATAACATGAGCCTATTCTACTGTATTTTAGTCTATGCCACTCTGACATTAATCATCCTAATATTTATATATTTCTTAATTCTTTTACTTTTAGATTTGTGTGTATTGTGTGTATTGTTGTGAATTGTTAGATATTACTGCACTGTTGGAGCTAGAAACACAAGCATTTTGCTACACCCGCAATAACATCTGCTAAATATGTGTATGTGACCAGTACCATTTGATTTGATTTGATTTGATGACAGACAGTCTGACAAATGTTTATTGACTCCAACAGATACTTCTCTCATGTAAGATAAATCTAAAGCAGAAAGTATTTCTAAAGCAGAAAGGATATCTGGTCAAAGCTAGTGCACTAAATAGGGAATAGGGTGTCATTTGGGACACAGTCCTTTTGTAAGATGAGCCTACATGAGACTGAATTCTGGCCCCAGCAGGGCCCCATACTGTGGTCAAGGCCCAGACTGAATGTTTTACTGTGGTGGGAGGGACAGAGGAAGGGAGGGGGGGGAGGGAGGGGATTTGGGGAGGGAGGGAGGAATGTTTTCCTCATAAAGTCTCTGGGTTGGGGTCCTGAGGGAGGCGGGAGGCAAACCACGGCACTGTTTGTCTCATTCTGGGGCTGCATGGACACTAAGAGTTAGGAAAGAGGGGGACCTGGTAAGAGACATGCACATATACAGTACATGACACACACCTTGACCAGCTCGAAGGGGAAGCGCTCGTGGAAGATGCGGTTGATCCTGGCTCCTCCTGACAGCTCTGCTGTGTCGATCTGGTCCCCAGAGCCCTCGATACGCTTCTCAAAGTCCACTGAGAACTGCTGCACCATCCTGGGTGGGATACAGGGAAAAGGGAGTTAATTAATGTGTGTGTGTTAATGAATGAGTTCTGACCTTATGTGTCTGAAAAGCCACACACTCCCGAACCAGATCCAACCTCCTTATACCCAGAACTACTCCCAAAGCCCAGTGTGTGTATGTGTGTTGGACCAGTGTGTGTATGTGTGTTTGCACTTGTATACTCTATGAATGTGTTGAATGCTGTGTGTGTGCGTGCGTGTGTGCGTGTGTGTGCGTGTGTGTGTGTGTGTGTGTGTGTGTGTGTGTGTGTGTGTGTGTGTGTGTGTGTGTGCGTGCGTGCGTGCGTGCGTGCGTGCGTGCGTGCGTGCGTGCGTGCGTGCGTGCGTGCGTGTGTGTGTGTGCAAGCAAGTGTGTGTCCTACTCACTGCAACAGGGCCTTGGTCTTGCGGGAGGGGTCATCAGGTCTGAAGTTCTTGTACTCCTCCACTTCCTTCTCAATAGACAGCAGCTGGCTCTGCAGCTTGGCCCGCAGCCCCGGCAGAGTGTCCCGGATGTGATTGGTCAGTTGCTGCAGTGTGAAAGGTCAGGGTGGGTTTTAATATGGGAATGAAGAGATGACAGTGATCAGATCCTAGACTAATCTACTACTATTCGCCTACTCTCTTATCTTCAGTGGATGTTATAAACACCTCGAAAGCATCAAAGAGATCCTGTGGATGGCTCATCTCCTAGAAGACTTCTCTGAAGTGAAATATATAGCGACCACTAAAATAATATTCCTACTACGCCCTTTGGTAATTATTGAGCCATTTGAACCACAGATTAGGACAGTCTTAGCATTCCCCTCTACATACACGCACACACACACAGTGGAGGACTGACCTGGTTGAGTGTTTTCTGTAGGTAGGGGACTGACCTGGTTGAGTGTTTTCTGTAGGTAGGGGACTGACCTGGTTGAGTGTTTTCTGTAGGTAGGGGACTGACCTGGTTGAGTGTTTTCTGTAGATAGGGGACTGACCTGGTTGAGTGTTTTCTGTAGGTAGGGGACTGACCTGGTTGAGTGTTTTCTGTAGATAGGGGACTGACCTGGTTGAGTGTTTTCTGTAGGTAGGGGACTGACCTGGTTGAGTGTTTTCTGTAGGTAAGGGGTGCCCATGCGTTCAGCCAGGTGTCTGTATCCTGGGTGGGTCAGGAAGAACTTCCTCTCTGCAGCCATGGCCGCTGTGATGTCCTTCTTCCCATCAATGTCCTTCTGACTCCTGTTCACCACACCAATGTAACCTGGGGCAGGGAGAGAGGTTAGCTGATACAGGACAGATCAGGATGCGATGAGGCAAAATGTTGTTTTGTGGAGAGAAAGAAAGAAGAACCGAAAATAAAGAGGTTTGTTAATTTATTTTGATGTGTGTGTGTTTTTTTCTAGTTTGTTTGTCTTTGTGGGTTTACCACACTGGGGTAGTGGGATGAAGGGGTGGGGTGTTCGGAGGGAGGTGTGGAGGGTAACTTTTAGCTCCCACTTCCCCAGTGGCAGCCACAAGGGTAACAGGGATCACATATCCCCATCTAGTTAGGTTTTCTCATGCATTTCTCTGTTAAACAGTATATCTTGCTATATAACCTTTTGGACTGAACGCCAGTAGCCTTATAAATATGCTAGTGGTTTAATATGTGAGGCCTTCTGACACTAGAGAGTGACAGAAGCAGAGACGATGGAGACAGAGGACAATGGAAACTGTTCAGAACTACATGCCTGGGTTCTAACCAAGCGCCAGTGGAAAAACGTCCGTCACCTAATTGCATTGGAACGTTTCCCACAAATATATTTTATTGCAAAGAAAAGAAACGAACAGACGTTTTTTCCAGATGTGTCACTGAAATCAAGATGTTGTTTTTGACCGCCTCCATCTCTTTCTTTCCTTCACTTTCCTTGTTCTCCCTCCCCCCCTCTCCACCTCCTCTCTCTCTCTACCTCCTCCTGTCTACCTTTCTCTCTCTAGGGTTGTGAGGGGTTATAACACTGGCTGCTGCAGTGAGCAACACAACTGGAGTCCTATTTGGGGTGTCCGGCAAAGCCATGGATAGGCTTCCGTACGTCTAGAACTCCGCTGCCAGGGTCCTCACACACACCAAACCCTGGGAACACATCACCCCCACTCTGCAACACCTTCACTGGCTCCCAGTCAAATTCCGCATTACCTACAAGATCCTACTCCACACCTACAAGGCCCTCCATGGCCCCCTCATACCTCTCTGACCTCCTTCACACACACACCCTCTCCCGCTGTCTCCTCTCCTCTGACTCTGGACTACTCACCATCCCCAAAACAAGACTCTGTACCATGGAGCACCGGGCTTTCAGCGCCGCTGCCGCCAAACTCTGGAACTTTCTCCCCCCCAGCCACCCGCAACTCTGACTCTATCACCCTTTTCAGAAACCAACTAAAAACCGACCTGTTCAGTCTGGCTTTTCCCTCAGCTTAGCTCAGCCCTTAGTCAGCTCTATCTTAAGGTAAGTAGCTTTTCTTCTATTGTTTTATCCTTGTTTAGTTTTTTACTCTCTCGCTGTACAGTGTCCTTGGGTTTCTTGAAAGGCGCTTTATATCCAATGTTCTATTATTATTATTATTATTATTATTATTATTATTATTATTATTATTATTAACTACATAGCCACTAGAGGGAGGCACTGAGACAGGATGTGTGTGTGTGTGTGTGTGTGTGTGTGTGTGTGTGTGTGTGTGTGTGTGTGTGTGTGTGTGTGTGTGTGTGTGTGTGAGTGTGAGTGTGAGTATGAGTGTTTAGTCTGACCTCTTCGCAGTGGCAGCAGCTTGTTCTCCAGAATTTCTCGGGCATCAGTCCCCTCGTCCATCAGATCCAGTTTGGTGATAACACCAATGGTTCTCTGACCTGGGCACACACACACACACAAACATACACACACACACTAACAAAGTCCAGCTGTAGGTAGGTTAAATTGCATCCTTGTCTAACTACTGCTATGTCACAATTTGATGGTGAATGATACTGAGAGCACTGATGAGAGCCAGAAGGCCTACAGTTTTTGCCTTCAACCTCTAGTCAACCTCACCCACCTTGTGGGTCGACTTCTTTGGCAATCTTCAGGGCATCTGAGTTGGCCAGATCAGAGTTGGCCGGAGAGACAGCCAGCAGCAGACAGTTGTCCTTGGTCACAAACTGATACAACATGTCTCTGATCTGCTGCTCAATGTCCACAGGCTGGTCCCCTACTGGGACCTTGGTCATCCCCGGCAAGTCCACCAGAGTCAGGTTCAGGACTAGGGGAGAGAGGGGGGAGAGGGGAGAGAGGGAAGAGAGGAGAGGGAAGGTGAAAGCGGGAGAGAGGGGGTGAAAGAAGAGGGCAGAGAGGGGGTGAAGGGAGAGGGGAGATGAGAGAGGAAGGTGAAGAGAGTGTGGAGAGGGTAGAGGGGAGAAGGAGGAGGGGAGAGAGGAAGTGAGTGTGGAGAGGGTAGAGGGGAGAGAGGTGGAGTCAGAGAGAGATTTCTAAATATGATATCAGAATCGATTAATGACGCTAACCTTGAAAAGACGAATAGGGAAACTTGATTCACAAAATTCAGTGTATAGAATTAAGATAGTTATACTACTCTAGTCTTTCCTACGATCAAAGTCTTATGAGTGTGGTAGTTCTGCCAAGATGCCATGTTGCCAGGTCTGTGTCCTCACCATGTGGGGAGTAGACCCTGAGGTTGATTGGCACAGGGGAGATGCCCTTATTCTGCCCAGTGATGCGGTCCGTCTCCGCCTCGATCTCCCCCCGAACCTCATCGAAGTCTGTGAACTTCTTCCCCTTACAGTGAAGGAACTCAGCATATTCTGCAGAAAGAGAGGGGCACAGAAAAGAGGTGAGGAAAGGAAAGCAGAGGACGAGTGAGGATGACAAGATCATATAAGAAGACAGCCGGGACGTAACAATGACAAATACAGGAAACCATTTTTGGCAGCTTGAATTGAAATGAGCTGTTCTGTCATATTTTCACTTTTCATCACTCTCAGTTTGGAGGGGAAATGTAGCAACACTAGATGGCACTATTGATCAAACTGTGAGACGGCCACAGACCTTGTAATGGCTGAAAAATAAGAAGAAGCTCATTTTGTATTTTTGGTAATACAGAATATGAATTATTATTATATGTATATAATCTTTAATCCAAGGCCTTGGGTGTGAGAAATGCGCTTTACAAATAAAGTGTATTATTATTAATGACTTTGGGTAGGTTATACATTATTTGAGCAAAGAGGGTCCAAGACAGTTTGGTCTTCATAAACCTTAGATGGTACTGATATTTTGTACTATACAGTAAATGCAATACAGCTGTTCCAAAAGGCACATTCTGAACTGGTTACATTAGACTGGATTAAATGTGAATGAGGACTAATGATTTGTCCTATTTCGCATGGTGATTAAGCCTGTTATTGAAAGCTTGCTTATTAGATATACTGTGCCTAATGAAGAGTTACAATAACAACCCTACCAAGCCACTGGTATCACTAGGTGCCTCTGATGGAAGGGAGGGATGGGGGAAGGCTTTACCTGTGGGACAGAGAGGGGAACGGGAAGAGTTTACCTGTGGGACAGTTGATCAGCTGCAGGACCAAGGGACGGCGGGTGACGATGCCAGAGCCACGGGGAAGGAAATCCCTATTAACACACAGGAGGAGAGAGACGTAAGAAAACAACCATGGTTATGGAAACATCTGGGCCTGTATTCATAAAGCATCTCAGAGTAGGAATGCTGATCTAGGATCAGCCCCACCCACCTCCCCTGTCCATGTAATCTTACTCATTATATGATCTAAAAGGCTAAACTGATTCTAAATCAGCAATTCTACTCTACACTTTATGAATATGGACCCTGACCTATGAGTCAGATAAGGGCATGAAGAGGAAGCATGTTTTGATTATAATGGATGACACAGACTAGCAAAGTCATGAAAATTAAATGTGTGGGTGGATGGTGTTACAATCAATTACAAATGTGCATGTGAATGACTGACTGTGTGTGACAAATGTTCACACATCTCTGCTCAGCGGGATCTTGAGTGGAATAATAGACAGAGGCATAGGAAGCAATGAGAACATGCAAAGGGTATTTTGGGAAAGTATTACATATATTTGGGGGAAATAATACACTGTATAGGCTACTATAAAAATGTTTTCTTGTCTGTGCTGCTGCATGTTGGAGAGTCTAAATGTAACAAGACGGGTCAAGGGAGGCCAACTGTCAATAACTCTCTGAGAGCTATGTTGTAACGAACCTCTGAAATAATAAAGCTCTGAAATCTAAAGCGCACTAAAAGACTGACCAAAGATACCCTTCAAAACAACCAAGAGCTCTTTGATCAGAGATGGCCAAAGGTACTTCAGACTGCCAGTCTTAACATTCCATCTGTATGGATACAAACACTGTTGGCTAAATTAGCCTAAATGTGTGGATGTGTAAAGCCAGCAGATTATCTATAATTGATCAATCTAATTCATTACCTCATAGAAAGTGGGACTGTGAGACAAATTCAAGGTGAAAATGAACAGACTGTCATTGCAGCAGTCTAGGAAAGACTACAACTTAAATAGAGTGGCTGTTTCAGTAAATGACTGTTGGCTTATGGTCTGTGCTGCTTTTCAGAACACACTTTCTATTCCACCTGGCAGTCTCTGTCTGGGATGTGATGCTAATAGCTCTGTCTGAGAGTAGCCCACTTAATAGCTTGTTTGAGGCCTGAGCATGCAGTGCCTGATAAGCACTGGGCCAGGAGAGAGAGAGAGAGAGAGAGAGAGAGAGAGAGAGAGAGAGAGAGAGAGAGAGAGAGAGAGAGAGAGAGAGAGAGAGAGAGAGAGAGAGAGAGAGAGAGAGAGAGAGAGAGAGAGAGAGAGAGAGAGAGAGAGAGAGATGGAGAGAAAAAGAGAAAGCACAGTAGGGTGGAGGAAGAGAGAGAAACAGAAGGCATATGCTCAAGGAGAAGATGATATAGAGTGAGAGAATGATTAAGAGGGTGAGCAGAGAAAGGAAGAGAGAAAACAGAGAGAGACAGAGAGGATGAGAGAGAGCTGTACGGTAGCTCTAACACAGCTAAGGAGCACTCTCTTCCTCAGCTCCATCGTCAGATGGGAGTGCCGTGCCAGTCAGCCCCTGGCCTTTCTCAGCTCTGCCTGCTCTAAGGGAGAAATCACTGGAGAATCCGCATTATAATTGCAGGGCTTTGTTCAAGCAAGTGTAAACGAACGGTCTTACTGTTTCCACAGGCAAGCTAAAGCCAATAGCCTGAGAGCCCACCCTTAACATGTGACAGTGTTGCTTCAGCAAGCAGAGAACAGCACTCTACATTCTGCTAGGTGTTCACCAATATCATAGACAAAGAGTGGGTGAAAAATGTTAAGAATGACAAATCTTTGGACGAATATTCCACACATAATGATTAATTCGCCATTCATTCTCCATGGCATGGAGTGGTAAGAGGTATTAAACATTTCCTCATTGGGGTTTTCTGTAGTCTATTTCTCTCCTCTAGGACAAACTCAGTGTTAGCTTAGCTCTTTAAAAGATTCAAAGGCTCTCAGAAGACATTCTCCACAGATTAGCAGTGTAGACTCCATCTGAAGCTCTTATCAACTTTGTTTATCAGCTCTGTTTCATCTTCCTTTTAATTAGCAGCTCTGGCTCAGAAAAAGAAGGAGAGAAAGAGCAAGCATGAGATGGAGAGAGAGAGAGAGAGAGAGAGAGAGAGAGAGAGAGAGAGAGAGAGAGAGAGAGAGAGAGAGAGAGAGAGAGAGAGAGAGAGAGAGAGAGAGAGAGAGAGAGAGAGAGAGAGAGATAGAGATAGAGATAGAGAGAGAGATGAGTGTCTCTTCATCTGCCTCCAGCTATCTGCGAGACTGGGAATATGCAGATGGTATGGTACACAATGTGGTCCTGAAGTGGCTGAGTGTGTGCGTGTGCGTGTGTGTTCGTGCGTGTGTCTGAGAACATTGTATGTGTGTTTTCTTCTGGATGATTCTGAGGACAATGTATTACGTAACAGCAGTAGTTCCTCTGGTGGTGGTGTTTGTATGTATGCTGCTACATTACCAGCTGACCTCACACTACTCTCAGCTAATTCACTTCCACATTTGGATAAACAACAGCGGTCCAGTAGGGACATGCACTCGGATAGAATCTCATGGTGTCCTGTAAACTGTGAGTGTGTAGGCTGCTACTGTGCATTGACATTCTGTAGATTAGTAGTAAAGCCTGTTTTCTTCGATGCATCATCATCACCATAGCTTCTCTCTTTAGTGTGCTTTACAGGTCAATAACAACCACGGCTGAATATCGACACACGAGGATGATAGTTAAGTATGCTTAGTGAGTTACTAAATGGACAATTTACATTTGCATTGTTATGGGGCTGCAGCTTATGAGAATATTTTCACTTATGAATTATGGACAATTAAGAATGATGGCCCCGCTAGCCACATAATGTGACTTCATTTGTGGATATCGCTATAATCAGAGCCACAATGCTACCAGTTAATGAAGGTCCATTTGGCCAGGGAGGAAGAGATTATGTTAATGGTACTGCAGTCTCTCAAAAAATGATTCTCTGAGTGTTTATGCACGAACTATGGTCAAGCCATTCTCCATACTTCCATGGCAAACACACACGTGCACACTTATAAACACACACATGTACACACATAAACACATGCATGCACGTACGTACACACACACAAGCGTGCACACTTATAAACACACACATGTGCACACTAACACACGCATGCATGCATGAACGCGTTCACACACACACACACCTAACCTATGTCATTACAATCATTTAATGATATTATCCATTTCATATCACTACCTGAACAGAGATAAGCAGATCAAGCATTGGCACCACTGTCTAGTCAACAAAGGTTCCATTTCCTACTGTGTCAAATCAATTTCCTGTCTGCTGTCTCTCTCCTGTTGGGGTGTGAGCCTGGCTCTCTCTGTACCCTCCACTCCTCTAGTAACACCTTGTAGGGGACAGATGGCCCAAACTGCAGGTCTCCTCCTCTCCCCCTTCTCCACTCCACCTTCCCCAAAAAAGCCTCCATATGGACTAGCCAGATGGGCGGAGCCGGCACAAACCAACCAGACCCTGTCACACATACCACACCACTAACCTGGTTGCCAGTCTCTTTAGCTAACATTCCACTCCTTGTACTCCATGTCATGTGGCAAAGCACAAAGAAAAGCTAAACAGACTGGCAACCAGGCTGCCACACCGCTCCATCTCCCTCTCCATCCCAAACACCATTCATTACTGCTATTGCTGGAGGGATGACTCAAGGCAAGGCCTGGGGTATCCACCACACACACATCATAATGTACATGCTACATACTTGCACAAGTGAGCAAGAACGGATGGAGGCACACATGTACATACAGTACCCATGCACACAACATCATGTAGTAATGCTGAAAATAATTCACCACATAAAGAGCCTGCCATATGTGACTGCAGGGGAAACCGTAGTAAAGGAGTGAGTGAACAACGTGCATTACTCACTCCATTGTCCCATCCCCCACCCCAGCCTGCACTCGCCTCACAAAAACAGAAACAGCAAAACGAAAGAAGAGAAAAGACAGGAACTCGAGAAGAGAAGCGCCATTCGTAAGTCTTCTATACTCTCCTCTCCACTCTCTCCTCTCCTCTCATACTCTCCTACTCTCCTATCCTCTCCCTCGAAGCGAAGTGCCTCTCCCTCTCCTCTCCTCTCCCCGGTCACCAGTGGGCAGCTGTGATGACAGTCCACCCATCCAACTGGGAGACCCATTTTCTCTCCCTCCCCCTTCCCACCCCTTCCTCCCTTTTTCCCCTGCTGAGAGACAGTGCCTCTCACATAAGCCCACTCACGTGGCAACAAACAGGGAGGACAAAAGCTCTCCAGACCGAGCAACAACACAGACTAAGGAGAGGAAAGAGAGTGAGAGAGACAAGCAGGGGAGAAAGAGGGAGGGAGGTAGAGAGAGAGAAATGAGAGACAGGCAGGAGACGGAGAGAGGGAGGGAGAGATGCAGACGGAGAGAGAAACAGACAGAGGCGCATGACAAGACAGTGAAACGAAGACAGAGAAATAAACAAGGAGAGACACAGAGGGAGTGATAAAGTGAGACAGAAAGAAATTGAGATAGCAGAATGTCACTTCACTTTGTCTACCCCGCCTTGTTTGGGCACACCTTACAGTGCAATCACTCTCTGCCATACACTCTCAGTTCTCACACACTCGTACACACAAACACAGTCAACAGACCTGTCCAGCACTGGCAACGTGCCAGGCAGCTGCAGCAGAGCATCATTGACTTACACACACACACTCCAAAGCATGCATGCACATGTGAACATACTATGTCTTGCTTAGTGGAAACCCTGAGAGGACAATGTTATTCTCTGACTTCCAGCTTCTTAGCCAGAGGCTTTGTGAGGAATTGCAACAGAGCCATGGTGCACTTTATTCCAATAACCGTCAGGCCATTTCCTCTCCATTGGTTTCCCTCTCATTGATTGACATAACAAGTTCATAATAACATAACATACATGTATCTAAACTGACCTAGCGTCAACACGTATTCAGAGCACATGATCCTGGTGGGACTTGAACCCACAATGTTCATGTTGCCGTGACACCATGCTCAAACATCCTGAGCCAACTGGATGAAAAACATGATCATTCCATACAGTGCTTTAAATGACACGGCCTGTGGACCTCCTGCCATTAATGACACTGTATTAGGCATGGTCTAATAATTGCACTCTTCAGCTTTAAATGTACTTCAGACTATAAAATGTAATCTAATCCGGATCCATTGTGTGCAGCAATTTCAGTCACGCTATGATGAATAAGATAACTATTTCACTATCTCCCAGGCCACAGCCTTAGTGGCTGAGATTGCTTGTTGTTGTCGACCTGTACACCTCCAGAGTACAGTCATTGTAGTGATGAAACAGCTCATTCTTGGCCGATGGCGGGCGCCCAGATTAAAGCAGGTGCGGGAGCCAATGAGAGGGCATGTTGGTGAGCTGCAGTGTAGACTCACAGATTAGAGTTAATCCCTTTGAGCAGTGTCAGGGCAGCTCATGCAGCTCCCCTCTCTCTTTCCTCACACTCTTGCTCTCACCTCATTCCATAGTTTCTCCTTTGCTTATTTTACCCTCTCTCACCAGAATTATTTCACAATCAACAGAAAATGATACAACTGCTTCTATCAATTATTCTAAAAACAATATTGTACACAAAGCATAGCCAACTGTAGAACTAGGCCCACCCTTCATCAACTGTAGAACTAGGCCCACCTTTCATCAACTGTAGAACTAGGCCCACCCTTCATCAACAATAATAGGCAGACATAAACGAGATGATAAATTAAGTGAAATACAGTGATACATCTCTCCTGAGTGGTGCAGTGGTCTAAGGCACTGCATCGCAGTGCTAACTGTGCCACTAGAGATCCTGGTTCGAATCCAGGCTCTGTCGCCGCCGGCCGCGACCGGGAGACTCATGGGCGGCGCACAATTGGCCCAGCGTCGTCCAGGGTAGGGGAGGGAATGGCCGGCAGGGATGTAGCTCAGTTGATAGAGCATGGCGTTTGCAACACCAGGGTTGTGGGTTCGATTCCCACGGGGGGCCAGTATTTAAAAAAAGATGTATTCACTAACTGTAAGTCGCTCTGGATAAGAGCGTCTGCTAAATGACTAAAATGTAAAATGTAAATGTAATGGGATAACATAAAACAATGCTGATCATTGATAAATCACTAAATTAGACTACACTTCCCAGCAGCGCTAGCCAGTGTGTAGCCCGTCATCTATGCGTGTCAGTCAGTCCGTAAAGGGATATCTTTTTACACTACAGTATCTCTCCCCTCTCACAAACTACAATTAGGATTAGAGAAAGATAGCTAGGGACCATACTACAGCCCATACTGTCCTTCTCTTGTTGGGATTCAGATAATCCTTTGCATTTTACATTCTTCATATTATGTCATTTCATTCCGCCCTGCAATATTAGTCTCTCGGATAGGACCAGTAGAGATTAATTTTTAGCCTCATCAGCAAATGAGAGGAATCTTACACAGCAGAAGAGACTATCCTAGGAACATATTCTAGTCTGATGTGCTAAATGCTGCAAGCACCAGCACTCTAATAAAGGTGGGTTCTCAAACAGGGTTCTCCAGAGAACAGTGCAGTAAGCACTTCTTTGACCTAGAACAGCTGCATCAGTAGGAGATCTGAGAAATAGATATTCATATAACTTTGATGAATCATTTATCTAGAGCAATACTTCACCGTATTTCCATTATTCAGTCATTTATTATCTAAGTGATTATAATAGACAAAAGCTAGAGCTCACTTGCTCATTCATGCTGATCCTAATTTACCTTTAAAGTCTTAGGAGTTGCAGGGTCTTGAATCCCCCAGGTGACAAAGTGGGCCAGAGATCACAGTGATAGTCTATGGCAGCCCTCGCTGATTGAGTTGCTATTGTGGGTCTACTGTAGTGTGACGTTCCTCTGAAGAGCTCTCCTAGGTCCTGAAAGCAGGCTCAGAGAAAAGGACAGGCTCTGTACACTAAACAGCCACCAACCAACCCCTGTTCATCTGATGGGGACAGATAAGATATTAGGGAAAAATTAAACTAATCATTGAGGTATCAACTGTCGGAGGAATCGCACCATGATGTTTATAACTGGTGTCTGTTCCCACCTGTCCCTTAGGTACATTAGGTCCCCTCAGGGGCCACCGTGATAGGATAACAGTATGTGTGACGTCTCCACTACGAGCTTCCTGGTGAATGATGATTCATTTGTTTGTTTGTCTGGTGGCCACACCGCCGCTAGCCTCCTACATTCTCCATAATGAAGATTTATGGATGTTGTTGTCGGTTCACTACGTGGAACAATACCTGTTCTGCGCCTTGCACCTCCTAATTCAACTTTATTGATTCTGCCCAAACGCATCTCTTTTGAGTTTAGTTCTGACAGCAGCTTCCTCTGTATTAGAAAGTATTCACTTGATTTGAAGCCTGCCTTGATGCCATCAAACAGTAATTATTTTGTTAGATTGAACACGGGATATGCACAGTTTGTCATCTTACAATAGTATTCTTTATACAGTGCATTCGGAAAGTATTCAGACCAATTGACTTTTTCCACATTGTGTTACTTTAAAGCATTATTCTAAAATTGATTGAATCGTTTTTTTATCCTCATCAATCTACACACAATACCCTATAATGACAAAGCAAAAACAGGTTTTTTGACATTTTTGGAAATGGAGTAAAAATAAAAAAAACTGAAATATCATATTTACATAAGTATTCAGACCCTTTACTCAGTACTTTGTTGAAGCACCTTTGGCAGCAATTACAGCCTTGAGTCTTATTGGGTATGACACTACAAGCTTGGCACAACTGTATTTTGGGAGTTTCTCCCATTCTTCTCTGCAGATCCTCTCAAGTGCTGTCAGGTTGGATGAGGAGCGTCGCTGCACAGCTATTTTCAGGTCTCTCCAGAGACGTTCGATCGGGTTCAAGTCCGGGCTCTGGCTGGGCCACTCAAGGACATTCAGAGACTTGTCCAGAAGCCACTTCTGCATTGTCCTGTTGGAAGGTGAACCTTCACCCCAGTCTGAGGTCCTGAGCGCTCTGAGCAGGTTTTCATCAAGGATCTCTCTGTACTTTGTCCGTTCATCTTTCCCTCGATCCTGACTAGTCTCCAAGTCCCTGCCGCTGAAAAACATCCCCACAGCATGATGCTGCCACCACCATGCTTCACTGTAGGGATGGTGCCAGGTTTCCTCCAGACGTGACGCTTGGCATTCAGGCCAAAGAGTTCAATCTTGGTTTCATCAGACCAGATAATGTTGTTTCTCATGGTCTAAGAGTCCTTTAGGTGCCTTTTGGCAAACTCCAAGCGGGCTGTCATGTGCCTTTTACTGAAGAGTGGCTTCCGTCTGGCCACTCTACCATAAAGGCCTCATTGGTGGAGTGCTGCAGAGATGGTTGTCCTTCTGGAAGGTTCTCCCATCTCCACAGAAGAACCCTGGAGCTCTGTCAGAGTGACCATCGGGTTCTTGGTCACCTCCCTGACCAAGGCCCTTCTCCCCCGATTGCTCGGGTTGGCCGGGGGGGCAGCTCTAGGAAGAGTCTTGGTGGTTCCAAAGTTCTTCTATTTAATAATGATGGAGGCCACTGTGTTCTTGGGGACCTTCAATGCTGCAGAAATGTTTTGGTACCCTTGCCCAGATCTGTGCCTCAACACAATCATGTCTCGGAGCTCTACGGACAATTCCTTTGACCTCATGGCTTGGTCTTTGCTCTGACATGCACTATCAACTGTGGGACCTTATATAGACAGGTGTGTGCCTTTCCAAATAATGTCCAATCAATTGAATTTACCACGGGTGGACACCAATCAAGTTGTAGAAACATCTCAATGATGATCAATGGAAACAGGATGCACGTGAGATTAATTTCGAGTCTCATTGCAAAGGGTCTGAATACTTATATAAATAAGGCATTTCTGTTTTTTATTTTTAATACATTTGCAAAAATGTCTAAGAAACCTGTTTTTGCTTTGTCATAATGGGGTATTGTGTGTAGATTGATGAGGGAAAAAATAATGTAATCAATTTTAGAATAAGGCTGTAACGTAACAAAATGTGGAAAACGTGAAGGGGTCTGAATACTGCACTGTATACCTAGAGTATTACCATCAATGCATAAAATCATACAGTGAGGGAAAAAAGTATTTGATCCCCTGCTGATTTTGTACGTTTGCCCACTGACAAAGAAATGATCAGTCTATAATTTTAATGGTAGGTTTATTTGAACAGTGAGAGACAGAATAACAACCAAAACATCCATAAAAACGCATGTCAAAAATTGTATAAATTGATTTTTTCATTTTAATGAGGGAAATAAGTATTTGACCCCCTCTCAATCAGAAAGATTTCTGGCTCCCAGGTGTCTTTTATACGGGTAACGAGCTGAGATTAAGAGCACACTCTTAAAGGGAGTGCTCCTAATCTCATCTTGTTATCTGTATAAAAAGACACCTGTCAACAGAAGCAATCAATCAATCAGATTCCAAACTCTCCACCATGGCCAAGACCAAAGAGCTCTCCAAAGATACACAAGGCTGGAATGGGCTACAAGACCATCGCCAAGCACCTTGGTGAGAAGTTCACAACAGTTGGTGCGATTATTCGCAAATGGAAGAAACACAAAATAACTGTCAATCTCCCTCTGCCTGGGGCTCCATGCAAGATCTCACCTCGTGGAGTTGCAATGATCATGAGAACGGTGAGGAATCAGCCCAGAACTACACGGAAGGATCTTGTCAATGATCTCAAGGCAGCTGGGACCATAGTCACCAAGAAAACAATTGGTAACACACTACGCCGTGAAGGACTGAAATCCTGCAGCGCCCGCAATGTCCCCCTGCTCAAGAAAGCACATATACAGGCCCGTCTGAAGTTTGCCAATGAACATCTGAATGATTCAGAGGAGAACTGGGTGAAAGTGTTGTGGTCAGATGAGACCAAAATGGAGCTCTTTGGCATCAACTCAACTCGCCATGTTTGGAGGAGGAGGAATGCTGCCTATGACCCCAAGAACACCATCCCCACCGTCAAACATGGAGGTGGAGACATTATGCTTTGGGGGTGTTTTTCTGCTAAGGGGACAGGACAACTTCACCGCATCAAAGGGACGATGGACGGGGCCATGTACTGTCAAATCTTGGGTGAGAACCTCCTTCCCTCAGCCAGGGCATTGAAAATGGGTCGTGGATGGGTATTCCAGCATGACAATGACCCAAAACACACGGCCAAGGCAACAAAGGAGTGGCTCAAGAAGAAGCACATTAAGGTCCTGGAGTGGCCTAGCCAGTCTCCAGACCTTAATCCCATAGAAAATCTATGGAGGGAGCTGAAGGTTCGAGTTGCCAAACGTCAGGCTCGAAACCTTAATGACTTGGAGAAGATCTGCAAAGAGGAGTGGGACAAAATCCCTCCTGAGATGTGTGCAAACCTGGTGGCCAACTACAAGAAACGTCTGACCTCTGTGATTGCCAACAAGGGTTTTGCCACCAAGTACTAAGTCATGTTTTGCAGAGGGGTCAAATACTTATTTCCCTCATTAAAATGCAAATCAATTTATAACATTTTTTTTTCTGGATTTTTTTGTTGTTATTCTGTCTCTCACTGTTCAAATAAACCTACCATTTAAATGATAGACTGATCATGTCTTTGTCAGTGGGCAAACGTACAAAATCAGCAGGGGATCAAATAATAATAAAGTCCTTTGTCAAAAATGTTATGAATTGATTTGCATTTTAATGAGGGAAATAAGTATTTGACCCCTCTGCAAAACATGACTTAGTACTTGGTGGCAAAACCCTTGTTGGCAATCACAGAGGTCAGACGTTTCTTGTAGTTGGCCACCAGGTTTGCACACATCTCAGGAGGGATTTTGTCCCACTCCTCTTTGCAGATCTTCTCCAAGTCATTAAGGTTTCGAGGCTGATGTTTGGCAACTCGAACCTTCAGCTCCCTCCACAGATTTTCTATGGGATTAAGGTCTGGACACTGGCTAGGCCACTCCAGGATCTTTTAATGTGCTTCTTCTTGAGCCACTCCTTTGTTGCGTCAACTATGCCTCTGTCTATCCCTGTTCTCTCCTCTCTGCACAGGCTATACAAACGCCTCACATCGCGTGGCTGCTGCCTCTCTAACCTGGTGGTCCCTGCACGCATGACCCACGTGGAGTTCCAGGTCTCCGGCAGCCTCTGGAACTGCTGTTCTGCGGCCAACAAGGCAGAGTTCATCTCAGCCTATGCTACCCTCCAGTCCCTCGACTTCTTGGCGCTGATGGAAACATGGATTACCACTGAAAACACTGCTACTCCTACTGCTCTCTCCTCGTCTGACCATGTGTTCTCGCATACCCCGAGAGCATCTGGTCAGCAGGGTGGTGGCACAGGAATCCTCATCTCTCCCAAGTGGACATTCTCTCTTTTTCCCCTGACCCATCTGTCTATCTCCTCATATGAATGCCATGCTGTCACAGTCACTAGCCCTTTCAAGCTTAACATCCTTATCATTTATCGCCCTCCAGGTTCCCTTGGAGAGTTCATCAATGAGCTTGACGCCTTGATAAGTCCTTTCCTGAGGATGGCTCACCCCTCACAGTTCTGGGTGACTTCAACCTCCCTACGTCTACCTTTGACTCATTTCTCTCTGCCTCCTTCTTTCCACTCCTCTCCTCTTTTGACCTCATCCTCTCACCGTCCCCCCCTACTCACAAGGCAGGCAATATGCTTGACCTCATCTTTACTAGATGCTGTTCATCTACTAATCTCACTGCAACTCCCCTCCATGTCTCCGACCACTACTTTGTATCCTTTTCTCTCTCGCTCTCCTCCAACACTACTCACTCTGCCCCTACTCAGATGGTAATGCGCCGTCGCAACCTTCGCTCTCTCTCTCCCGCTACTCTCTCCTCTTCCATCCTATCATCTCTTCCCTCTGCTCAATCCTTCTCCCTCGAATCTCCTGATTCTGCCTCCTCAACCCTCCTCTCCTCCCTTTCTGCATCCTTTGACTCTCTATGTCCCCTATCCTCCAGGCCGGCTCGGTCCTCCCCTCCTGCTCCGTGGCTTGACGACTCATTGCGAGCTCACAGAACAGGGCTCCGGGCAGCCGAGCGGAAATGGAGGAAAACTAGACTCCCTGCGGACCTGGCATCTTTTCACTTCCTCCTCTCTACATTTTCTTCATCTGTTTCTGCTGCTAAAGCCATTTTCTCCCACTCTAAATTCCAAGTATCTGCCTCTAACCCTAGGAAGCTCTTTGCCACCTTCTCCTCCCTGCTGAATCCTCCTCCCCTCCCCCTCCTCCTTCTCTGTGGATGACTTTGTCAACCATTTTGAAAAGAAGGTTGACGACATCCGATCCTCGTTTGTTAAGTCAAATGACACTGCTGGTCCTGCTCACACTGCCCTACCCTATGCTTTGACTTCTTTCTCCCCTCTCTCTCCAGATGAAATCTTGCGACTTGTGATGGCCGGCCGCCCAACAACCTGCCCGCTTGACCCTATCCCCTCCTCTCTTCTCCAGACCATCTCCGGTGACCTTCTCCCTTACCTCCCTCACCTCGCTCATCAACTCATCCTTGAACGCTGGTTATGTCCCTTCTGTCTTCAAGAGAGCGAGAGTTGCACCCCTTCTCAAAAAACCAACACTCGATCCCTCTGATGTCAACAACTACAGACCAGTATCCCTTCTTTCTTTTCTCTCCAAAACTCTTGAGCGTGCCGTCTTTAGCCAACTCTCTTGCTATTTCTCTCAGAATGACCTTCTTGATCCAAACCAGTCAGGTTTCAAGACTGGTCATTCAACTGAGACTGCTCTTCTCTGTGTCACGGAGGCTCTCCGCACTGCTAAAGCTAACTCTCTCTCCTCTGCTCTTGTCCTTCTAGACCTGTCTGCTGCCTTTGATACTGTGAACCATCAGATCCTCCTCTCCACCCTCTCCGAGTTGGGCATCTCCGGCGCGGCTCACTCTTGGATTGCGTCCTACCTGACCGGTCGCTCCTACCAAGTGGCGTGGCGAGAATCTGTCTCCGCACCACGTGCTCTCACCACTGGTGTCCCCCAGGGCTCAGTTCTAGGCCCTCTCCTATTCTCGCTATACACCAAGTCACTTGGCTCTGTCATATCCTCACATGGCCTCTCCTATCATTGCTACGCAGATGACACACAACTAATCTTCTCCTTTCCCCCTTCTGATAACCAGGTGGCGAATCGCATCTCTGCATGTCTGGCAGACATATCAGTGTGGATGATGGATCACCACCTCAAGCTGAACCTCGGCAAGACAGAGCTGCTCTTCCTCCCGGGGAAGGACTGCCCGTTCCATGATCTCGCCATCACGGTTGACAACTCCGTTGTGTCCTCCTCCCAGAGTGTGAAGACCCTTGGCGTGACCCTGGACAACACCCTGTCGTTCTCCGCTAACATCAAGGCGGTGACCCGATCCTGTAGGTTCATGCTCTACAACATTCGGAGAGTACGACCCTGCCTTACACAGGAAGCGGCACAGGTCCTAATCCAGGCACTTGTCATCTCCCGTCTGGATTACTGCAACTCGCTGTTGGCTGGGCTCCCTGCCTGTGCCATTAAACCCCTACAACTCATCCAGAATGCCGCAGCCCGTCTGGTGTTCAACCTTCCCAAGTTCTCTCACGTCACCCAGCTCCTCCGCACACTCCACTGGCTTCCAGTTGAAGCTCACATCTGCTACAAGACCATGGTGCTTGCCTACGGAGCTGTGAGGGGAACGGCACCTCCGTACCTTCAGGCTCTGATCAGTCCCTACACCCAAACGAGGGCATTGCGTTCATCCACCTCTGGCCTGCTGGCCCCCCTACCTCTGCGGAAGCACAGTTCCCGCTCAGCCCAGTCAAAACTGTTCGCTGCTCTAGCACCCCAATGGTGGAACAAGCTCCCTCACGACGCCAGGACAGTGGAGTCACTCACCACCTTCCGGAGACACTTGAATTCCCACCTCTTTAAGGAATACCTGGGATAGGATAAAGTAATCCTTCTACCCCACCTTACCCCACCCTTGAGATCATTGACAAGATCCTCCCGTGTAGTTCTGGGCTGATTCCTCACCGTTCTCATGATCATCACTGCAACTCCAAGAGGTGAGATCTTGCATGGAGCCCCAGGCCGAGGGAGATTGACAGTTCTTTTGTGTTTCTTCTCCCATTCCAGCCTTGTGTAGGTCTACAATCTTGTCCTTGACATCCTTAGAGAGCTCTTTGGTCTTGGCCATGGTGGAGAGTTTGGAATCTGATTGATTGATTGCTTCTGTGGACAGGTGTCTTTTATACAGGTAACAAGCTGAGATTAGGAGCACTCCCTTTAAGAGTATGCTCCTAATCTTAACTCGTTACCTGTATAAAAGACACCTGGGAGCCAGAAATCTTTCTGATTGAGAGGGGGTCAAATACTTATTTCCCTCATTAAAATGCAAATCAATTTATAACCTTTTGACATGCGTTTTTATGGATTTTTTTGTTGTTATTCTGTCTCTCACTGTTCAAATAAACCTACCATTAAAATTATAGACTGATAATTTCTTTGTCAGTGGGCAAACGTACAAAATCAGCAGGGGATCAAATACTTTTTTCCCTCACTGTATACTGAATATTCCACTATGGTGTACAGAGCATTGTATTAATGCTATGACAGTTTGATGAATAGTCATTTTACATCTTCCTGCAAGTCATCATATCAAGGAAATATATTGAGGAATGACAAAATCTAAATGGGAAATGTGAAAATGTGCCTCTACAGTATATCTGAATGCAAGATGAAACTCTAAGAATGTTGTCATGGCTGTGTAAAGTCAGTGTTACAAGCTGTCATCACTATTTACATCCTATATCATGTAATTATTGAGATAGCATTATGTAAATCTTATGACAGAAATGTTACTTTCATAAGACCCTGTGGCCTGAGTCTCTCTCTCTCTCTCTCTCCTCTAATCTCTCAGTGTTTGAATAGATCCCTGTAAAGCCAATGATGACACCACGGGGTCAGGGGAGTGAGTGGACTGACACAACATTGTCTGATGTTCTCCTTGTTGTTCAGGAAACCCCAGTGCCAACAGAAGGGTCCTCTGTCTGTCCACACATCCAGACAGACAGAGAGTGTCTCTGTCTGCATTACGCAGTGAGCCACCTCCCTTCTACATGCTGATAGTTTCTATTAAAAGTAAAAAAGGATCAACAGCAAGTGGCTTAAAATGAAGGCCAACAGATTACAGTAGGGCCCCGGTAGAGAGCATTAAATTATTGTTTGAGTGAGTATGATAGACAGTGAGAGAGAGTGTATATATAGTGTGTGTGTGTGTGTACAATAGAAAACAGCAGGGAGGGGGTGCGGCAGTAGCGTGATCAGGAAGACCCAGGTGACGTCAGTGCAGCTGGTCAGGAAGAGCATACTGCATGATGGGATACTCTGCTAGTCAGCAGGCAATTCATTGTGTCGAGACTGCAGTGAGCATCTGAATAGGCACTTATAAACTTGTCAAGATGACAGTACATGTATTTCTTCAGCATCCCTTGACATAGCATTGTCCCCCACTCCTACTTAACCCCGACAATTTCAGATACAAATTGCAGGGATTGTCAGAGAAATGTAACTTCAACATTAGTCTACACTAGTCTGCCAAAGAGCTAGTTAGCTTTCTGCTTACCAGCTTGAATGAAAACGCTTGGATGGTATATTGTTTTCCTCCAGGCTGCAACCATATCTCTTCAGCGGGAAGGTGCTAGTTTGATTGGTTCCCAAACTATGTTTTCCAGAGGAGACTGAGTCTGTCTGATAAGCTAAGCCTGATAGCTAGACGTCAAAGGCATGGGACCTGAGGTGTAGTTTTATTTTTTACGTTAGCACATCGTTAGCTTTTGACTTGTTTTGATTACATAAATGCTTCAAAATTCACAAAAGGTGATGTTAGCTGATGGAGATTATCTCATAGAACTAAACATATAATATCTCCTAAACCTGTGTTTACCACAGACCTTATTTTCGGAGTTTATAAAAAAAAAAAATAAAAAAAAATACATTAATTTCCCTATAGGCTTTGGCCAGCTCGCCTCCGTTAGTGCCTACAAAAAGATGCCATTACTATTGCAATCTATAATGATCATAGTTAACGCGGTTATCTATAGCCCTATTATTGAAGGAAGTGAGTAAGATCATTTAAATTAATTATTAGATGGTTAGGGTGTTTTGTCCATCCTTCCCACCGTACTGATGATGACTGCTGCAAAGGGAGCCTAAACAGGGCTGTTAACAGTGGAGTGGACCTCAATCACTACAAAATATAAGATGCTGACAATACCATTTTCTCGGTTATTACTCTGGCTGACCCATATTTCACATTGCACTGTGTTAACAAACCATGAAAAGCTATTAATGTACTGTTTATCTGTAAATATTATCTGATTTTGTAATGGGTATTAAGCAATCAAAGGCTAACACAGGTGCCAAGCAACAATCAACATCACTGAATGAGATTATCTTTGCACCATGTGGCAAAGTTTGCGTTCACATCCCATATTGGTGGTGGATGCAGATTCAATTGCACAGAAATGAATGGCACTATTCATGTATTGCAGTGTGCATTGATATGTTTAAAGGGATACTGTGAGATTCTGGCAATTAAGCCATTTGTCTACTTACCCAAAGTCCGATGAACTCATGTATACCATTTTATGTCTCTGCGACTGCATGTAGTATGAAGGAAGTTAAAGGTAATTTTGCGAGCCAATTCTAACTACCATTAGCGCAATGACTGGAAGTATATAGGTACGCTAGCATATGCTAACTTCCTTCACGCTGCACACAGAGACATACAAATGGTTGCCAGAATCTCGCAATGTGTTTCCAAATATGTTAATGTACATTTGGTTGTGCTATGACCTGGAATGACCAAGGAAATGACCAAGGGACGTGATGCCCCAATCCATATAATAAGGCTCAGGGCAGTATCTGTATTATGACCTGCCTTGGTAGGAGATAATAATCCTGCAGCAACATGAAATGTGAATTATTATGTGGATTATAATTAATGGGTATTTTTTGTAGATGTTGATTCATTTTTAGTTAGGGCAAATCAAGTCTGACATTTTAAAGTGGAAATTAAACTTTAGAAGCCTTTTTAAACCTTGAATACACTACAGGTTTGCATTTCCTGCGGTGCAGGAAAATTCTCAAAAACAAAATAGTGATCAAATTCAGATCCTTCATCTATATCATTGCCAGGTGCTGAGCGGGTGCAGCAGCCTAACTAAGCACTAACAGATGGATGCGGAGCTGAAGACGAAAGGCTCAGAGCGACTTTCTCTCCACTCTCTATGTATCTCTATGTACTGCAGAGTATAGCGGGGTTGTGTCCCCGGAGATATGCGGTTTATCCATCATCAACACCGTGAGAGTTGTGACAGGGACTATGACATAATTAAGCCGGCCACAAAAAATGTTATGTAGTCTATTCATATCTCACACCAGGCGTGTATCCAAATGCGTAAATAACTGAAGGTCAGATAAACATCATATCTCTCTTCTGTGGTCTGAGTGTTTGGTTTCTGAACGACAAAATGGCAACCCTGCCTGAGAAACAACCACACATTAAGCTTTCTTGTTGGAATTGTGTGTTTAAAAGGCCCTACATATGGGGCGGTGGACTCCAATGCGCTATGCGCCCCGAGGGCAAGGTGGAAGAACTGAGAATGGAGGGAATTGCGCACCCCATTGGACCCCCATTAAACCAGTACATTTATGATGTCTGTAAGAACTGGTAACCTCCAATATACAGTAGCCTATTTGTAATAGCAAAGGAAACGCAAAATAGTGTGGCATTATCTTATATCTACTGTAGATTTGTGCTATGACAAATATTGAAAATAGCACCATAGGAAATATTGATTTCGCCAATAATTATTGCAATTAATATTGTTTATAGATATATACAATGGTTTTATAATAGGGAGCACTAACAACAAAATCAAACGTCCATTTTGGTTTGGTATTCTATTCCGCCAGTGCATACTGCAGCAATTAGCCAGTGGACTACAGGGAAGGTTTTATGTAACCAAATAATATGTTTAGATTCCCTCATGGCTACGCTCGAAGAGGAGGCACTGGTGATTCTAAGACAACAATTGCAGCAAATCATCTTTATTTAACACATTCTATATCATTTTAAAGTTATGCAATGGATCTCATGGCTGGAGATAAGTCAATGGAACGGGAGGATGGGGATGGGTAGGTGTGCAAGAACCATTGCATCCTAGGAGGCTTTGATAACGGAGAGATGCATTTGCGTACAGAAACACAAAACCACTTACTTCCCAACGAAGTTCTCCAACACCGAGCTTTTCCCTGCACTCTGCCCGCCAACCACAGCGATTTGAGGCAGGTCCAACTGAGAATTTTGACCGATGGCCGAGAAGGCATCTTGCATTTTATTCATCAGAGGAATAAGGTCTTCCATCCCCCGGTTCCCCATGATTGCAAGATAATCGGTCGCTCCTTTTCAGAATAGAATCAAATGAGGGAAAACGTTTCTCTCGATCCTTGGCCCTTATCACCCTTCCGTTTTGAGGGTGTTTCAACGTTTGGAATACGCCTTTATTTTAATTTTGCTTGCACCCTCATTGATTACACTTCCCCGGTGTTCCCTCTACACAGAACGCTTCTCCTCTCCTCCCTCTCGTATACAGCTATGTTCAGCTCTCTACCACGCAGCACGGAGGGATGATCTCTTCTCAGAATACGCTGACATCCCTGCACTGACGCGCATGCACCACTCAGCGGAGATCTATCTCAACAGAATTGCACCCGTAGGCTTCGTGTGCTCTCTCTTGTACTAGGCTATGCTGTAAGAAATAGAAAATACAGGCTATGTAAACAATGTAACTATTTATAAATAGGCTATATTGACACACTTATACTAGCTATATCATATTGTGTTATGACCATGTTGATTATGTTTGGTAGGCTTTGTTTTGGAAGGCAGTGTTGATCTGTCCATGGTGCTGAAGTCGTTAAATGATGTAATCTGTACTTCAGCCTCCTAGGCGAAAGAGGGCGACACGCCTATTAACTACAGTCAGAGTGTGCATCCCTGTGAAACACCGGTAGCAAGTGCGCAGTCTCAACGGAACAATCGCTGCTAACTTTCAACAGGCGGCAGACCGTCGCAAACCTGTACTTCTAAAATCATTCATTACGTTAAAAAGTAGGTAACGTTAATACGGTAAAAAAATATAATAATACAACGTGTAATTGAAATGTAACTACCATTGATTATTCCGATTACATGTTATAAAATGGCAGCTCAACTAGCTAAACAGCTTGTTAGCCAAAAATAGCTAGCTAATGCTAGGCCAAATAGCTAGCCAGGCTGCTAAACAAACGTTATAGCTAGGGTAGATAGATAGCTATGTTAGCCAGAGAGGGTGGACACTGACTAGTTTTGATATTGCTGGCTAGCTAACGTTAGCTAGAAACCACATGCTACAAAAAAACACAAAGATAGCTAGCTACAAGCTATTTAGCTACCTTCTTATCCATAGCCAGAGAGTTGTTGCTAACTAACGTAGCTATGTACTGTATACTCAACATGACAACATTAGCTGGATTAGAGGTTTATTGTGGATCAGATTATTATCAAACGCTTTGTTTTTCCTTGAGCAAGATCCTGACCTGAGCCGAGGAGGTGTCGTCAACAGGCTTTTCTGCAAACAAGCACGGACACACGCAGTTTAGCACTAAGCACCAACAACACAACGCCGGGATGTTTAACCCACACCACCACCATCAGCAACAGCAGCAGCAGCAGCAGCAGCAACAGTTTCACCGTCACCTGCGACAGCTTCAGCAACTGTTCCAGCAGCCCCCTCCACCGCCGCCGCCTCCTGCGCCACCACAACCGCCTCCATCGCACCATGCTCCCAGGCATCACCATCATCACCATCATCACCAAGGAGGACGGTAAGAAATGTGAACTCGAGATTGTGCATAAGCAGGCCTACTAAGTGTACGTTCATAAATTGCCTCCAGTGTGTCAGAGTGCGCTCCGGGTCATTTGTAAATTCAGAGCGTTTCGCTCTAGGAGCGTTCAGCGCACACTCGACTTTCTGGCCGAGGACGAGAAGGGTTGATCTGAGCGTTCTTACTTCACAACGTCAGTCAAGCACCCAAGCTAACGTTGGCTAGCTTCCTAGCTACTTCCAGACACAAACGAGAGAACACCTCACACTGACCATTTTACTCGCCCTAGCAGAGTTGGTTGGGCTGTTTTCATGTTAGTAACTGTGCTGCTGGCAACAATTTAATTTAGGTTTTCCCCCCGACGTTAACTGACACCGGGCATATTCAACGGGTGTTGCGCGTCGAAAAATTTATCAGTTATTCTGTGCTCTGGCACACTGACGAGAGTGCTCTGAAATCGGGAGTAGATAGATTTAAGGCTGCATTCGTAAATTCACTCTAAGTGCTATTTGCTAACAACAGTTTCTGACAGTGGTGCCTGGAGAAGTCGATATACTCGAATTTTGCCAAAAATGTCCCAAACAGCCCGCCCGCGTGTGAAAATTATGTTTTCCTATGGTTTTAAGGTTTTCACTTTCAAAATATATTTGTTTTATAGAAGAAGAAAAAATTATGTTCTAAGTCCACAACCATGCTTATACCAGACCAGCAGTGGCCCACCTGTTGAGGCCTGTTTTGCATGTTATTTTGGCATTAAATAAATACAAATAATAATCATTGAGTTAATAAAGCCACATACAAACTTGGTCTATTTTTTACTTTCTTGAGTAAGGCAGTTCCAAAATGCAGGGGTTTCAGCCTAGCTCAGTGCTTTCTATGGTGGTGGGGCAGCCAGCAGAAAATACGGAGCTTAGGGGTTGGTAATGTTCTCTAGTTGCGCCGTGATTGGCTCAGTGTTCTGTCACTCATGGGGACACTACGTCACCGCAACATCTAAGGGTAGAACTCGAAAGTTCAAGCCCCTTGGGTGCTGCCATAGAGTTACATTAGAATTGCCCATCCAAGAAGGCTCAAGGTCATTGGCCACAGATAAAATGACATCAAATCACGTTATATCGACAGTAGCTTTGATTGGACAGATCATGTCAACATCATACTTTCAAAATCTTATCTAGCAAGCTAGCAGTAATCATCATGAATCAAGTCTACAATCTACTGGCAAATCCTTGTCATATGAAGAGAAATTATAGATAAAACGTATTGGTGCTCATCGGCCATTGGACATAAACATTACACAACAAGTTGGAAATCGCAAATTCAACAATGAGTGGTTTGGAAGGAATCAGTGGCTAACTGCAAGCATTGCAAAGCAATCACTAGCCTGCTATTCAGTGGAGTGGATGTGTGGTCCCAAGTCTGGGTTTAAGGGTCTCTTTTCCAAACTTAAAAGGATAAACATTCAACATTGGCCATGCTGTCAATCCAGCATGACTTCTGCTGCGATCAAAACAACTGGGAAATCTGACTTCAGTGAGTTCAAGACAAATAGGAACTGTGGAAAAAACGAGCTCAGACTGGGAAAATACATTTTGAACGGTCATCCAAATCAAATGTATTTGTCACATACACGTGTTTAGCAGATGTTATAGCGGGTGTAGCGAAATGCTTGTGCTTCTAGCTCCGACAGTGCAGTAATATCTAACAAGTAATATCTAACAATTTCACAACATATACCTAATACACACAAAACTAGTAAGGAATGGAATGTAAGAATATATACATATATGGACAAGCAATGACAGAGCGGCATGGACTAAGATACAGTAGAATATTATAGAATAGAATGCAGTATATACATATGAGATGAGTAGTGCAAGATATGTAAACATTATTAAAGTGACTAGTGTTCCATTTCTTAAAGTGGCCAGTGATTTCAATAGGCAGCAGCAGCCTCTAATGTGCTAGTGATGGCTATTTAACAGTCTGATGGCCTTGAGATAGAACTCAGAATTTCAAGTCGGGAACTCTGGCCTCTTTCTAGCGCTCCGACCTGAAGATCACTGACGTCATCATGATTCAACCTTTGTTTTTCCCCGAGTTCCCAGTTGTCTTGAAAGCGCCATAAATTCAGAGAATGCCAGACTTTGATGACATAGTTTGCTTACAAAGGACTGCCGCACCACCTTCCTGTTCAAGTGAGCACAGCACAACAAGGAGAGTCCAAAAATGTATTGTATGCTGCTGCGTAAATGATGTAATATGCCAGGGAGATATGTATACTGTAGCTAAGAAAGTAATAAGTGTATGTTGTGTAGTAAGCTGTTAGTAGCCCATGTGCCTCATCCTAATAATTTGGTCACTTTTCCCTAATAATTTTGCCTACTGTTCTGACTTGGTGGTGCACATTTAGCCTATAGCCTGTTTTAGAGAAATGTAATCATCGAATATTGTAATAGCTTTCATTGTCTGCTTATAGGCCCCCTTTATTTATCCTACGGTTCTGACTTGGTGTACAGGGAGAATACTGTAAGAACGGCCCATGTTCTGAATTCTGTCGCTGTACATTTCAAAAGTGCTGAAGAAATAGTTATATTGACTACGTCTGTCCTAGCTCGCTCATTAAGGTCTTAATTGAAATTACAGATTGCCTCTTATCCGCTCGTCGCCCCATTATGCCATAGTTTGTACATCTCAATTGTCAGTAGAAACCACATTTGTTTAAGCAAGTCAGCCATATCAGCTATGTTTTTTTTAAAGGCAGTAAAGGAGGTTGAATGAACTGTTTTGCTGCCAGACAAGGCATCTCTGATAATCAGGTGTAGCAGGGTAAGGTGTTTGGACTGTTGTTGGGACAGCTTTATGTAGGCCCTAACAGTTTGTGGTCACCGTTATAGTGCAATTCATGTATTGTTTAGTGTTGTGGCTTTGCTGGCATGCATCTTTTTAAGTTTGCCCCACCAAGATTTACATGCTAAATCGGTAAAAGACTGGAATAGTAATATATTGAATGCATTATCAGAAATTACTGTAACCAAACAAACATTGTAGATCAGAAATTAAAGGAATTAACGTTAAAAGTATGAGAATGACACATACAAATTTTCACAAAGTCTGCTGCCTTAGTTTTGATGATGGCAATTTGTATATACTCCAGAATGTCATGAAGAGTGATCAGATGAATTGCAATTAATTGCAAAGTCCCTCTTTGCCATGAAAATGAACTTAATCCCCCAAAAAACATTTCCACTGCATTTCAGCCCTGCCACAAAAGGACCAGCTGCCATCATGTCAGTGATTCTCTCGTTAACACAAGTGAGAGTGTTGACGAGGACACGGTTGGAGATCACTCTGTCATGCTGATTGAGTTAGAATAACAGACTGGAAGCTTTAAAAGGAGGGTGGTGCTTGAAATCATTGTTCTTCCTCTGTTAACCATGGTTACCTGCAAGGAAACACGTGCCGTCATCACTGCTTTGTACAAAAAGGGCTTCACAGGCAAGGATATTGCTGCTAGTAAGATTGCACCTAAATCAACCATTTATCGGATCATCAAGCAACTTCTCCCAACCATCCAAGAACAGTTTGGTGACGACCAATGCCTTTTCCAGCATGATGGAGCACCTTGCCATAAGGCAAAAGTGATAACTAAGTGGCTCGGGGAACAAAACATCAACATTTTGGGTCCATGGCCAGGAAACTCCCCAGACCTTAATCCCATTGATAACTTGTGGTCGATCCTCAAGAGGCGGGTGGACAAACAAAAACCCACAAATTCTGACAAACTCCAAGCATTGATTATGCAAGAATGGGCTGCCATCAGTCAGGATGTGGCCCAGAAGTTAATTGACTGCATGCCAGGGTGGATTGCAGAGGTCTTGAAAAAGAAGGGTCAACACTGCAAATATTGACTCTTTGCATAAACTTAATGTAATTGTCAATAAAAGCCTTTGACACTTATGGAATGCTTGTAATTATACTTCAGTATACCATAGTAACATCTGACAAAAATATATCATAACACTAAAGCAGCGATCTTTGTGAAGACCAATACTTGTCATTCTCAACTTTTGACCACAACTGTACTACTGGTGATATATGTAATGGGGAATTGATAAGACACTAACAATCAAGTGCAAATAATTCACACAATTAAGTTATGAAACAATGAATGTGAACAGATTGGCGGGAGAGAGCATGTTCTGGAGAGAGACGTGCATCTTAGCCACACTCCCCTTCTTGGACTGTGCCATCCCCGCGGCCTCTGCAATGGATTAGTTAACTGAGATTGGTGCAAGTCAGACAGGTGTCTCGTGTGTCATAAAAAAAATATATTTGCTGCTGCTCTACTAAAGCAAATCTTGGTCGACCAACAGCCCATTGACCAAGCAATCTACCAGTCGATTAATTGGGGTCCGCCTTTAGAAGTGAGTATACACAATGCTCACTGAAAAAAAAGTGTGTATACCCTCCACTACACCACTGGTTGCTGTTTATCTTGGTTGAATTTGCCAGGGGTGCGTTCAGGTCATTAAACATTTCCCTACGTTCTGTAATGGTTTGTAAGACATGTTTTCCCAAACACTGCGCAACATTCAACAGTCTTTGAGGTAGCTTTGTTTGGTAGGTGTGGTGGTTATGGCCTGATCATGGGTGTGACCATTTGAAATCGAATTGGGTGTGACCATTTGCAAAAACCTGTGCAGCACACCCCCATAATCACAACCTCCTTCAGCTGGGGTTTATTCACTAGGAAACAACTGGAAGCCAACAGAAGTAAATATAACTAAACGGGGAGGGACATACCTGAATGTATCCAATAGAAACTCTTGTTTTTGTTGCAAAACATTTTTCGTTTGGAGTAAAAGGTTTCCATTGCAAAACGTTTTGAAATTGTTTGCTATGGTCTTCGTCTAAATGAATACACTCCTGGTCGTTCAGAGCAGTATAGTTCCTGTTGAATTAAACATGGAACACTGTTCTGTCCTACTGAACGCACTCCACATTTAATGTTTAAATAGTATTTGTTATTGAAATGAACATGGCCAATTGTTTCAGACTGGCTGTATTGTGTGTAAATATACTGAACAAATATAAACGCAACATGTAAAGTGTTGGTCCCATGTTTCATGAGCTGAAATAAAATATCCCAGAAATGTTCCACACGCACAAAAAGCTTATTTCTCTCATTTTGTGCAAAAATTTGTTTACATCCCTGTTAGTGAGCATTTCTCCTTTACCATCCTGACAGGTGTGGCATATTAAGAAGCTGATTAAACAGCATGATCATTACACAGGTGCACCTTGTGCTGGGGACAATGAAAGGCCACTCTAAAATGTGCAGTTTTGTCACACAACACAATGCCACAGATGTCTCAAGTTTTGAGGGAGCGTGCAATTGGCATGCCGAGTGCAGGAATGTCCACCAGAGCTATTGCCAGATAATTGAATGTTCCTTTCTCTACCATAAGCCGCCTCCAACGTCATTTTAGAAAATTTGGCAGTATGTCCAACCGGCCTCACAACCGCAAACCTCGTACGCCAGCCCAGGACATCCACATCCGGCTTCTTCACTTGCGGGATCGTCTGACACCAGCCATCCAGACAGCTGATGAAACTGAGGAGTATTTCTGTCTGTATTGGCTGGGCCTGGCTACCCAGTGGGTGGGCCACCCATGGCTGCACCCCAGCCCAGTCATGTGAAATCCATAGATTAGGGCCTAATTAATTTATTTCAATTGACTGATTTTCTTATATGAATTAACTCAGGAAAATCATTGAAATTGTTGTATGTTGCGTTTTTATATTTTTGTTCAGTATATAAATACTGCTTAGTAATGCCCATTCCCTCTGTGATGACCAGGCCCATGACTGTACCAGCCCCTGCTCCGCCTCCTCCCCGTGTGGTCAACATGGCCTCTCGGGCCTCCATCATGGCCCCCAACCCAATGTTACAAGGGGCTATAATGATGCAGCAGATGCAAGGTGAGCGCATTTCAGAAGTAGATTGGGGAGAAAAAAAAATACCATAGTACATATTTGTATCTACAGCTAAGTGTGTACGTGAAAAAGCTGTCAACACTTTGATTTGACTGCAATTCAATTGATTTGGTGGGCCTTGTAGCTCCAAAGGCCACCTGATAGAAACTATGGCACCACCCTATTGCTGAAAAACAGTGGTGGAAAAAGTACCCAATAGTCATACTTGAGTAAAAGGAAAGATACCTTAATAGAAAATGACCCAGTAAAATACTACTTGATTAAGTCTAAAAATATTTGGTTTTAAATGTACTTAAGTATCAACATTTTAAATTAAATTCCTAATATATACACTTAAGTATCAAAAGTAAAAATATACATTATTTCACATTTCTTATATTAAGCAAACCAGACGGCACCATTTTCTTGTTTTCTTTAATTTAAAAACTAAGCATTTGTGTTTAGTGAGTCTGCCAGATCAGAGGCAGTAGGGATGACCAGGGATGTTCTCTTGAGAAGTGTGTGACTTGGACCATTTTCCTGTCCTGCTGAGCATTCAAAATGTAACGAGTACTTTTGGGTGTCAGGGAGAATGTATAGAGTAAAAAGTACATTTATTTTCTTTAGGAATGTAGTGAAGTAAAAGTTGTAAAAAATATAAAATAGTAAAGTACAGATACCCCAAAAAACGACTTAGGTAGTACTTTAAAGTATTTTTACTTAACCTTTTCAGCAGTGGTGTATAGTACTTTTCTTACCAATTATATCTCTTTCTCCTCATACTCATCCACCATCTCCTCCTCTCCCACACTTTCTTCCTACCTCTATCTCTCCTTCCCTCCTGGCACTCCAGGTAGCATGCGGGGCTTTGCAGCGGTGAGTGGGCAGCAGTTCACCCAGTTCTTTGCTGCGGGGGCCCGGTCCTCTCTCATGGGCCCTGTACCCATGGGCATGGCCATCAAGAACCCCCACATGGGCTTCCCTGCCCGACACTACCACCCCCACGCCCGCTACTACAACAACAACAACAACGTAATCAAACCTCTATTTAACTATGGATAATTACCAGGCACTGAGCACCCAATCTGAGCGTTCCTTTTGACTAACTAACAGTTTTATTGTGTTTTACTCAGTTAGCAAAGATTGTTTTGATACTGTGGGGCAAAGCTAAGAGGAGACTTAATGACAATTACGTATGGAAATACTGTATTGGTCAATAATATGAGCTCTTTAACAATTGAGTCCACTATACCTGTTGCACACGTTGGCTATTGTTGAATGCTGACTGATCAGGTGATGCAATTCCTCACCCTGTTCATGTAGGACTATGCATCACGGCAGCCGGATAGGAAGAGGGAAAACGAGCAGAGAGCCGTGGGGAGCACAGTTAGCCGACCTGCAGCCAGCAGGACAGCAGGGGAAACCAATGACAAGGCTCTCAAAGGTAGGACCGTACCTGAACACGCAATGCAAGATGGCAACACCAGCTAGCAACGCCTGCTAGCAGTAGCATTCGTTAGTGTTTTTATTTGCAGCTAGTGAGATCTCAGAAGCTTGAAAATAGGTATCTTTTTTGGTCGCTTCCTCTTTTCCTATGTCTCCTTCTCTGTATGTTTTTGAGTGGGTGTGAAACAGTAATTCTGTGGTTGGTACAGTAGCACATGATAGCCCTGTATCCCTCTCCCTGCAGATGGAGCAGTGGGAAGGCCAGATGGACAGGCACAGCCCTCAGTGCAACCGGAGCCTGAGGAGCCAGCGCTGAAGAAGCAGAGGACAGAGGGGTAAGTAGTACTGTTTTGAGTTTGAATAAATGCATTCCTCATGGGTCATTCCATTTCAGTTCAGCAAGCCATGACACCCACCATCTCAAATTGTTCTGAAATTGTTTCTGGACTTAGAAACAGATAAGATAAGCATTCCCACAACATTATGTTGTTGAAAAAAAGTTTGATCTCTGAGAAATTAAGCTAATTGATAGCACCCCAAGCCACCCTTGGACCCCCCACACTAGTGATGCACGGGTTTACTCATAACCAGCAGTCCCCACGGTTTATCCGCGGGGCGGGCGGGTTTAGGGTTATTAAATATTGTGTGGATGAAGGGCGGGTAGGTGGTGGGCATGTTGAATAAAGAAAACAATACCTTAAATCAATAAATGTATAATTCTTGTGCAATTTATATCTATAGGCTACATTGAGGTTTTTCTTCAATTATTTTATGCTATCTGGCATTAATGCGTAAGCCTATAACCTTTAGTACCTAACTGTACGCGCGCCAAATAGCCTACACGCCAATCGCAAAATGCTTTTGGGAACGGGCAGAAACGGTTAACATCGATGCACGGAGGCAAAAAGGACAATGTCGGAGTTAAATTCAATAAGAGAAAAGCTGAGAAATTGAAAGTTTGCAATAATGAGAAGGGAGGGCCAGAAAAGTAATGTTTGGGAAAGATTTGTTGAGGTGGTAAAAGAGGACGATAGCAGTGCCGGCTATGTGTGATGATTGTGAGGCTTTATACAAATTCGACAGTCCCAACATGCCTATGGTACGTCAAGGGAACTGTAGCCTACTGTTCAGATGGGTTAAATGGAAACTGAAATCTAGACACTGACTCTAGGTCTATAACCTCTCACATAGCTTTACTATTAACTCCTGCAGAATTAAGCATTTCTTGAAGTAAAATGATACACCAGATGTAAGCAAAATGTTTACCCTGGAACAGGGGTGGAGAAATATGATTTCTTTATTTCAGCATCTTGAGAGAATGCAAATGTGCGGTTAGATACCGTCTGTAGGTGCTATCTTTATCAAATCATATTGTATTTGTCACATACACGTGTTTAGCAGATGTTATAGCGGGTGTAGCGAAATACTTGTGCTTCTAGCTTCGACAGTGCAGTTTAACAAGTAATATCTAACAATTTCACAACATATACCAATACACACAACTAGTAAGAAATGGGATTTAAGAATATATACATATATGGACAAGCAATGACAGAGCGGCATGGACTAAGATAGAATAGAATAGTAGAATATTATAGAATATAATGCAGTATATACATATGAGATGAGTAGTGCAAGATATGTAAACATTATTAAAGTGACTAGTGTTCCATTTCTTAAAGTGGCCAGTGATTTAAATATGCAGCAGCAGCCTCTAATGTGCTAGTGATGGCTATTTAACAGTCTGATGGCCTTGAGATAGAAGCTGTTTTTCATTCTCTCGGTCCCAGCTTTGATGCACCTGTACTGACCTCGCCTTCTGGATGATAGCGGGGTGAACAGGCAATGGCTCGGGTGGTTGATGTCCTTGATGATCTTTTTGGCCTTCCTGTGACATCAGGTGCTGTATGTGTCTTGGAGGGCGGGTAGTTTGCCCCCGGTAATGCATTCGGCAGACCGCACCACCCTCTGGAGAGCCCTGCGGTTGTGGGCAGTGCAGTTGCCGTACCAGGCGGTGATACAGCCCGACAGGATGCTCTCAATTGTGCATCTGTAAAAGTTTGTGAGGGTTTTAGGTGCTAAGCCGAATTTCGTCAGCCTCCTGAGGTTGAAGAGGCTCTGTTGCGCCTTCTTCACCACACTGTCTGCGTGGACCATTTCAGTTTGTTGGTGATGTGTACGCCAAGGAACTTGAAGCTTTCCACCTTCTCCACTGCGGTCCCGTCGATGTGGATAGGGGGGTGCATCTCCTTTGTTTTGTTGACGTTGAGTGAGAAGTTATTTTCCTGGCACCACACTCCCAGAGCCCTCACCACCTCCCTGTAGTCGGTCTCGTCATTGTTGGTAATCAAGCCTACTACTGTTGTGTCGTCTGCAAACTTGATGATTGAGTTGGAGGCGTGCTTGGCCACGCAGTCATGAGTGAACAGGGAGTACAGGAGGGGGCTGAGCACGCACCCTTGTGGGGCCCCAGTGTTGAGGATCAGCGAAGTGGAGATATTGTTTCCTACCTTCACCACCTGGGGGCGGCCCGTCAGGAAGTCCAGGACCCAGTTGCACAGGGCGGGGTTCAGACCCAGGGCCTCGAGCTTAATGATGAGCTTGGAGGGTACTAGGGTGTTGAATGCTGAGCTATAGTCAATGAACAGCATTCTTACATAGATATTCCTCTTGTCCAGATGGGATAGGGCAGTGTGATGGTGATTGCGTCGTCTGTGGATCTATTGGGGCGGTAAGCAAATTGAAGTGGGTTTTGGGTGACAGGTAATGTAGAGGTGATATGATCCTTGACTAGTCTCTCAAAGCACTTCATGATGACAGAGGTGAGTACTACAGGGCGATAGTCATTTATTTCAGTTACCTTTGCTTTCTTGGGTACAGGAACAATGGTGGCCATCTTGAAGCATGTGGGAACAGCAGACTGGGAAAGGGAGAGATTGAATATGTCCATAAACACACCAGCCAGCTGGTCTGCACATGCTCTGAGGACGTGGCTAGGGATGCTGTCTGAGCCGGCAGCCTTGCGGGGGTTAACATGCTTAAATGTCTTAATCACATCAGCCATGGAGAAGGAGAGGCCACAGTCCTTGGTAGTGGGCCTCGTCAGTGGCACTGTGTTATCCTCAAAGCGGGTGAAGAAGGTGTTTAGCTTGTCTGGAAGCGAGATGTCGGTGTCGGCGACGTGGCTGGTTTTCCTTTTGTAATCCGTGATTGTCTGTAGACCCTACCACATACGTCTTGTGTCTGAGCTGTTGAATTGCGACTCCACTTTGTCTCTATACTGATGTTTTGCCAGTTTAATTGCCTTGCGGAGTGAGTAGCTACACTGTTTTTGTATTCTGCCATATTCCTTGCCTCCCGAGTGGCACAGTGGTCTAAGGCACTGCATCGCAGTACTAGCTGTGCCACTTGAGATCCTGGTTCGAATCCAGGCTCTGTCATAGCTGGCCGCGACCGGGAGACTCATGCGGCGGCGCACAATTGGCCCAGCGTCGTCCAGGGTAGGGGAGGGAATGGCCGGCAGGGATGTAGCTCAGTTGGTAGAGCATGGCGTTTGCAACGCCAGGGTTGTGGGTTCGATTCCCACGGGGGGCCAGTATGGGGGGGAAAAAATAAACAATAAAATAATAATTTAAAATAATGTATGCACTCACTAAATCTGGATAAGAGCGTCTGCTAAATGACTAAAATGTAAAAAAATGTTGAATGCGGTGGTTCGGGCTTTCAGATTTGTGCGAATGCAGCCATCTATCCACGGTTTCTGGTTAGGGTAGGTTTTAATAATCACAGTGGGCACAACATCACCTATACACTTCCTGATAAACTCAGTTACCGTTTCAGTGTATACTAAATTTAATTATTTTCGGAAGCTACCAGGAACATATCCCAGTCAGCATCATAAAAGCTGATAGTATTTCAACCACATCAAATATGCATCGAAGCCAACCTGAAATCTTATCAGAAACATGTTGGGTTGTTTTCACAGCTTTATATTTCCTTACAACCGGTCAAACTGATGTCATTTGGACATTTTGCACAGAAAATCTTTCACTTTTTTTTGGTTAGCCAATTGCATTTTGTTTTGTATGTAGATGGGTATGAAAAAAATTACATTGGTTTCCTTACTCTGTACGCAATCTATGGACAAGGTTTGACTGCAACCCATGCTTTGGTTTTGTTTACCTGGCCACTGTTTCAACTTTTTTGAATTTGTCACACAAATCCAATGCAAGTCAATGGTACCTAATATTAGCATTTTTGTGCTCCATATCCAAATCATCTATAAATAGTGTCATTGATTTACACAATCAATTTTGGGGTACTTTTTAACATGAAGCGGGAAAATTCTAATATAGGTACCATTGACTTGCTTTGGATTTGTGCCACAAATGTTGTTGGGTTGGGTGTGGGGGGTCTGTTGGTGGCTTTTGACTATTTTTGGGGATTACTCATTATTAGAATACAATTTATTTTGTCCAAATCAGAGGTTAGGTACTATATTTATTGATTATTATATGAATCCTAAAAATGAAAATGGCCAATTTGGGTGCAATTAATTAATGTATCAAGATCAAATTATATTTCAACAAAGTAATGTAGGAATGCTAGTCTTATCTGTTTCTAACTACAGAAACCATTTCTGATATGGTGGGTGTCGAGCCTCTTTCTTGTTATGTTTACGTACCTATTCAGATAAGTCTTAGCTATCTATATGCTGAGATGAGTCCTTGGAGAGTAGCAGCTAGTAGTGACATGTATCCTTTTCTTTCTCTCTATCCTTCCCTTCCTCTGTCCCAGGTTAGAGGAGACTGTGGAGCAGCCTCCTGAGACAGACAGGGTCCTGGGTGCAGCAGAGTATCAAAGCCCACCGGTTGACAGCCAGCCTGGAGGTTTGTGTTCTCATACACTACATGACCAAAAGTATGTGGACACTGGCTCGTCAAATCATGGGCATTAATATGGAGTTGGTCCCTCCTTTGCTGCTATAACAGCCTCCACTCTTTTTTTTATTTTTTTTATTTAACCTTTATTTAACCAGGTAAGCCAGTTGAGAACAAGTTCTCAATTACAACTGCGACCTGGCCAAGATAAAGCAAAGCAGTGCGATAAAAACAACAACACAGAGTTACATATGGGGTAAACAAAACATAAAGTAAAAAATACAAAAAAAAATATATATACAGTGTGTGCAAATGTAGCAAGTTATGGAGGTAAGGCAATAAATAGGCTATAGTGCAAAATAATTACAATTGGTATTAACACTGGAATGATAGATGTGCAAGAGTTGATGTGCAAATAGAGATACTGGGGTGCAAATGAGCAAAATAAATAACAATATGGGGATGAGGTAGTTGAGTGGGCTAATTTCAGAAGGGCTGTGTACAGGTGCAATGATCGGTAAGGTGCTCTGACAACTGATGCTTAAAGTTAGTGAGGGAGATAAGAGTCTCCAGCTTCAGAGATTTTTGCAGTTCGTTCCAGTCATTGGCAGCAGAGAACTGGAAGGAATGGCGGCCAAAGGAGGTGTTGGCTTTGGGGATGACCAGTGATGTATACCTGCTGGAGCGCATACAACGGGTGGGTGTTGCTATGGTGACCAATGAGCTAAGATAAGGTGGAGATTTGCCTAGCAGTGATTTATAGATGGCCTGGAGCCAGTGGGTTTGGCAACGATTATGTAGTGAGGACCAGCCAACGAGCATACAGGTCACAGTGGTGGGTAGTATATGGGGCTTTGGTGACAAAACGGATGGCACTGTGATAGACTACATCCAATTTGCTGAGTAGTGTTGGAGGCTATTTTGTAAATTACATCGCCGAAGTCAAGGATCGGTAGGATAGTCAGTTTTACGAGGGCATGTTTAGCAGCATGTTTGTTGCGAAATAGGAAGCCGATTCTAGATTTAACTTTGGATTGGAGATCCTTAATGTGAGTCTGGAAGGAGAGTTTACAGTCTAACCAGGCACCTAAGTATTTGTAGTTGTCCACATACTCTAGGTATGACCCGTCGAGAGTAGTGATTCTAGTCGGGTGTGCGGGTGGCCAGCAGCATTCGATTGAAGAGAATGCATTTAGTTTTACTAGTGTTTAAGAGCAGTTGGAGGCTACGGAAGGAGTGTTGTATGGCATTGAAGCTCGTTTGGAGGTTTGTTAACAGTGTCCAATGAAGGGCCAGATGTATACAAAATGGTGTTGTCTGCGTAGAGGTGGATCTGAGAGTCACCAACAGCAAGAGCGACATCATTGATATACACAGAGAAAAGAGTCGGCCCAAGAATTGAACCCTGTGGCACCCCCAGAGACTGCCAGAGGTCCAGACAACAGGCCCTCCGATTTGACACAATGAACTCTATCTGAGAAGTAGTTGGTGAACCAGGCGAGGCAGTCATTTGAGAAACCAAGGCTATTTAGTCTGCCAATAAGAATGTGGTGGGGTCCATTTAGAATGAAAGGGTCCAGATTGTCTAGCCCAGATGATTTGTAGGGGGCCAGATTTTGCAGCTCTTTCAGAACATCAGCTGTCTGAATTTGTGTGAAGGAGAAGGGGGGGGGGGGTGCATGGGCAAGTTGCAGCGGAGGGTGCAGAGCTGGTGGCCGGGGTAGTGGTAGCCAGGTGGAAAGCATGGCCAGCCGTAGCAAAATGCTTGTTGAAATCCTCGATTATTGTAGATTTATCGGTGGTGATAGTGTTTCCTAGCCTCAGTGCAGTGGGCAGCTGGGAGGAGGTGCTCTTATTCTCCATGGACTTTACAGTGTCCCAAAACTTTTTGGAGTTAGTGCTACAGGATGCACATTTCTGTTTGAAAAAGCTAGCCTTTGCTTTCCTAACTGATTGTGTATATTGGTTCCTGACTTCCATGAAAAGTTGCATATCGCGGGGGCTATTCGATGCTAATGCAGTACGCCACAGTATGTTTTTGTGCTGGTCAAGGGCAGTCAAGAGGAGAACCAGGGGCTATATCTGTTCTTAGTTCTGTATTTTTTGAATGGGGCATGCTTATTTAAGATTGAGAGAAAAGCACTTTTAAAGAACAACCAGGCATCCTCTACTGACGGAATGAGATCGATATCCATCCAGGATACCTGGGCCAGGTCAATTAGGAAGGCCTGCTCGCTAAAGTGTTTTATGGTGCGTTTGACAGTGATGAGGGGTGATCGTTTGACCGCGGACCCGTTACGGACGCAGGCAATAAGGCAGTGATCGCTGAGATCCTGGTTGAAGACAGCGGAGGTGTATTTAGAGGGTAAGTTAGTCAGGATGATATCTATGAGGGTGCCCATGTTTACGGATTTAGGATTGTACCTGGTAGGTTCCTTGATAATTTGTGTGAGATTGAGGGCATCTAGTTTGGATTGTAGGATGGCCGGGGTGTGAAGCATATCCCAGTTTAGGTCACCAAGCAGTACGAACTCTGAGGATAGATGGGGGGCAATCAATTCACATATGGTGTCCAGGGCACAGCTGGGGGCTGAGGGGGGGGGGGGCTGTAGCAAGCGGCAACAGTGAGAGACTTATTTCTGGAAAGGTGGATTTTTTGAAGTAGGAGCTCAAACTGTTTGGGCACAGACCTGGATAGTATGATAGAGCTCTGCAGGCTATCTACAGTAGATTGCAACTCCACCCCCTTTGGCAGTTCTATCTAGATGGAAAATGTTGTAGTTGGGGATGGAAATTTCTGAATTTTTGGTGGCCTTCCTAAGCCAGGATTCAGACACTGCTAGAACATCAGGGTTGGCGGAGTGTGCTAACGCAGTGAATAACTCAAACTTAGGAAGGAGGCTTCTGATGTTAACGTGCAGAAAACCAAGGCTTTTACATTTACAGAAGTCAACAAATGATAGCTCCTGGGGAGTAGGAGTGATACTGGGGGCTGCAGGGTCTGGGTTAGCCTCTACATCACCAGAGGAAGACTAGAATAAGGATACGGCTAAAGGCTTTAAGAACTGGTCTTCTAGTGCATTGGGTACAGAGAATAAAGGGGGCAGATTTCCTGGTGTTGTAGAATAGATTCAGGGCATTATGTACAGACAAGGATATGGAAGGATATGAGTACAGTGGAGGTAAACCTAAGCGTTGGGTAACAATGAAAGAGAGAGCATCACTGGAGACACCGATTGAGCCGGTCTCGGCGTGTATGGGGGGTGGAACAAAGGAGCTATTTGAGACAGTTTGAGAATGACTTGGGGTTCTATATTGAAATTGTATAATAAGAACTAACTGGAACAGCAATAGGCAAGGCATATTGACATGGGAGAGAGGCATAAAGCAATCACAGGTGTTATTGGAGAGAGCTAAGACAACAACTGGTAATGGCGATGAAAGTTTAGGCTGAGGCGAAACAGATAAACAGGACAGGGTACCGTGTAAAGGAACAGTCCAGCAGGCATCAGCTGTGCACCTGAGTGATCATAAGGTCCAGTGAACAGCAATATGTGAGTCCGAGAGCAGTTCGAATTGGTGCTACAGCACAGCGAGCAGGAAGCACGGCTGTTGTTTGCGTGTGCTAGCGGGCCGGGGCTAGCAGATGGATCTTCGTGGTCGTCGCAACGGTAAGTCTGTTGAAACCACAAACGATTACGTCAGCAGACCAGTCGGTATGGATCGGCGGGGCTCCGTGTCGACTCTAGGAGGACCCGTCCGGTTGACAGAGAGGTAGATAGTCGGGAGATGTGCCTGACTCGAGGCTAGCTCAAAGCTGATTAGCCAACAACAACATCCATTTGGTTGCAACTAGCTAGTTGCGATGATCCGGTGTTAAAGGTCCAGTGATTTTGTGATTCCGGCAGAAAATCCGATATGTTCTGGGTCAATAACGCGCTGTGCAGACAGTGCAGACTGGCCGATAATAGTCCAGGCTAGAGCTGGCTGGTAGGTAGTGCAGGCCACGGACAATGGTGAAAAACCGCTAACGGTGGCTAATAGCAAGTAGCTAGTTAGCTGGCTACTCCCGTCTGGTAGACAAAGATGTAGATAGCCGGGATATGGGCCTGGCTCGAGGCTAGCTCAAGGCTAACTGGTGCTTGCTTCGGGGGCAGTTAGCCTACAGCAACATCCATTCGGTTGCGGCTAGCTAGTTGCGATCCGTTGTTAGGGTCCAGTTATTCCGGCAGAAAATCCGATGTTCTGGGTGAAAACCGCTAACGGTGGCTAATAGCAAGTAGCTAGTTAGCTGGCTAGCTAGTTTCAACTGGAGATTCTAGATAAAGGTGAGTAAATAATAGAATCCGTTCCACATTGAATGAGGCGGGTTGCAGGAAAGTATATTTAGTAGAAGGATGAAAAGTGTGATAGGGAAATATGTACGAAAATATATATTTACACGGACACACAACAAAGAACACGACCGCACTACTACGCCATCTTGGGAATGCTTTCCACTAGATGTTGGAACATTGCTTCGGGGACTTCCTTCCATTCAGCCACGCGCATTAGTGAGGTCGGGCACTGATGTTGGGCGATTAGGCCTGGCTCGCAGTTGGCGTTCCAATTCATCACGTTTCCACTGCTCCATAGTCCAATTGAGCTTTACACCACTCCATGCGACGCTTGGCGTTGCGCATGGTGATCTTAGCCTTGTGTGCGGCTGCTCGGCCATGGAAACCCATTTCATGAATCTCCTGACCAACAGTTATTTTGCTGACGTTGCTTCCAGGGGCAGTTTGGAACTCTGTAGTGAGTGTTGCAACCGAGGACAGACAGACGATTTTTGCGCGCTACGCACTTCAGCACTCGGTGGTCCTGTTCTGTGAGCTTGTGTGGCCTACCACTTTGCGGCTGAGATGATTTTGCTCCTAGACGTTTCCACATAACAACACTTACAGTTGACCGGGGCAGCTCTAGCAGTGCAGAAATTGCTCTATTTTATACACCTGTCAGCAACGGGTGTGGCTGAAAAACCGAATCCACTAATTTGAAGGGGTGTCCACATACTTTTATCTATATATTGTACTATTCTAGCCCTTACATTCTAACAGCCATTCCAAGCCTCTTACTCCCACAGAGCTACAGCCATAGATATAGAACACCATAGATGGGTATATCTGTGGCTTAAGCTCTGGCCTTTCACCTTTGGCTTGGTAGGACTAGTTCTCACCTGTTCTCTCCTCTCCATTAACAGACTGTGTCATTCTGGAGGAGGGCGGGAGCACGGCTGAACCAGAGGCTGCAGAGGCACTGGAGGAGAGCAGAGCAGCCGAGGTGAGTTTTATAAAGTCATTTGTTACAGAAGCCCAAACCGTGACTGTAATGCTAGTTCAGATGGATAGCTGGGCACTGACTTCTGCTCCCAAAAAGTGATAAGATTACCTGATCTGATGGCCCTCCTTGTGTATGAGCAGGTTCAGAGTGGAGTGTCGGCCATGACAGCCTCTGAACAGCTGAGTGGTGAGAGCCACGCATTCACTCCAGGCCTGGAGGACATGGCAGAGGGCATGGCTGCCCCAGGGGCATTGGAAGGGGGGCAGGAAGAGGGCAAGGAGGGGGGTGATGCTGCCAACAAGTTCTATTGCTACATCTGCACTCTCGCCTGTCACAACCAGCAGGTAGAGCGCACACACACCCTCGGGGTGTAGAGGGAAATGTTTGCTTTTGAATGGTCCAAGGCAAGCACTCAGCTTGACGCTTCAGCGACCCTGTTAGTCAAGTTCATTAGCTGCCACATGGTTGAGATGTCAGCCCGAGGCTAGTGAGACAGGAATCCCTCTGTATCATATCTCTGCATCTCTCTTTACATCTCTTTGTATCCCTCTTTTTCTTCTTAGAACTTCCAGAGTCACATGAACGGCCTGGCCCACCAGCAGAGGATGATGGAGATCCAACACATGTCCAATGCCTGTCTGGTCACCCTGATGCCCCGCGTCCAGGAGTCACTACAGGGAGGCCGCAGGGACAGCTCATCCTTCAGGGACGGGTCAGTACTAGTGCACGTTGGTGACAGGTAAATGGGATTTAAGTAAGACTCAATCATTAGGCGATAGGGGTCGAATGAAACAAAGCTGACTGAAACAGGAAGGGTCTGCCTAAAATGGTCTAATAACACTCGTTTTCCATTGCAAAATGTTTTGCTACGGTTTGTCCCTATGAATATGGTCCTCATGGAGCTGTGTGTGTTTAACATAGAGAGAAGAAACCGGGCCCGCAGCGTTGGTGTGCTACCTGCCAAATCCACTACACCAGTACAGTCATGGTGCACCGCAGGACCAGGGAGCACAAGCTGGGCAGCCGCACCTCCAACCCCTCCTGTACCGTCTGCAAGAGGCACTTCAGGAGCCCACTCCTGTTCCTGGAGCACATGCAGTCCCAGGGGCACAAGCAGAGAGTTGACGAGGTGCGTGTGTCTCTGTCTACTCATCTCTGCCTCGGCAACTTGGAAATCCATTAAATGTGTTACCTTTTTGGAGTCCCTAATGGCACCTTATTTCCTAAGTACAGTAGTACACTACTTTTGACAAGAGCCCTATGGGCCCTAGTCAAAAGTAGTGCACTAAATAGGGAATAATAGGGTGCCACTTGGGACCTAACCCTTGTCAAAACATTCCCTCCTTCTTATTCACTGTTCTGTGCTCCTCCCACTACAGCTTCGGGAGGAGGGGGGGCCAGAGTCCTTGGCTGAACTGGTTGCCATGGACGCACAAGGCTGCTTTGTAGACGATGGGGAAGAGAATGAGGAGGAGGAGGCTAGCGAGGAGGAAGAGGATGAAGAGGAAATGGAAGATGGAGGACAAGGCAGCTCCCATGGAAAGGTTAGGCATCTGCATGTACACGCCTTGTCACACATGGGGATGGGCTTTTTATTTTATTTTTTACTGTTATAGTACTCGCATGATTTTTTGGAATGGAAAAAATATATATTTTTAGAACATAAGGGCAAGTCCCGCACTGGAAAATCATATGTGTGCATTTATCTAAATCCCAACAGTGCACAACAATGCCTAATTTAGCATAACCATTAGAGATAACAAATCCTAATTGCTAAATTGCCTCGTATATTCAGTCAATAAAAAAACGATTGCCATTTTAAGATTAATTTATTGAAACCGTAATATCAACTGGTTATTTTATATTGTGGAAGAAAATCTTTAAAAAGGCTGTGACCTCAGCAGTGGTGCTTGCTTGTAGAAGCCTATGGCTGTGCAATGGCATAGCCTTGTTTTAATTTAGCAGACAGGACGCTCTTATTTCCTGAGCCCTTAACAGTCAACAACAGACACACCTACAGTGCCTTCGGAAAGTATTCAGACCCCTTTACCAGCCAGCTCTAGCCTGGGGGTGGGGGGGTGGGGGGGGGGGGGGGGGGGGGGGCAAGCCACAAAATACTTTCCACCAAATAGTTTTACAGTATTTGAAAAAAATGTGATCTCTGGTTAAAGATCGAGTTTTGATGTCCATTCGAGTACTCGATTACTCATGCCTATCCCTAGTCACACCACGTCTCTTTTTTCTTGCTCTTTCTCCCATGCACATATTCTCTTTTTTTCCCAGTGTCAATATTGGAGAAATGTTGGGAGACATGTTATTATCTTCATGAAACTTCTGTATATCATTGTTGTGTTGGTTTGGATCTATTTGGTAATGTGTGTATTTGGTGTGGCAGGAGGGCTGGCCTACCCAGATGGAGGTGGCTCTACTAGAGGAAGTAGATGAAGATGAGGAGTATGACCCTGACACGGTGTACGGTGAGTGACACACCCTACATGAGAGGACACTCACTGTCTGAGTCATTACACAACACTCACTGACTTGCCATAGTTAAATGAAAGCCATTCAGAATCAGTCATTTATAAGTACATGTTATATGTAGCTATATTGCACATTGTGATTTTGTCATGTGTGATTCTGTTGTCAGACTTGCCTCTCTCTGCCTGTATCCCAGGTTCTAGCTTTGTGGTCCCTGTGGCTGGGTTCCTCTGTAGACTCTGCCAGCAGTTCTACCATTTTGAGTCCTCAGCCCGCCACTTGCACTGCAAGTCACTCAAACACTTTGAGAACCTCAAGGTTGGTTGTATAATTGCATGTCTTGTTGGTTGTATGAATTAAGACAACGCACATCAAATTAACAGGTTTGCCTACCTGTTGTAGTCATCTCTGTTAAATCCTATGCGTTTGTGCCTTCTCTCCCCTACAGAAGTACAGGGCCTTGCGTAGCCAGAAGGATGACACAGTGGAACCTACTCCCATAGACGGGATGGACGGAGATGCAGAGTGTGATAGTAACCACATCATCTCAGATTCAAACAGCCTGCCTTCAGAGCTTCTCAGCAGCCCTACCGTACTGCAGCCCACCATCTCCATAACCAGACTGAGGCCCTCCAGACCCTGCCCTGAACCCCAGGACAACACTCCCTCAGCCCCCGCTTCATCCCTGCAGGACCTCACCACCACCAGCAGCACTGGGGGGACTCCGGCTCAAGCCTCCCCAGAGAAGCAGAGCCCAGTAAACCCTGAGGACAAGGAGGAAGAGCCAACCCCAGAACTAGCACCAGTCACAGAAGAGGCAGAGGAGGAGCCAGCACCAGTCACAGAAGAGGCAGAGGAGGAGCCAGCACCAGTCACAGAAGAGGCAGAGGAGGAGCCAGCACCAGTCACAGAAGAGGCAGAGGAGGAGCCAGCACCAGTCACAGAAGAGGCAGAGGAGGAGCCAGCACCAGTCACAGAAGAGGCAGAGGAGGAGCCAGTCATGGGAGAGGCAAAGGCAGCTGCTCCAGAGGAGAAGACAGGCAAAGGGAAAGCAAAGGGCCCATCCAAAAGGAAGTCCGGGAGGACAACACGGAGACGTTGAGAGAGAACGGGAGGGAGAGCGGAAGAAATAAATGATATCCAGTACAATCGCTACCCTAGGACAGGGTGCCATTAGTTTGGGACAGGGTCCCCCGCCTCCTCTTCTGTATAGCTCAATAGACCAAGACTGACCTGGCAACTCAAAACCGGTGATCCTCTAACCTATATTTCTAGGTTTTTAGGTGTTTAATTTTTGAATAACACAACTAGATAGTCGTATTTCTAACAGGCATTCAGTGGAACCTGACTGAAGAGAACTATGCGGAAAGAAATTGTGGATGTGTGTGTTGCTGTCATAAAGTGTTAAAAGGGTAAAATGAAAACAAAGGTCCGTTTTAGTTTATACATGTTGTGTTCTAGTTAGCTAACTGTCTAACTCAACACATTGTTGCCAGGTTTAGGAATGGAGTGGTGTTTTAGTCCAGGAACTGAATGAAGAAGCATAGCAGGCGACTTATCTGAAAATATTTTGTGATGGGGGTGGGAAGTAAATGGTTAAAAAGTAAACAGTACTTTTGTTTGAATATCAAGTAACTATGAACCTTGATTTGATCCTAGCTTTGTTGAAGTGCTATTGTCCTTGACATTTTATTGTCTAAGACATTTTTTACACAAATTCTCTGAACTGTTTTGGAGATTTCTTGGGATGTTAGCAGGCGAGGAGATTGGTTAGAGGGGTGTTTCAAATGGGGAAAGTCTTAACTGCTTGGTCTATTTAGCTCAGATACACCCTGAGGTGCTGCTTTCCCCACATCACTATACTGCTAAATACATTTTAATTGACTTGTTTAGCTCTTTAACCCATTGGTTGCTGAAACTGCCTAAATCCCACTGGTATTGCTCTCAAGTTGCACTTGAACCTCCAAAAGGCTGTGCGATTATGGTTTTGACAAGACTGGAAGGATTATAGATCATTAGCGTTCCTAGAATGTTAAGAAGCAGAACATGATTTTAGTGAGCCTTAGAATATAGCTGCTCTTAATCAGCTCATAATGTTCTATCAAGCTCTGTTGGACTAGACAAGTCCTGAGACCATAAAACGGTCCTTTAGATGTGACTCAGATGGGGAGAACACATTGGCCTAGAACAAACTCTGCCATTGTTTGTTCTCAGAAATAACCAGTTTTATGTAAAGTTCAGTATTCACTCATTTTCACAGTTGGAAGCATTAGGCCTACCTATAGCCAGCTAATACAATGGGGGATTTCCAAACCCTGTCACCCCATTAATATTAATAATTTCAAATGTCCTGAACTGAAAGCAATGTTGCATTAACAAGCTATCACATCACAAACATGACATTGTAAAAGAGTTGAGTAGCTTTGTGCTAGTTTTCCAACCTTTTAAATTGAGTTGTTACTTATTTATTTTTTCTCACATCTTGTTTGCTCCAATACACTGGACTAGTAGTCATTTGTATTGAGTATAATTGTCTGTACAAGTGACATTGCATGGCAGAATTGTGACTGTTCACATTGGTAACATTAATATCAACAATATTAAAGTGGTATGATAGGACTTGGAATTTTTCCAAACAATGAGACCTGACCTGGAGAAACTAAGGCTGCGTTTACACAGGCAGCACAATTTGGATCTTTTTTCACTAAGGCCGTGTCTACACTTGACACTTACAATACGAAGATGCATTGAAACGACAGGTCTAGATAAACGAAAGTCACATTGTGGTTGGAATTGTTTCGATCTGGCTGACTGCCTTAGGTGGTGGTCAGAGACTCATTGTGTGCGGATTTCTCCTCAGTCTGGACGCAATCACGCTACCAAAAGTGAATACAGTGGGCGATGTCATCAGCACTCCGCCCACAAGTCTCCAGAAAATGTATGTTTTTGGAGCAAGAGACACAATCTTTCATTAAATTTTGATTAAACTGAAGAAATACGTACCTAGCGTATGGGGAACGTGTTTGCTGGCTTTAGAAATGCTAGCCCGCCGGCTTAATTTTTTTTGTTTAGAGTTAGTTACCTGTTTGCGCTCCCTTTAGCTTTGCTTGCTGGCTAATTAGCTACAGTAGTTGGTTACTGCCATCAAGTTGTCAGATTTAGCCTGTTCCACCGCTTGCAGAATGCATACTGCATTTAAGGAAAAAGGGAATCCTGACACAATTTGGACGCGGTAGACCCATTTTAATGTGGTTGTGGACACATGACGTGTTCGGAATTCCATGATCAGAACTCCATGTTTAGAATACAAAAGCTGTATGAACTGTCAAGTTTTGACACAGCCTAATGGGTATTTTAACCAACCAATCAGCTCTGAAAAAGATCTGATGAGATTGGTCAAAAGACCAATTTAGTGAAAAATATCAGAATTGGACGTCCAAACGCAGCTTAACTGGTCAGGAAACTCTTGGCTTCGGGCATGGAGAATGAAGTGTCTTTTCTCCTTTGATAGTCAATTAGTGTAGAAGTTGTTCCTTATTTCTTTTTTCTCACGCACATCTTGTTAGTTCCAATACACTGGAGTAGTAGACTGCGTATTGAGGGGCAAACCAATTCTGATATTTTTTTCCACTAATTGGTCTAATTAGACCAATCACATCAGCACTTTCAGAGCTGATCTGATTGGTCAAAAGACCAATTAGGGGGGGAAAATATCAGAATTGGGCTGCATGTCCAAACGCAGCCTTAGTCATTTTCATTGAGTATAATTGTCTGTACGAACATTGCATGGCAGTGGTCACCTTGCAAATTTGTAACATTATTATCAACAATAATGAAGTGAAAAAAATTATAGGACTTGGAGTTTTTCCTAACCATGAGACCTCACCGGGGTAAACTAACTGGTCAGGATAATCTCTTGGCTCCAGGCACAGAAAATGAAGTATATTTTCCCTAGTGATAATAAATGTGTGTAGCAGACTAACAGTTACAGAAACTGATAACCAGCAGCTCTGATTTTAAAGAACACCAACAGAAGAAATGGAATGATTCACCAGCTTGTGATCTATTCATTGACAAGACATGGATAACCATTTGTCACTGGCCTCTTGGTGAGAGGAGACTGAATATAGGATAATTGTTCTTAAGTTGTAGACAGAACTACACAAGACTGAATCTAGTAATGTAGCACTCCAGTTAAGAGTCCCCAATCACAGCCACCATATGTTCTTTCAAGGAACAAGTCTCTCCTAGATAATACTTTCAGTGAATGGGCAGTTAGTTGTTTTATTAGTTCACTTGTACAGAGGATGAGCAGATGCAGACTCTTTACACAGGCAGCCCAATTTTCACAGATCTTTTTCTGAGCTGATCTGATTAGTCAAAAGACCAATTAGATCAGAATTGGGCTGCCTGTGTAAACAAACCCATATTGGCAAGCTCATTTGTCTTCTAGTCTATCTGGTTTGGGTCCCACTGAAATATAAAGGACCAGAGCATGACAAAGGGTCATTTAAGTGACATTTCAAACAGCTGTATGTTTCTTAATGTACTTTTATTCTACAAATAAAACCGCTGAACAAGAGTTTTCTAGCAGCTGGAAGTTTCATGTATTTTTGGGATGTTTTCTGTATTGGGGTCATTTTAATTTATAATAATAAAATTTGACAATTGGCTCACTGATTATTGAATATATTACATCTGTTTTAAAGAGCTAGTTCTTTACGTTAGCGATTCTCAAGATGTCACACTCAGCTACTTAACAGTAACACATTCAATATACTGTATTTTAACCTCACAAAGAAAAACAATGGGAGAAAGTGGAACACAAAACAAACATTACGTTAAAATCTCTTCTTGCACGTCACAGAAAAACATTGACCAATCAAAGGTCACATATGATTTGGAGTATTGCATTACTACTGTATAGATAGTTACCCCACAAAGAGGTTAATGTTGATGCTTACCTACCACCAGGGGTGTATTCATTACATTTTACAACAGAAACCGTTTAAGAATCTAACACAGCAAACGAAACTGGGAGACCTACCTGAATTTGTGCAATAGAAACTCGTTTTCGTTGCAAAACGTTTTCCGTTTGGAGTAAACGGTTTCTGTTCCAAAACATTTTGCAACAGATTCGGCGTAATGAATACACACCAGTTATGACGTGAATCACAGCTTATTCTGTATGCTTTTCCCCCCATACCAAGCACAGGGATAAATAAGTACTCATCAAGGGGGCAATTGAGGACTGTATACAGATAGCTAAGCTGAAACATTGGTATACATAGTATGTGTTGGTATAAACTAGTCACTTAAACACAGAGAATTAACCCAGCTTTTGGCTCATTTACTACACTTAGCAGGAACCATCTTAAGATTTCAACAGCTGAGTATGGTTTCAAACTGTATAGTTCAGTGGAGGGTTCATAAGTGCTTCATGTAAGGGACAGAGAAGGACAAATCCCATTCACTCTTAAGTGTCAACACACCACACAGGAACAATTGAGGAAAGGAAAGATGCTCATCTAGTAGTCCAGCTTTGTCTACTCACGCTCCCTCTTCGCCCTTCTCCCCTTCAGTGGTCGGAGAATACTTGTCCGGGGACAGTTGCTCCTCTCCTGGGGGTGTAGTGGTCCTCAGCTGAACTCTAAACTCCTGCCTGGCCTGCCGGTTGGACTCCAACAGTTCATGTAGTTTGTCATTCAGTGAGTCGTTGCGTTCCTCCAGGTCATCTAGGCAAGAGTTGATCTGATCCAGCATAGTGTTGATGGCTGCATACTCTGCCAAAGGAGAGTGATATGAGAACAGCAACGATGTGCAATTCCTAATACAGACACCCTATTGGCTTACCTATGTACACAGCTGTGAATGACAACACACACAGTTTTGTTTTACTATCCTTGTGGGGACCAAAACATTTATTCCCTTTCTAAATCCTATGTTCCCTAACCTAACCCTTAACCTAACCCCTAAGCAGCAAATTTCCTCATGGGGACCGGCGAAATGTACACACTTGTCCGAATGTTCCTTGTTTTAATATCCTTATGAGGACTTCTGGTACCCACAAGGATAGTTAAACAACAAAAACACACACTATCTCTTCATCATAGGCGCAGAGATTCCATGATGACTTCTGAAACATACCGGTATTACCCTCTTCGCTGAATTCATCTTCATCGTCGATGATGCCATCATCAATTGAGAAGTTAGGATCTCCATTTGGTCCAGACATATTGTTGTTTACGTAGAATTAGCTACACTAAAATAAATTAGAGAAAAGATGCGTTAGCTAGCTAGCTGGCAGCCCCATGTGCTAGATAGCTAACGCGTTAGTAATTTAAGAAAAATAGATGCAAGTTGACTTACATTACTATGTTCATCACCAGTGCACTTCACATATAGTAGTGGTTTCTAATATAATATTCTGCTGGAAAACAAAAACCTAAAAAGGACTAAATCGTAATGCACAAATTGGATTTTGCTGGACTGCTAGCTAACAACCTCAGCCTGTCGCGTACTGTGTCAGCTGACTGATGACAACATTGAGAAACAAGCTGCCCGACATGACGCCTTGACGCGATGTTCAAACGTTGCTTTACAAATACTTCAAGAGATCTACATCTACAATATATTTGGCCTTGCAATGATGAGTTAAAAAACTGTCTATCAGACTGGAACACAATAGAAAGGATAGAATCAAATCAGCCGTTTTGTGGTCAGTTTCGTGATGTAGTTTATCTTGTGATTGTATATTATCTTTGGCATATCCCCTCTGATATCATTCATATCAACGTACATGTTTAACTTTTCATTATTTAATTTAGTGAATCTTAATGTCCAATTTCTATTGGTATTTATACATTACAGACAGTTGTCTTTATTTTGTCTTGAGAACTAGCAAAGACAGTACATTATGAAGATAGGCCGAAACTGCTTCTCCCGGATCAGCTAAACTAAACTCATGTGCAGAAACACGTTATTGGGTCTAACTGTCGTCTCGCGCCAAACCGCGCATGTGCAGGCCGTCAATCAAAGGCACAACTTCGATTGTTGTTGGGTTTTTTTTTCAAAAATTAAAACGTGTCAGTTTGTCACTTTTACGAGGTTGGAGTAATAACATGTTCAATTACTTAAGACATTGGCTCGAATATAGATTGTGCCTTTAGATTTCGAGAAAATTAACAACTAAGGAAGATTGTTTTCACTTCTCTCATTGACTTCTCAAACCCAAACCCCGGCCTGGTCTGTTTGGCAAGCGTTCCCGGAAGTATCGCAACGTTGTGCCTCTGGGTTTAGAAACTCTGTGGTACTAGGTCCTATAAATACCCCAGACTGCGCCATACTGTTATGAACAATAGGTGCCGCCAGGGCCTATACGTCTTGAGCGGAAGAAATACGCCCGCGTACCCAGGTGGGTCCGAGCACACATGACAGGGGCAGCTAGTAGCTAACGTTAGCTAGCAAAATAAAATAAGAATATTAGTCAGCTATCTAGCTTATCGACCATGGAGGACCTACCTGCAGATATCAAAGCTTTCCTTCTGAATCACCCATTTTTTGAACTTACGGACGACGGCAAAAAGGTTAATTTCCACTGCACCAAACTTATTTTCACAATATCGTATAGTTTAACTTAATTAACGTTGGCTAGATAGCTAATAATGTTAGGCTGTATATGCTAATGATGTGAACTACATGACATGTATATGACAGCATTTTGTTTCATCCTTTTTTTTTTCTTTAGATCAAATGCGTCCTCAATGGACATGATTGTCCTTGCAACCTCACAGAGCTCCAGAACTTCACCAAAGGGAAGAAATATCAGAAAATGAGTTCTACTGCAGAGTTCAACTATAGTCAATATGAACCACATGTTGTGCCCAGCTCGAAGCAACCGTAAGTATTGCCCAAGAGTCATACTCTCTCAGTAGTTGACGGTTTAGTGATCGAGGGGGAGCACCTCTTGGCAGATGCCATGATATTGCACCCAAATTCAAGGGGGCTAAACATTCTCCCTATCTCTCTCCAGACCCATCCAGAGTTCTCCAACTGCTGCCACCAATGCAGTGTGGTTATATGACTTCTGTGGTTATCAAGTGCCTGTCTGCCTCAAGTTATGTCCCCACTCTAAACAGTTGTTAGGGTTACTGACCAATTCTGTATGTCTGACCTACAGCAATCATCTCTTCTGCAAGTTGACACTCAGACACATTAATCGCTTGCCACACCACGTCTTACGGCATGTCAATGGGAAGCGGTTCCAAAAAGCGAAGAAGAAATGTCAGTACTTTTTGCCACCCAAAATGTCCTTCCTCCTACCTACACTCAAATGTTAATGCTTCCTTTCCACTCAGTGTTTTTCAACTGATTGTTGATGTGTGTTTTCAGAGGACTTTCGTTCTGCACTTTCAATTTACCAGTGAAGCATCTTTACAATCCATCAGACGTACAGTACCAGTCAAAGGTTTGGACACACCTACTCATTCAAGGGTTTTTCTAGATTTTTTTTTTAAACAATTTTTACATTGTAGAATAATAGTGAAGACATCAAAACTATGAAACAGCACATATGGAATCATGTAGTAACCAAAGAAAGTGTTAAACAAATCAAAATATATTTGAGATTCTTCAAATAGCCACCCTTTGCCTTGATGACAGCTTTGTACACGTCGCATTCTCTCAACCAGCTTCATGAGGGCGGCAGGTAGCTTAGTGGGTAAGAGCATGGTGCCAATAACCGAAAGGTCGCTGGATCTAATCCCCGAGCCGACTAGGTGAAAAATCTGTCGACGTGCCCTTAAGCAAGGCACTTAACCCTAATTGCTCTGGATAAGAGCATCTGCTAAACATTTAAATGAGGTAGTCACCTGGAATGCATTTCAATTAACAGGCGTGCCTTAAGTTAATTTGTGGAATTTATTTCCTTAATGCGTTTGAGCCAATCCGTTGTGTTGTGACGAGGTATACCGACGAGAGCCCTATTTGGTAAAAGACAAAGTCCATATTGTGTCAAGAACAACTCAAATAAGCAAAGCGAAACGACAGTCCATCATTACTTTAAGACATGAAGGTCAGTCATTACGGAACATTTCAAGAACATTGAAAGTTTCTTCAAGTGCAGTCGCAAAAACCATCAAGCGCTATGATGAAGCTGGCTCATGAGGACCGCCACAGGAATGGAGGACCCAGCGTTACCTCTACTGCAGAGGATGAGTTCATTAGTTACCAGCCTCAGAAATTGCAGCCCAATAAATGCTTCTGAGTTCAAGTAACAAACATCTCAACATCAACTGTTCAGAGGAGACTGTGTGAATCAGGCCTTCGTGGTCGAATTGCTGCAAAGAAACCACTACTAAACGACACCAATAATAAGAAGAGACCTGCTTGGGCCAAGAAACACGAGCAATGGACATTAGACCGGTGGAAATGTGTCCTTTTGGTCTGGAGTCAAAATGTGAGATTTTTGGTTCCAACCGCCGTGTCTTTGTGAGACGCGGCGTGGGTGAACGGATTATCTCCGCATGTGTAGTTCCCACCGTAAAGCATGGAGGTGTTATGGTGTGGGGGTGCTTTGCTGGTGACACTGATTTATTTTGAATTCAAGGCACACTTAACCAGCATGGCTATCCCATCTGGTTTGGACTTAGTGGGGCTATCATTTTTGTTTTTCAGCAGGACAATGACCCAACACACCTCTTGGCTGGGTAAGGGCTATTTTACCAAGAAGGAGAGTGATGGAGTGCTGCATCAGTTGACTTGGCCTCCACAATCCCCCGACCTCAACCCAATTGAGATGGTTTGGGATGAGTCGGACGGCAGAGTGAAGGAAAAGCAGCCAACAAGTGCTAAGCATATGTGGGAACTCCTTCAAGACTGTTGGAAAAGCATTCCAGGTTAAGTTAGTTGAGAGAATGCGAAGAGTGTGCAAAGCTGTCAAAGGGAAAGGGGGGCTATTTGAAGAATCTGAAATATAAAATATATTTTGATTTAACACTTTTTTGTTTTTTTTGTTACTACATGATTCCATATGTATTTCATAGTTTTGATGTCTTCACTATTGTTCTACAATGTAAAAATAAAGAAGAACCCCTGAATGAGTAGGTGTGTCCAAACTTTTGACTGGTACTGTATGTCTTTAAAATAGAACAACCTGAAACACCACATAGATGGTTGTTTTCACTGTCACCTGTACAGTTTATGAATTGTCTAATCTCTCCCCTAGATGAAGAGTGTGTACAACAGGGGGTGAAGTACATGCCAGCCTGCCTCCAACAGAAGAAGCCCAGAGATAGAGATGGGGAGAGGGGGCGCAACATCCAGCGGGGGAATGGAGCGTGGGCTCCTGACTCAAGCGACGAGGGTGGCAGCGACTCAGAGGACAGCATGAGTGACCTGTACCCATGTTAGTACCTCAGTCATTTTAATGTGTAAAACAGTCAATTGTGACACTAGCGGTGTCTGAATACACATACTAGCGTACTAAATAGTATGCAAAAAAAATAGATTGAAAGTATGTGAAATTTCAAATTGTACTCCTATTTACATTTTAGTCATTTAGCAGACGCTCTTATCCAGAGCGACTTACAGTTAGTGAGTGCATACATGTAAATGCGCGATTGCATTGACTCCTGCCATTCGTTCATTTTGGTATAGCCCATTAATTTATCTGATTATCAGCTGCTGTCAAACACGTGAGTCGAAAAAGACGAGTGAATTCTACTAGATCAAACAGCGAAATTAGTATGCAGTTTAAGTATGTAGTGCTTTAGTATGGGTATTCGGACACAGCTAATGTCTGCTGTGGATGTGCTAGAACATACAGAATGTGGATTCAAGTACATTTGACAAATCTGCTTCCTTTCTGGAAGGTGAAAACTAATGTCTTGCTTTTTCTTTCCCTACAGCCACTTTATTCTCTCTGAAAAAGGAGACGGAACAGGGTATGGAGGCGGAAAAAGATGACATTCAAACTGATGATGAGATGGAGATTGATAAACAGGCGCCACAGAAACGCAAGAAGGTCAGATGGCTTAACCCTCACGGAACTGTTTTTTTCCACCGATATTGTTGAGCAGTCTTTCACACAAACAGGTCTGAATGTGGTTGTTGAGTTACTGTAATTAGTAACACCGCTCTCTTTGTATCTTCGACAGGTTCAGGCTGGTGGTTTACAGAAGAAATTCAAGAATCATTACTGTAAAATAAAAGGTTTTAAAGACCATGTTAAAAATGGAAAATAAAGGGGAATGCTGCACTTCTCTATTCGCACCTTGAATTTGTGATATTCTCTCATCCTGTCGGGTGTTGCTAAGTACAGTTGAAGTCAGAAGTTTACATACACTTAGGTTGGAGTCATTAACTTGTTTTTCAACCATTCCACAAACTTCTTAACAAACTAGTTTTGGCAAGTCGGTTAGGACATCTACTTTGCATGACACAAGTAATTTTTCCAACAATTGTTTACAGACCGATTATTTCAGAAGATGCTGGAGGAAACGGGTACAAAAGTATCTATATCCACAGTAAAATGAGTGCTATATCGACATAACATGAAAGGCTGCTCAGCAAGGAAGAAGCCACTGCTCCCGCCAAAAATAGAACCGTTTGGCCATAATGACCATCGTTATGTTTGGAAGAAAAAGGGGGTGCTTGCAAGAGGAAGAACACCATCCCAACCGTGAAGCACGGGGGTGGCAGCATCATGCTGTGGGGGTGCTTCGTTGCAGGAGGGACTGGTGCACTTCACAAAATAGATGGCATCATGAGGAAGGAAAATTACATGGATATATTGAAGCAACATCTCAAGACCTCAATCAGGAAGTTAAAGCTTGGTCGAAAATCGGTCTTCCAAATGGACAATGACCCCAAGCATACTTCCAAAGTTATGGCTTAAGGACAACAAAGTCAAGGTATTGGAGTGGCCATCCCAAAACCCTGACCTCAATCCTATAGAAAATGTGTGGGCAGAACTGAAAAAGCATGTGCAAGCAAGGAGGCCTACAAACCTGACTCAGTTACACCAGCTCTGTCAGGAGCAATGGGCCAAAATTCACCCAACTTATTGTGGAAGGCTACCCAAAATGTTTGACCCAAGTTAAACAATTTAAAGGGAATGCTACCAAATACTAATTGAGTGCATGTAAATGTCTGACCTACTGGGAATGTGGTGAAAGAAATAAAAAGCTTAAATAATTATCTCTACTATTATTCTGACATTTCACATTCTTAAAATAAAGTGGTGATCCTAACTGACCTAAGACAGGGCATTTTTACTAGGATTAAATGTCAGGAATTGTGAAAAACTGAGTTTAAATGTATTTGGCTAAGGTGTATATAAACTATCGACTTCAACTGTAGATGCAAACATAAGGCTTCTCCTAGCAGCTAATTATACATTTTTCTGTCCAATCTTGAGCAAGAGTTGACAGATAACACTACTTCTATAATGTTCCACACAAAAGCATTTTCCAGTCTTGACGTGGATTCTGCTAATGCCCAGCACCAAATGTACATCTTACAGATCCTCTTATCCAGAGCGACTTACAGTAGTGAGTGCTTACATTTTCATACTTTTTTTTCCTTCCATACTGGTCCCCCGTGGGAATCGAACCCACAACCCTATGTAGTCCTATATAGCATCTCAACTACAGGATTCGATGTTCATCATATAGCTCCAATTATGAAAACGTCCCAAATGTACTCACTTTACCATAGAAGATTGTGGAAACGTTTGATAACTGCCAGCTGAAGTATTTGACTAACTGATTGAGAGAACGCGCAAACTTTGGATCTTGTTGTTACTACAAGATCTTTGCTCTTTAGCTTCTGTCGCACAGCGTATGACGTAGTAACAACTGAGGAGACATCTCTCCACATGTCCTGTGTATCTTTGCAGATAATAATTTCGAGTAAATAACAAAGCAACCCTTAACAGATTCGATCGGGGTAAGTGTGCATTTATTTGTGTAGCATATGGTTTCAAATATTCATAGCTACGTTTTCAATGCATGCTTCTTTACCTTCTAGCTAGCTTCCTTGGCTGGCCTCCGCAACGTCAACAAACAAATGGGAGAGGGAACACACAAAGACGACCGTTTAATGCCAATTGTATTCGCACACTGCCTAGTCTAAGTGATGTTTTTTACGTTTTGAAATATTCATCAATTTCTTAATCTTCGTGCTTTTTCTTTGCGGTGATGGACTCGCCTCATAGCCAGCCGTAGCTTTATGTCAGCTAACTATACTGACCAAGCTAGCTAATCGTAAAAAATATATGCGTGCAATGATGATACATGTTGGTCTCATATGGCTATTTATTCCTTGTTACAGGGGAACAAACAATATCAGCCCCACAAATTATCTCCTAAACTGAGAACATTGCCGGGACGCTTCTTTGGGTCCTTGCTCTCCTCAAAAGCTGTTTGCTATGGCAACTTCATCTCCAAGGTTCACGTGGTGTGACTGTCGCAAACACAAGATTCCTGTCAAAGACACCCATGAGCTGTGCCTGCACTGTCTGGGGATCCAGCATGCCAAGGAGGCTGTGCTGGAGTATGGCAAATGCCCCCACTGCGCCAAGATGGACTGGAGCACCTGCATCAACCGCCTCACCAAAGTTCAGGAGATAATGCACCGTGAGAGCCAGCAGAGGAAGCACGAGGCAGCACAGTCTGAAGTTCAACCCAAGCCTGAGACCACCTCAGCTCCCATCAAGGAACCAAAACCAGAAGAAGATCCAGTCCCCACCCTGCCCCCACCTCGGCTCTCTGCTTCCACAGCGGCCCATTCGTCCACCATGCCAGTGTTGTTCACCATCCTCTCCCCACCCCCAGCCCAGGCAGGGGCCAATTCGAGCATCCCAAAAGGCACTTTCCTCTCACAACTTGCTATTCAGCAGTCCGCTGACTCCACCCCATTCATGAGCCAATCAGGTTCCCACATGCTGACCTCCAGCTCCTGTAAACGACACGGTTTCTCATCGTGCTGCTCCAAACGCTCCAAACGAAGCCGCGGTAGCCACAGGCGGAGACGCTCTCCCTCCTCCTCTTCCTCTTCCGACTGGACCTCTGATGAAGATGACTCCTCCCCCTCTGGAAAGGCAAGGAGGTCTCAGAGGGAGTCGCGGCAAGCTGTCCGGTCAGAGAGGAGGCACGGGGAGCTGGTGGATGTGGTTCAACAGGCTGTCCAGCTACAGTGGGCTGTTCTGGAGAAGCGCATTGAGGCTCTGGAGAGGAGAGGTGCTGAGGCTGTTGTGTTGTTCCCCACTCCAGCCCAAACTATAGATCTTCACGCCTCCATCCCTCAGGCATCCACCTCGTCTCAGGAGGGCGACCAGAGAGAGTTATCCTGCCCTGTCAGCGAGCAGCTGGTGACGGAATCTATCTCCGGGACCATTGTGAAGCAGGAAGAGGATCCTTCCTCCATCTCGTTTGCTTTGAGACCTCTCAGTGATGGAGACCGGGAAGGGGAGGATGCCACTCAGTCAACTGAGGGTCCTATCTCCAAACAGGACTTACTGGAAGCTATGGAGCTTCAGGGCCTCATAGCACGAGCTGCCAAGTATCTTGGCATAAACTTTCCCAGCACACCAACCAGCCCCAGCCCACCAGACCCCACAATGGTGCCAGAGTTTGAGGACCTGGTCCAGAGCTCTTGGCCAAACCCTGCCAGCTCGAAGCCGTACAGGGAGCTGTTCTCTAAGATGTACAGGCTTCACGACTGCCAGTCTCCAGCCTACGACCAGATGCCCCAGGTCAACTGCTTCATGTCGGCCATCTTCCAGGCGGTGAAGCCCACAGAGAACAAGGAGGCGCCGGTGCCAGCTGAGCGTTGGCGTTTCACTGAGACTCTAGTAGAGAGGATGTACCAGACTGCTGGCATGCTTGCTAAGACGGCCAACTACCTGCGCTACCTATCAGACTACCAGAGGAGGCTTCTGCTGGAGATCACTGAGGATCGTCCAGCCCAGCGTTTTGTGGCGGCCCTTAACGAGCTGAAGCTCATTGGCCAGTTCACCCTCCAGCTGTCCTCCCACCAGGCTGAACTGTCTGGAAGGGTCATGGCTGCTTCTGTAGCCATCCGAAGACAGGTCTGGATGGCTAAGACCAACTACACAGACTCTTTGAAAGCCACTGTGGCTGACCTTCCATTTGTGGTCAGTCACACCTTTGGGGTCAGCTCAGCCTCAGGCCCTAGCTCGACTGGAACAGTATGCAAACAGGAACCGTTGTAAAGGCTACATTTGTTACATGTACAAAAAGTGTGAGAAGTATGAACTTTTACATGTGCTGAATAGGGTTGAGACCACTAAATGGTTCACTTGTAGACATGTAAATAGGGAAATATTCTCTATAGTCTTATTGCACTCCAGTTCAATATACCTTTGATAGAATGTTTTTTTTATCAAGGAATTTTGCAACTGTTTTTGAACAGTAGCGTAGTATCTGTATCTTGACTGCATTACAGTACTTTTGACTGCCTGTTCGGTAAACTTCTTCAGAGGTTATGTTGAAAAGTATGTTTCTTGTTCAATATGAGACTTATAGTGCCTTCAGAAAGTATTCACACCGCTTGACTTTTTCCACATTTTGTGTTACAGCCTGAATTTAAAATGGATTACATTGAGATTTTGTGTCACTGGCCTACACACAATATCCCATAATGTCAAAGTGGAATTGTTGTACTTTTATTTTTTTACAAATTCATAAAAAATGAAAGCTGAAATGTCTTGAGTCAATAAGTATTCAACCCCTTAGTTATGGCAACCCTAAATAAGTTCAGGAGTAATAAGTTGCATGGATTCACTTTGTGTGTAATAATAGTGTTTAACATTAGTTTTGAATGACTACCTCATCTCTGTACCCCACACAAACAATTATCTGTAAGGTCCCTCAGTCGAGCAGTAAATTTCAAACACAGATTTAACCATAAAGACCAGGGAGGTTTTCCAATGCCTCGCAAAGAAGGGCACCTCTTGGTAGATGGGTAAAAAAAAGAAAAGCAGACGTTGAATACCGCTTTGAGCATGGTGAAGTTATTAATTACACTTTGGATGGTGTATCAATACACCCAGTCACTACAAAGATACAGGCGTCCTTCCAAACTCAGTTGCCGGAGAGGAAGGAACCGCTCAGGGATTTCACCGTGAGGCCAATGTTGACTTTAAAACAGTTACAGAGTTTAATGGCTGTGATAGGAGAAAACTGAGGATGGATCAACAACATTGTAGTTACTCCTCAATACTAAGCTAATTGACAGAGTGAAAAGAAAGCCTGTACAGAATAAAAATATTCCAAAACATGCATCCTGTTTGCAACAAGGCACTAAAGTAATACTGCAAAAAAATGTGGCAAAGCAATTTACTTTTTGTCCTGAATACAAACTGTTATTTTTCATGATTTGTTTTAAACACATTTTAGAATTTTTCTTCCACTTTGACAATAGAGTATTTTGTGTAAATCGTTGATAAAATCAGACAATTAAATCCATTTTAATCCCACTTTTTAACACAACAAAATGTGGAAAAAGTAAAGAGGTGTAAATACTTTATGAAGGCACTGTATGATAGATATCATTCATTACTTTTCTGTCCACTACCTCACTCCTGCAGAAATTCTGTGATTGCATAAACAGTATAATAAAAGTGCACCAATATTCTCCTCTGGTTTTGTATTTATTGTGAAAATAGTCAATATTTTGTTACTGTTGAATAGTAAAATGTCACCTCATCTTCCTCATAGAGCATAACAAATAAATGTCTGTAGCATGCCAGTATTGAGTCACGTTGAAGATTGTTTACATGTAGGTGTTTTTTGTCATGCTGCTTGATACACTACAGTAGGCAATATTTATAATCTCAATTAAAAATGTTCTCAGCTATAAGTGTTTACATGAGCAAACCTATAAACATGGCAAAATGACGAACCCCCTCGATCAGTATACGTGGCATACAGCGCTCTGTAGACCAATGCTGCGTTCCAGTACTAGTCGGAACTAAGAAACTCAGTCATTTTCGACTTGCTAACTGGTTGAACGCGGCGCGTGTATAACTACAACCACGTAGTAAATAGGGCAATTCAGAGATTCCTAGTTCCGACTAGGACATGAACGCTGCAAAACTAGGGGCTATAGTCGCAACGCGAAGCATTGTGGGGCAGAGGCGCCTATGAGACAGGCAAGAATTGCTGAAGTAAATATCGGAGGCAGAGGAGTGCTACATTAGCTAATATTACCTTCACATTGATAACGTATAGCACTAAGCCTCAGTATCGTTAGACATGGGGCAGGAGGAGCTCATGAGTCAAGCCGAAGATGTGGCGGACCAGGTAACTTCCTTGTTTCTCAGGCTACAGTTAGTTGTTAGCTAGCTAGCTAATGGTACCTTACAGTCAGATTCAAAGGAAAAGCAGGTTCTAAAGTAACAGTACCTAGCGAGCAAGCCACAGCTGCTTGAGTGAGGGACTCGTTATAGCTTGCTGGCTAATATTACTTGCACAACTAGCTATCTACACGCATTATGTGCTGCTATTGTAACACCTAGCGACATGGTTTGTCAACTAACGTTATCAAACGTTAGCTAGTATCATGTAGCTAATAGCTAATGACTGCAGCAATAATAAAGTGCACAAATGATTGTGCACTTGTGCTTCTTCTACTTGTAGCCAGAGCCATAAATACATGGTTCTGGTTGTACTGTTAGCTATCTAGTTGCCGGCCTGCAAATATTAAAAATCATAATGTCCGGTTAGCTAATGGAACTCTGGCCACACAGTAAGAAACGATAGTTGACGTTAAGTTACCAAGCAAACTAACGTTAGTTGACTGTACTGTAAGTTACCTAGTTGATAAATCTTGTATTGCTAATTCTGGTGGCCTTCCAAACTAATTGGTCAATCAGTGGCAGTGTCTCATAAATGAATCCCACACTGCAAAATGTGTGTTTGTAAACCTGGACGCCATAGGTTTTATGGCAAGTCATGTCCTATTTAGTCCTATTTAGTATTAATCACATTCCCATTGTGAAATGGTACTGTGATTGCCCAATAATGTGTTGGGCTTACATTGCCAACAACAACATGATGGGCTTTGCAGCTTACATCTTGTGGCCTGGGCCTGTTACATGTGGTTGGTTCTATTTAAAAAGTATCTTCACCTTTATTTAACCAGGAAGGCCAGTTGAGAACAAGTTCTCATTTACAACTGTGACCTGGCCAAGATAAAGCAAAGCAGTGCGATTTTAAAAACAACAACAACACAGAGTTACATATGGGATAAACAAAAACGTACAGTCAATAACACAATAGAAAAATTGAAAATCTATATACAGTGTGTGCAAATGTAGTAAGTTATGGAGGTAAGGCAATAAATAGGCCATAGTGCAAAATAATTACAATTTAGTATTAACACTGGAGTGATAGATGTGCAGAAGATGATGTGCAAATAGAGATACTGGGGTGTAAATTAGTAAAATAAATAACAATATGGGGATGAGGTAAATCACGGGCTGTGTACAGGTGCAGTGATCGGTAAGCTGCTCTGACAACTGATGCTTAAAGTTAGTGAGGGAGATAAGAGGCTCCAGCTTCAGAGATTTTTGCAGTTGGTTCCAGTCAATTGTTTACATGTGGTTGGTTCTATTGAATTGTTTACATGTGGTTGGTTCTATTGAATTGTTCCATCTTTTTTTAGCTGAAATGCAAAGAACTGTGCACATTCTGACATACCCCCCCCCCCCCCCCCCCCACCAACCACCACACTCACTTCTTATAATGGTGTGTGTGTTGTGTAATTGATAAGTCAGAAAATTTGAACATTATGTTCTTGTATGCCCCTACAGTAGGTCTAGCTTCTTGTCCTGTGGATAAAATTGCATTCCCCTTCAAATGCTCTGGTCTATAAGGGGACAGTGTCAATAACCCCATAGTTCAGGTTACATGTATAAGTGTTACCCAGTATGAAGATTACATAGGAAGTCATATAATGCAAGCCCTCTATTTCCTTCGATAGGAAGTTACAATATTTCAAATCGCTCTAGCCTATAGCCTAGCTCTATCCATGTGAGCTTTTTCTGTTTGCTAGGCCTGTTTTTCTTTACACAGTTGACATACCCTAAGAATTATAAATTATAATACAATAGGATCTCTATGGGTGTAACCTAGTCTTGCTACTTTTGTGAGAACTTTATTGAATTAGCACCAGCTAATACCACATTTTTGGTTTACCCCCAGGTATATGACATGCCCAAGTCCGCTGTCCACCCCTTTTGGCATTTAAGCATTGCTGTAAAATAGCCTGAATCTCGAAATGTACACCTCTTAAATTGCTGTGCCATGAAACATGGCTTAAGGTAGGCCTGCCCTACACTTTCAAAGGCACATTTTAACAAGGCAGCACTTCACGAATAAGCTCTAAGAGAACAGTTCTAGTCTAATGTACGCTACTCCACTATGCTCCATATCTAGGCTGTCACAACTCCTCTGATTGGCTGCTATGCCCTCATGTGCCTCTATGAATGGGCACGTTTGTTTTTCATGGCTCGGTGCCCCGGGTGGGCAGATTCTGTACATTTTAGACCTTTCCATTGGTCCTTAAGTGAAATCTCCACCCACCCGGGGCACCGGGCCATGCAAAACGAACTCGCCCACTGACATGTGGGAGTTGTTGAACTGTGATAGGCCACCAAGACCAGGCAGTGCTGATGTGGACTGTATGGTGGGAGGGGTTGTGGGATGATTACTGTTCTTCTGCTGTACTTTAGTAGGTAGAAGATGATCAGTTCCAATGTATTGGAGGGAAGCCAACATAATGGAGGTTTAGTGAATGTAGGGCAGTTGCTTTTTGTTGCAGTCTAAGTGAGCAGGGGTTTATTTCACACATAGTGGTCGCAAGGGACAATAACCTGACACAGGATATTTGGATTAGCAGAATTGAAAGAAGTTTGTAGCCTAGTACTCTACTACTTTGAGACTGACACGAAGCAGGGTGCTTTTCTATAAGAGGCTGTTTTAGTCCAACTTACCAATAAATATCCCCTCTTCTTACCCCACCCCATTCCCTGCTGAAATACCACCAGCTGTCCAACGCTCTTGTCTATTGTCCCATATTGCTTCTGGAATGCCCTTGCATGTAATCTCCCATAGGTTTTCAGTATATTTATTTCCATGTCCCCAATCAGGGAAAGCCAGAATGAGGATTCGCGCTCAGGCTAGAATTAATGGTGGCCGGTGCATAGGAGAAAAAAATATCTATAGAGTTCAAAAAGGTACTCAAACCATGAAAAGGAATAACCCAAAAAAATTATATACTTAATTTAATCCATGCTCGAAATAATACAAAGGGTAAAGGTCAAAGGTGCTATACAGTGCATTCAGAAAGTATTCAGACCCCTTTTTCCACATTTTGTTACGTTACAGCCTTATTCTACAATGGATAAAATACAATTCTCATCAATCTACACAAAATACCACATAATGGCAAAGCAAATTTATTAAAAATATAGAACAGAAATGAGAAACATTAGTGAGTTAGCATTTCTCCTTTGCCAAGATAATCCATCCACATGACAGGTGTGGCATATCAAGAAGCTGATTAAACAGCATGATCATTACACAGGTGCACCTTGGGCTGGGGATAAAAGGCCTCTCTAAAATGTGCAGTTTTGTCACACAACACAATGCCACAGATGTCTCAAGATTTGAGGGAGCGTGCAATTGGCATGCTGACTGCAGGAATGTCCACCAGAGCTGTTGCCAGATAATTGAACGTTCATTTCTCTACCATAAGCCGCCTCCAACGTCATTTTAGAGAATTTGGCAGTACGTCCAACCTGCCTCACAACCGCAGACCACACCAGCCCAGGACACTTGTCATGTGGGCGAGCGGTTTGTAGATGTCAACATTGTGAACAGAGTGCCCCATGGTGGGGTTATGGTATGGGCAGGCATAAGCTACGGACAACAAACACAATTGCATTTTATTGATGGCAATTTGAATGCACAGAAATACGTGATGAAATCTGGAGGCCCATTGTGAGGCCTACTTATTTTAAGGTATCTGTGACCCAGTCATGTGAAATTCATAGATTAGGGCCTAATGAATTTATTTCAATTGACTGATTTTGAACTGTAACTCAACAAAATCTTTGAAATTGTTGCATGTTGCGTTAATATTTTTGGTCATTATAGATGGATGCAATACTCAGTACAAAGCTCAGAGAGGGCGGGGCAGGGGGACGGCTGGTGCGTCTACACAACATTACAAAAAATATGCAAGGTCCAATTCCTCATTTAGACCTTGGGGGTGTAGAGTTTTTAAATAGAAGATCCAGGTCCTTATTCACCCTGTTTTACTGTCAATGCTAGTACCTGCTGTAATGTCCTTGTACTGTATCCCAAATGTAGGCCTAAATGGCCCTTTCTCGCTCTCTCTCTCTCCCAGTTCTTGCGGGTCACGAAGCAGTACCTGCCTCACCTGGCTCGGCTGTGTCTAATCAGCACCTTTCTGGAGGACGGCATACGCATGTGGTTCCAGTGGAATGAGCAGAAGGAGTACATCGAGGCCACGTGGGGCTGCGGTTACTTCCTGGCCACCTGCTTCGTGCTGCTCAACCTCACAGGACAGCTCGGTGAGCAAGGCTGGGATCAGCAGCCTGTTTGTCATCAATGTAAAGATAGAACAATCTGCATGGGTCCATCCATGCATGGATTGAAAAAGCCTGCTCATGAAGTCTCTCAAGTGCCTTTTAGCCTAGGAGTATGAAAAATGTGTGCACTCGCTAAATGTAAGTCGCTCTGGATAAGAGCGTCTGCTAAATTACTAAAATGTAAAAAATGAGTAAGGTTAATCTGTGTTTGTGCCAAAGCCCCACGATGTGTTGTCATTCATTTACTATTGGCTAATTTAAATCGGTAGTGTGGTGTGGGCCGTGAATGATGACCCATACTGTGTTTGAAGGCTGGGGAAAGATACAGGGGTTGAAATAAGTGGGAATGCCACCCCTTTTGGGGAAGATGGGGTATAGACCGTTGTGCCGGTTCAATTGGATGAATTTCTGCAATCCTAACTGTCCGTGATTTTTTTCCGCTCCAACAGGTGGCTGTGTCCTTATCCTCAGTAGACATTTTGTACAGTATGCCTGCTTTGGATTATTTGGAATCATAGCTTTACAGGTGAGGAAATATATAATCTATTGGTATTGCATTTCATGCAGCCTTCTGTGATTTTGGGCTGACAGAACTCAAATGGTTTACAGCCTAACAATAGCTATGTTCATGAATTTCTGGCTGTGTAATATTTCATGCTGAATTTGTTTTTATTTTCTCTAGACGGTTGCATACAGTATTTTATGGGATATAAAATTTCTGATGAGGTAGGTCTCCCATTAAGTTTATGAATATGTTTACATATTAAATTGAAAATGTACAATTGACTTAAGTCTCTCTTCCATTACTTTACCAATTACACTCACCAGCCAGTTTATTAGGTACAGGGTTAGGGTTTAATACTGGGTCGGACCCCCCTTTGCCTCTAGAACAGCCTGAATTCTTCGGGGCATGGATTTTACAAGTCGGAAACGTTCCACAGGGATGTTGGTCCATACTAAAGCGATGGCATCACGCAGTTGCTACAGATTGGACGGCGGTACACCACCGCCACCAGCCTGTACCGTTGAAACCAGGCAAGCTGGCTCCATGGACTCATGCTGCTTACGCCAAATCCTGACTCTGCCATCAGCATGATGCAACAGGAACCGGGATTCGTTGGACCACGCAATGTTTTTTCACTCCTCAATTCTCCAGTGTTGGTGATCAGCGTGCCCACTGGAGCTGCTTCTTGTTGTTTTTAGCTTATTGGAGTGTACCTAATAAACTTGCCAGTGAGTGTATATGACAGTGTTTTAAAACCTTGGGTACATTTTCCTGTCTGTCTGTCCCACTAATTCTATACTCCTATATGTTGGAACTATGTATCCTCTTACACCCTGTCCTCTCCTTCCCTCGCTCTCCTCTCTCAGGAACCTTGCCCTGGGCGGTGGACTCCTGCTGTTACTAGCGGAGTCGCGTTCAGAAGGGAAGAGCATGTTCGCTGGCGTCCCCTCCATGGGAGAGAGCTCGCCAAAGCAGTACATGCAGCTGGGAGGGAGAGTCCTGCTGGTGCTCATGTTCATGACCCTGCTGCACTTTGACCCCAGCTTCTTCTCGGTGAGTAGACCACACCACCCTGCCTCTATAGTGCCACTCAGGCGGGACTATAGTTAAAGAGGCGAAAAAGCAGTATTATGCATTTTCTCATAAGTATGCAGAGATCAAACTGAGTTTGCATTTGGGGTGTTTTTTGAAGATTATGCACTGTTCTCTCTGTCAAATATCGAAATACCAAACAAGACTGAGTGCTGTATTCATTTAAACAGGTTCTGATGCAACTGTTGTACAGTGGCATTGGTGGTTCAGACTCCTAACCCATGTGTCCCTCTCCACTCACCCAGATCCTCCAGAACATGGTGGGCACGGCCCTCATCATCCTGGTAGCCATCGGCTTCAAGACCAAGCTGGCAGCCCTGACCCTGGTAATATGGCTGCTGGCCATCAACGTCTACTTCAACGCCTTCTGGGCGGTGCCCGCCTACAAGCCCATGCACGACTTCCTCAAGTACGACTTCTTCCAGACCACGTCCGTCATCGGAGGGCTGCTGTTGGTCGTAGCACTGGGGCCCGGCGGGGTGTCCATGGATGAGAAGAAGAAGGAGTGGTAGGAAGAGGGGGATACACACTTTTCTGGCCTACCACTTCCACAGCAACCTCCCCTCCGCCACTCTCTCTCTCTTCTTTTCTTTATTTCACATTTTGTTTTTCAGCTGCTGTTTTGAGTTCAATACGGTTGATACTGGATTTTTTTATATACCTATTTATGGCCCCTTTATTTTGAGGCAAGAAAAACCCCCAGCTGATTTTGAATAAATTGTCAAAGTGCAAGGAAACTAATTCATGAGTTACAGGTGGAGTTTTAAAAAGTTCTGTGTTGCAGACGGTATGAATATCACAATGTATTTATGGATGTTACCATAACCTTTCAGAAATAACCAGTTTTTTGTGAATAGCCAAGAAACCAGTGAAGTGGTAAAGGTGTATCATCAGTTTGATTGAATATGAAAACACCAATATTTTCCTGCTTGGATGTTGGACTATCTGTGACTTGCTCATCATATCAATCCTGTGACCGCAGGCACTGAATACGATACGATTCTCCCTCACTCTAGGTTGCCATCTTCCCCTCTGGATGATTTGCTGGGGATGTGTACATTGTATACTACTATTCAAAATGGTGGATTGAAGTGTGCTTGATTTAATGTTGAAACACAATTGCTACCACCTGAAATCTTTTTGGGCACTTTTACTGTATGTCTTGCGCAAATGCCTAGTAAAAACTAGTAACTGTATTTTAACAAGGCAATAGGGGGAGCTCAACATTTTGTAAAACACCATATTCTACAATCTAGAGAAGCAAGCAGAAGTGGACAGTCAGTGATCACCCAGACTTTGTATTTGCTCATGTTTTTGCTCTATACTGTTTAAGAAAAGAGAAATATTAAGTATTGATTTTCAGAAGTTTATATTGTATTTTTGAGTATTTGTTTTGTTTTTCCGAGATCATGGCATAGAAATAAAAATAAATCTATATGCTCTGTCATCTTGATCTCAAAATGGGCCTTTTATTTTATCTGTGTTTTTATAATTTAGATGTATTTATTAGTTTTAATTAATTAGTCCAGGGTTTCTTAAACTATGGTTTGGGACCCAGAGTGGGCCGTGAGCGGTGGGTCGCGCATGAGTAAACATTTTATAATCGCACACTATTTCTTCTTAATTTGGGTCGTTCGAGGACAGTCAATTTGTCATTTGGTTCTCTAGTTGAAAAAGTTTAAGAACCTCTGAATTAGTTTATTAAGCTCTGGCTAAACTCACAACCAGGGTGGGACTTCTTCCTTTTCTGCTGCGCCCATTTGTTGACCCTCCAAAGGCAAAGTCGCGTTTTCATTGGCTGTTGGTGCACACGAATTTTGACCAAATCAAGTGCCAAATACATTTGCAGACGCACTCGGTTAATCGTGGATAGTGGTGAAAACAGTCGAGGGAGAGAGAGACCTCGTCATTTTCCCAGTGAAGGTTTTAGAACGGTAAATATAGATATAATTGTAAAATGTCACTATTGTACATGTATGTGTTAGTCATGTCGAAGCGATAGCTAAGGATCATATCGTGATTGCTGCTGATTGTTGAGAAGTCCATGGCAGCTAGCTACGTACGGATTCGAATGGAACAGTTATTTCAGTGAAGCATGTTAGATAGCTAAATAATAATAGTATAAGCTTAGTGGTTAAGACCGTTGTGCCAGTAACCGAAAGGTCGCTGGTTCTAATCCCCGAGCCGACTAGGTGAAAAATCTGCCGATGTGCCCTTGAGCAAGGCACTTAACCCTAATTGCTCCTGTAAATCGCACTGGATAAGAGCGTCTGCTAAATGACTAAAAATGTAAATGTAAAACATGCGTGGTTTATATCAGTGCGTATTGAGTGCAAGCATTTGGCTCCTGCTCTGCATTTAATTATTTCCAGGTGTTTGTAACCAATAGTCATTGTAATGCAAGCTTCTATAATGATATTCTCACAGGCAAATGGCTGGATGTCATCTTCCTCCCACTTTCAATCCTGCATCCAGTCTTATTAATAAGCCAGTATGTTCAGGATAGAAGTAGCAGACTAAGCTCAAATTTCCTTCACTGTGGAGTTTAGTCAGCAAGGATAGAAGATGCTTTGGAGTTTTCAGTCATGTTATGATGATGCTTTGGAGTCACTCAATTTGTATGGATGCATTGTTATTGTATGACTCCAATGTATTTTCTATATTAAAAATGATGTATTTTCTTTATATAATGCGCCCCAGATACATCTAAAGGCACATCATGTCTAAAGGCACAGTGGTTCTGGCCTACAGTGGAGGACTGGACACCTCCTGTATCTTGGTGTGGTTGAAGGAAGAAGGATATGATGTCATCACATACTTGGTAAGGGACAAGCCCAAGGAAGTATCTGTGGGACAAGTGTGTGTGCGACAGGTGGGGGCAATATAACTTGGAGTTGGTCAGCACACAGCCATCCAGTTGGTGGGGTGCTCTTGTTTATTGTACATCAGCCTATTAGAGTCTAAATATTTCACTGGTGTCCTGGTCATGGCAGCTGAAACCCCAATGAATGTTAATTTGATGCAGTTCTAGAAAGGATGGATACATTTTGCCTCGTAATGTGTTAACCACCACAAGAGTGCTATCTGTCTGCATAAAGCTTGCGCAAAACTGGCTGGATTAATTTTTTGCCCTTAGGCCAGTTCAGAACTCTTCATTCAGTGGCTGGCTAAAGAAAGGGGTGCAAGGGTACTGCGCCTCCTGTTGGTGTTGGGATTAATCATTTGGAGGGAGAATAGAAAGATGGGCACTGTACCAATGGGTAACCTGTTTTTCTTATTGAAATCCCTAAAGTATGTCTGCTCTTGTGTTATGTTGTGATAGAAAACCTCTATAAAAACAAGCAGCCAAACAAGCAGTCTGAAGACCACAGAGGCAGACATAGGCATACCTCAGTTACGTAGAACAATGGCTTGTTCCAACAACAACAAAAAAGTTGGGGGTTGTGTTTTAGGCTTGGGCGGGATCCAGATTTTCATGCATCATACTGTTCTTCTGCTATCCTGGGATTTACGGGTATTACTGGCATGGCATGTAAGGGGGTGCTAAAAACGAACAAAAAGCCCATTGGGTGTCTTTTACCCGAATGCTAACACAATTAGTATAGCTAATAGCCATTTTTGGTGAGTGTGGCCATTTACAAGTGAAAGTGAACGAGAGAAATTGTGCAAATTAACAAAGTTGTGATTTTTATTTATTTATTTAACCTTTATTTAACTAGGCAAGTCAGTTAAGAACAAATTCTTATTTACAATGACGGCCTACACCGGCCAAACCCGGACGACGCTGGGCCAATTTTGCGCCACCCTATGGGACTCCCAATCATGATGCATGCTTGGGCACCAAAACAGCAAAGAACCCTCCGTTTGCCTGCTCACTCCGCACCTAATTTTCCCGACTGAGCTGGGATTCGAACCAGTAACCCAAACCCTTGTCCTTAGATGTCTTGTTATCTATTCTACTTTGGTTGGATTTGTTAAATCTTACTTTATGAGTTACCGGAAAGAGAAAAACACATTTGTTAATCTCAGCAGAAAAATCTCCATGATATTCATGGAGCAGCACTCCATGAACTGCTAGACTGTGTGGAAGCATGTCAGTTGCATCGGCTCAATGGACGTGATCTGAATGTTAAAATGGTGGGTGATGGGACTTCAGCAGCAAGCAATGGCTCAGGTCCCTGGGGAGATAGACCGGGGATGAAGACACAGGAAATGATGTGGAGACTGGATACAGTAAATTAATTATGAACCATTTAATTGTGTTTCTGTGCAAAGCTTTGTTGCACAGATGGGGTTTTTGGTTTGCTCGTGTATTCTTGACTTTAATAGGGATGTTGACATGGTTTGCTTTCGATTGAGGCTGTGACAAGGTCTGTTGTCATGGCAACCAGGGCTCTGATTTCCTGACTTTAAGTGCTTTGTAAACATGATAATGAAGTTTGGAGAACATGACCAATTTCTACCTTTTTCACTGAAACACTTTTCTCTGAACAGCACATATCAGCTGTGGTATGCTATTTTAGGCACCAGTTGATTAGTTGTAACTAAAACTCTCTTGCAGGCTAATATTGGACAAGAAGAGGACTTTGATGCTGCAAAGAAGAAAGCAGAGCGTCTTGGAGCAAGGAAGGTAAAAAGCCTGAGCTGTCATGACATTGGGAAGACAAAGTAGCATAGTGGTGTGGAAGACACGGCTGGAACATTCTGTTCTGACTTGTGTTAGTTAGTGTCTTAGTGTAGACCACATTTTTGCAATGGCAAAGTTGATTTTGTTAAGGTAAAAGAGGAGACTAGGATCGGGTCGAAGTAAACGTTTTAATACAGAGATTTTGGGGTACAGGTAGTCGTGAAAATGCAAAGCTTGATAGCACCAGAGGCTAAAAAGCCAAGGCCAATAGCATTGTGGCTAAAAAAGCATGTCTAAAAGGAGATCATTATTCTGAGTCTCAAGATTAAATAGTCATTCTGAGTTACGTATACATGCATTATTACAGAAACGGATACAAATTCCAATTGAAAATGAGAACAGTGAGACATTTGCTACTTTGGGTACAGAGAGTGATGTTGAGCCACTTCAAGGTTGAATTGTCAGTTCCTGAGGCCTAGAATTATGTGTCCTGACATCTGGGTCACAGGGTTATGGGAAATCAATGAAGCAGGTAAATCATATTATGATTGTAAGCAAAGATATGTGAGGATATGACATCTGGGTCGTTGTCTTCTCAGCAGCTAACACTGGCAGAGGTCCACACTCTTCTACTCTTTCTGCCTTACTCTTGCCATGAAGATTTGCAAGCAAAAGTTTGTCAAAGCAAAGCCATTGCAGGTTAACTAAATTGACAGTGTTTGTTTGAGGATTGTCAAGGGAGCATTTGAAATATTGATGTTATAGCATGGTCCTGTACTGTAGCCAACTAGTTGTCAAGCCATACATATCATGAATCAATTTCAATAAATTCAACTGACATCAGCCTTCATGACTGTTTATTACTTATTAATGATAGAGTTATAGGCTTTAAGATGAATGGTTCAAGTGTAACCTCCCTCGAAGTATAGGTGTTCATTGAGGACCTGAGGGCAGAGTTTGTGGAGGAGTTCATTTGGCCATCGGTCCAGGCCAACGCCATCTATGAGGACCGCTACCTGCTGGGCACCTCGGTGGCCCGGCCCTGCATCGCCCGCCGCCAGGTCCAGATAGCACGCCAGGAGGGCGCCCAGTACGTCTCCCATGGCGCAACGGGAAAGGTGAGGGGTCAATCAACAAGGAGAGAGCAGAAAAAAGCCTGGAAAGGCTAAGTGAAACCATGAGCATATTGTTTACATTGCTCAAAGTTAATTTTAGAATATTGATTTTGGATGTTTGTCTCTGTAAAAACCCAAAATGGTTTCCCAATAGTCACATTCAAATGAAATGATTAACTGAGCCCTCAGCTCGCATTAATTAGCCTGCTAGCAGATACTCATAGACTTCCAGTCATTGTGCAAACGCTTGTTAGCATTGGTTCACGAAACTACACTGAACAAAAATATAAACGCAACATGTAGTTTTGGTCCCATGTTTCATGAGCCAAAATAAAAGATCCCAGAAATGTTCCATATGCACAAAAAGCTTATTTCTCTCAAATGTGCACAAATTAGTTTTCATCCTTGTTGGTGAGCATTTCTCCTTTGCCAAGATAATCCATCCCACCTGATAGGTGTGGCATATCAAGAAGCTGATTAAACAGCATGATCATTACACAACACAATGCCACAGATGTCTCAAGTGTTGATGGAGCATGCAATTGGCATGCTGACTGCAGGAATGTCCATCAGAGTTGCCAGAGAATTGAATGTTAATTTCTCTACCATAAGCCACCTCCAACGTCATTTTAGAGAATTTGGCAGTACGTTTAAACGGCCTCACAACCGCAGACCACGTGTAACCACTCCAGCCCAGGACCTCCAAATCCGGATTCTTCACCTGCAGGATCGTCTGAGACCAGCCACCCGTACAGCTGATGAAACTGGGGGTTTGCACAACCGAATAATTTCTGCACAAACTGTCAGAAACCTTCTCAGGGAAGCTCATCTGCGTGCTCGTCGTCCTCACTAGGGTCTTGACCTGACTGCAGTTCGGCATCATAACCGAAATCAGTGGGCAAATGCTCACCTTCGATGGCCACTGGCACGCTGGAGAGGTGTGCTCTTAACAGATGAATCCCGGTTTCAACTATACCGGGCAGATGGTAGACAGCGTGTACGGCGTCGTGTAGGCGAGCAGTTTGCTGATGTCAACATTGTGAACAGAGTGCCCCATGGTGGGGTTATGGTATGGGCAGGCATAAGCTACGGTCAGCGAACTCAATTGCGTTTTATCTATGTCAATTTGAATGCATAGAGATACCGTGATGAGATCCTGAGGCCCATTGTCGTGCCATTCATCCGCCGCCATCACCTCATGTTTCAGCATGATAATGCATAGCCCCATGTTGCAAGGATCTGTACACAATTCCTGGAAGCTGAAAATGTCCCAGTTCTTCCATGGCCTGCATACTCACCAGACATGTCACCCATTGAGCATGTTTGGGATGCTCTGGATCGACGTGTACAACAGCGTGTTCCAGTTCCCGCCAATATCCAGCAAGTTCGCAACAGCCATTGAAGAGGAGTGGAACAACATCCCACAGGCCACAATCAACAGCCAGATCAACTCTATGCGAAGGAGATTTCGTGCTACATGGGGCAAATGGTGGTCACACCAGATACTGACTGGTTTTCTGATCGACACCCCAACTTTTGTGTAAAGGTATCTGACAAACCGACGCATATCTGTATTCCCAGTCATGTGAAATTCATAGATCAGGGCCTAATGAATTTATTTCAATTGACTGATTTCCTTATATGAACTGTAACTCAGTAAAATCTTTGAAATTGTTGCATGTTGCGTTTTATATTTTTGTTCAGTGTACCTCTAACTTCCTTCATACTGGACACAGAGACATAAAAATGGTATCCACAAGTTCATCTGACTCTGGGGAAGTAGATAAAGGGCCTCATTGCCACAATCCCTAAGTATCCCATTAAGCGCTTTCCAGACAGGAAGTGAAACTCTGGAGCGGATATTGCCAAAATTAGAGCAGATCCTATTTTCCCGCCTCCACTAGTCCGCTTTCACGTGCACGAGGACTGCCGACCGCTCTGCCAGGATACAATTCCCGCCCCCGCCTAGCTCCATTGAAAATGAAAGGGAAACTCTGCCGCCGCTTTCTTTCTGGAAAGCCCTTTAGTCCGCCACCAGTGTAACTATATGCTGTAGGGAGATTGAAGTGTGTCCCTGCTCCAACTGTAGATGGAGACAAATGCCACTTAATTGAGATTTCAACCAACAGTGACTGGTCTCTCACTGGAAGTTTTATATGCTTTTTCAACCATTGGAAGTGATTTTAATCTTTTAACTTTTCTTTGGATGAGTGAGACATTACCTGTCTGATTCCCCTTAATGATCTCTCTTTGCTAGTAGTGTTCCGAGTGTTTTGTGGCTGAATGGTAAACTGTCTCTTTCAGGGCAATGATCAGATCCGATTTGAGCTCACCTGCTATGCCCTCTACCCTGAGGTCAAAGTGAGTTCTGTTTTCAACAGCCCCATTGCATTAACACTTGTATAACTGTCCTATCATTCAATATTACTTCAGATAATGCACCATACAAGTACATGAATAACCCTCCCTCCTCTGTCTGTCTCCCTCAGATTATTGCTCCGTGGAGGATCCCTGAGTTCTACAATCGCTTCCGTGGGAGGAAGGATCTGATGGAGTATGCTGAGGTAACACTTCCACATGGTAGGATCTCTTCATACACACGTTGCCTGGCAGTGAGTGTATGATAGGATCTCTTCATGTTGCCTGGCAATGAGTGTATAACCACTTTTCCATCCACAGTTTTTATGCGAGTGAAGTCATAACGTATAAAGAAAATCACTACAGCTGTGATGGAAACAGGAAGTTTCAGTACACTTTTATAAAGATAATTTGTTCGTTCGACATGGTGGGATCTTTCGGGGTCTGTACAATTTAATTATGCGAGAAATGGCGGTGGTAACGCTTTTATGGGCAAATATTGATATAATAACATCATATCGAAATAAACTTGGGAGTCAAGCAATGATATGGTGTGTGGTCCTTCCACTACCTCTTGGGGAAACCATGCAGTTTACACTACATATTAAATAAATTATGATGAATGAACTTCACAGGGTGGTGAAAGTGCAAGGTGATGAGCTTGATGCTCCTTTCCAATAAATATCGAGGATCTTATTCTGGTGACATGACGATCGATGCTTGACTGCCGTTTGACAAATACAAATCTCTCTTTTGTCCATATTCTTATCATGTAGACTAGCCTACCCACACTGTATCTGCCAGCTGTTGGCTAGAGCGCCAAGACCAGAGTAGGCACATTTGCTATTTAACGCAAAAGGTTTTGACAAAACTATCAGTACAGTTGATGGAAACCCATTTTAAATAGTTTTTAGTTTTTATTTGGTACATGGGAATTTAACTACAAAAATATTTTTTTATGTGCACTACGTCATCACGCACAGCCTTTTATCCGCAACAAGTCAATTTGATGGAAACACAGCTCTGGTGGGAAAATGCACATCGTTTTTGTGCATATTTTAGAATATTTGCATGAAACTCTGTCGCCAATTGGGTGGAAACCTAGCTAGTGAGTCCTCTGTAGCTCAGCTGGTAGAGCACGGTGCTTGTAACGCCAAGGTAGTTGGTTCGATCCCCGGGACCACCCATACACAAAAATGTATGCACGCATGACTGTAAGTCGCTTTGGATAAAAGCGTCTGCTAAATGGCATATTATTATTATTATTATAGTGAGTATATGATAGGATCTCTTCATGTTGCCTGGCAGTGAGCGTGTTGTTCTCTACCCTGCCCACTAGAGGGGGATCATGGTATTTCAGTGAGCTGAAAGTCCCCTGTGTGCATCTCACTCCAGTTGCCACTTTATCATGCTTTTCTCCCTTCCCATAACTTGATTCTACAACGTTGAACTTTAAATAACAGAAGGACATGATTTAAGTCTAATCATCAATCACAACTGTGAAAAAACAACTGGAGGTGATCTGATTGGTTTGACTGGTCAGAACTTTGCAGATAATGTATTGCACAGAGCAGACAGAGTTGAACTGTCACCTGGTAAATATTCCATCTGTTCCCTGTTGTCATTGACTCTTCTCTGGCCTTTCCATCACCCCCAGAAACATGGTATCCCTGTGCCCGTCACCCCTAAAGCACCCTGGAGCATGGATGCCAACCTCATGCACATCAGGTGAGAAGAACACCAACTATACTCGCAATACTTCATGGTCAAATTAAGGTTGAAGAAAATAAAGTTTTACATTCTTCTACAAGAAAAGTTAGTAACTTTGGGCGGTATCTCGGACGGCCCTTTATTGTAATTTTCTACCACATTAGCTATATCCTGTAGAATGACAAAGGGAATGAATGTGTTCACCAACATCCTTCTCATTGTCTGTTTTAACAGCTACGAGTCTGGAATACTGGAAAATCCCAAGGTAAGATCTTGTTCCTGATACAGTGTCAAAAACCTAACACCAACACAATGGTGAAAAATGCATGAATGAGCAGGCTGAGTAATCACACAGGCCATTGATGGCACTTAACCCAACACCGCTCACCATTCACCCCAGTGCCATATTGAACAGGTTGTTACTCTCACAACCTCCTGCTGTCTCTAAATCAGAAGAGGGAGCTCCTCAAGAGTAGCAGGATGGGATACACTGGTCTTAGGTTCACATAATGTCAGCTAATCCATGTCATTGGCCATACAGTATCTATCAAATCCTTTGTCCTTCTACTCATAATCAACACTTCTCTCAAGTCAACCTGCCTGGTGGTTAAAGATTATCCCTGTTTCATGTTCTTTTTGTTTACAGTATAAATATGACTGTTTTAACATTGTGTTGTAATTTGTACAAAGCAATAACTGATAGGAGAGTCCACTGATATATAGTTAACACAGTGGAGAGCACAGAGTCCCCCCTATCTCTTTCATTAGCTCCAGCACAGACAAACCAAACCCTGAGCCCACAGTTGGACAGAAATGGTTTGATCTCTACGGGGGTCAGGGGTCAAGGCGCTACACGAAGGTCACCCTTGATGACCCAAACCTCATTCTTCCTTATTGTCTCTTCTCACCCTAAGTCTTGCCAGGCCTGGGAAGAGCCTGGGACACACAGACACTGACTTGTCGTCAAACGGCTCGCATAATTCCCGATTTCATGGGAGCCGGGGGAAGGGTTAGGGCGGAGCGCCCAGCTGGGCCTCCTGGGTCCCCCCGACTCTTGGGGACCATTGTTTCTGGTTGCGCTGCCGCAGGCTGCAACGTGGGAGGGACCCATTTCACCGTGACACCAGAATGTCACCAGTAACAGTAAAGTACAAAGGTGGCATGCAGACAGATGAGCGTCCCAGTGGACGGGGTGTCAGGGAGGCGAGGGGTCCCCCGCTTTTGGAGTGGAGGGGCAGGGGCAGAATTGTAACGCAGGCTTTTCTCTCTCCATGGCTCGCCCTGTGGAGAAATGCGGCCTGAAAAGAAACAACTCAATAGATAGCGATGTATAGTATGACAATATTGTGTAATTGATTTAATTCATGGTTTTAGTCCCGTTTACTTTCTCAATGAATTTCTCAATGGAATTAAATACGATGAAATATTTATGGTGGGGGAGATAAAAGTGGTAAAGGGATTTGAATACATTACACAGGGCGTGTTATGATCGTTTTAAATAGAACAGAGTGTAATAATTCAGTAATTTGCATGTATTATGCCCAGTTTCTGCTCCCGTATGAGATTATGCGTTGTTAGACATTTTTGATCATTACTTTTGATTTGTGCCTCAATTTGAAACCCTTGCAGGCTTCTGGGAAACCATACTGTAAAGTGAATGTAAAAACATGATAGCAATACTACATCACTGTACTATGGTATCATTAACCTCTTATCAACATATGCACCCAAACATGAGTCGGTCTACAGTGAGGAGATATTGAAAAGGTCAACCTTCTAGTGTCTCCACTATGTATCTACCTCCTAGGAGTCTAGTTATCCCCCCCTCCCCCAAGGCCTGAGCAGACTCCCTCCATTCACAGTGCTTCTCCACCCATCTGTAAACACAATGGTTCCGCTCTCCCCACACTCAGATTAGGAAATGTCCAAATGGTCGCTCATATGTTCCTTCTGAGATAAGGCAGCCAGGGTCAGGTTGCAGTGGTGGAAAAAGTACCCAATTGTCATACTTGAGTAAAAGTAAAGATACCTTAATAGAAAATGACTCAAGTAAAAGTGAAAGCCGCCCAGTACAATCCTACTTGAGTAAAAGTCTAAAAGTATCTGGTTTTAAATTTACTTAAGTATCAAAAGTAAAAGTATAAATAATTTAAAAGTCCTTATATTTTTTGGGATAGCCAGTGGCACGCTCCAACACACAAATGAAGCATGTATTTAGTGAGTTCGCCAGATCAGAGGCAGTAGGGATGACCAGGGATGTTCTCTTGATAAGTGTGTGAATTAGACTATTTTCCTGTCCTGTTAAGCATTCAAAATGTAACAAGTACTTTTGGGTCAGGGAAAAGTACATAATTTTCTTTAGGAATGTTGGAAAGTAAAAGTTCAATAGTAAAGTAAAGTACAGATACCCTAACAAAACTACTTAAGTATTTACTTTCAAGTATTTTTACTTAAGTACTTTACACCACTGTCAGGTTGCACTGTGATTATTACCACTGACTGGATTCTCTCCCATTACCAGCTAGGCTACATTGGGGCCATACTTGTGAACATAAGCACGCATTTAAAGTTAAACAGGTTCTCACACACAAAATGCATATCAACCAATTAAAATAGTAGATTTGCTTGCATGTGACCAAATGCTACATTTTAGTTGGTCCCATCCGATAACATGGTACAAGTTAGCCCTATGCTAACTTCACCAGGTAACATTGATTACATTCTGGCACAACTTCTGCTTCAGCCTATCAAAGATCTTAGATTTTCTATCCACCAACCAATGGAATTTCTTAAAATAGCCACTAGAGGGATATTTTAAACCTACAAATAGTGCTTTTTAACCGTGGGTTCGAGCCCACCTCGCAACAAGCTTTTTTGTTGAGGGAAAAACTGTTCAATGACAGTACTTGATGCTCAATTCAAAACACATGTGACGAAGTGCATTATTATTATTTATTATTATTATTATTATTATTATTATATTATAATGCATAAACTATAAAATATTGTAGGCATGTAAGTGTAGCGTTCATAAAAATATATACTAATGACAGCCAAGTGTCTTCCTACATTAACTGTCAATTCAAGCTGCAATACTGCAATCTGTAGGATGATAAGGAGAGTGCAAACTATTTCTACTGTACACTTTGGATCATCCTCCCTCGAGTGGTGGTAAATAGACAGCTATGAAAAATATAGATGAAAACTCTCTTGGTAAATAGTGTGGTCTACAGCTTATCATAAAATACTCTACCTCAGGCGAGCAAAACCTCGAGACTTCCTTAGTATTTGATTTTGTGCACCAGCTGTTGTTTACAAATATACACAGACCGCCACTCCTTGTCTTACCGGAGTCAGCCGTTCTATCCTGCCGATGTAGCGTATAGCCCGCTAGCTGTATGTTGTCCATGTCGTCGTTCAGCCATGACTCGGTGAAACATAATATATTACAGTTTTTAATGTCCCGTTGGTAGGATAACCGTAATCTTAGGTCATCCAATTTATTCTCAAATGATTGAAGATTGGCTAATAGGATTGATGGGAGAGGCAGTTTACTCGCTCGCCGTCGGATCCTTACAAGGCACCCCGACCTATGTCCACGATATAAATAACGTGACAAAGCAGATGATTATAAAAATGTCAAATTGGCCTACATTTAGGTGTACACGTCCATGTAATATAGCCTTTGCAATATGATTATTAGGCATTAGCAGTGTGTTTTTGTGCAAGGCTGAAATTCCTTTTTAATTTTTCTAGCTGTTGGCTGTAGGATACGTCCCTTTTCAACACACTAACCCAATAGGCTACATGTAATCTTACATTTCAAAGGGGGGAAACTCATGTGAGATTCATACCCTTGCCACAATCTGCGACAATTACATGGACTAGGCACTTTACACAGAGAGCAATTTGACCAGTCAGTCAAATACACGCGTTAGCCTAGTTGCTTTGATGATCAGAACATGCTGTTGGACTGAGGTATGTTGAGGACACTTCCACGTCCAACTACATCTATGATTTTAATTGGCTGCAGAAGTTGTGCCAGGATGTGATCACTGCCACCTGGTGAGGTATGCAAAGGGCTAACGTGTGCCATGTTATCTGACAGGACCAGCTACAATTTAGCTTTCTGTCACATGCAAGTAAATCAACATTTTAATTGGCTGATAAGCATTTTGTGTGTGAGAACAGGTTTAACTTTATATGCTTGCTTATGTTCGCAAGTATGGCCCCATTTGTCTTTATCTGCTCACATTTGACATTGTTGTTCTAGCTAGGTTTACTGGATCAGTTTAGGAGCAACTGGTGGATTGAAGTTTCTATGAATGCTAGTTTTAATGATGAAAATGAAATTGTAACACATTGTAATTTTCTAATTTTTTTACGATTTTGTTTTTATAAACAATACAAAACATACACATACAAATGACAACATCATACAAATATCAACTACATCACACCTGCCCAGACTATCTAGCACACACCCATCTCCAGCGCCCACATCCCCTGCGCTACATGGCCTCAAACTGCACCATTTTGTTTCTCTCCGTAGCCCACGCACTTTCAATATTTCATTAATCATTTTTCTAAAGGTAAGTCTTTCAGATCTGTAAAATATAAACCATATGTAAAAAATGTTTATCTGATCATACTTTTATAAATAATGTGAAGCTATTTGACTTGAGAAGGCTAGCTAGTTGTCCGGAAACACAACGCAACCCAATATCCTCTGTATGGCCTGTTGACCGGTCAGGGGCCAGGGCCCTGGCGCAGTGCAACACTTATCAGCGGTCATTAAAACATCACCTCTGTCTAAATGGTAGGCCCTGGCTGTCGCTGAGCTTCCCCTGGCCCAGTAGCCCCCAGTAGCCCTGTAGAAATGAAGGGCAACGTTGTGTGGTAAACGCTGGGGCCCTTTGATCAGGCCAAGGGCCCACTGGTATTGACTAAAGAGGAGATAGCGGAACACTCAGTCTTGAAATGAAACTTGTTTGGGGATGACCCTGCCCGTGGCGCAGCCACCTAGGAGGAAGGGTGCACTGGATGGTGTGGGTGTTGGCTTTTCAAGCACAGAGGGTTAGATTTGTCATGTGTCCTCCTCGCCCGTTGGTCAGATACAGTGAGGGGGAAAAAAGTATTTGATCCCCTGCTGATTTTGTACGTTTTCCCACTGACAAAGAAATGATCAGTCTATAATTTTAATGGTAGGTTTATTTGAACAGTGAGAGACAGAATAACAACAACAAAGTCCAGAATAACGCATGTCAAAAATGTTATAAATTGATTTGCATTTTAATGAGGGAAATAAGTATTTGACCCCCTCTCAATCTTTTATACAGGTAACGAGCTGAGATTAGGAGCACACTCTTAAAGGGAGTGCTCCTAATCTCAGTTTGTTACCTGTATAAAAGACACCTGTCCACAGAAGCAATCAATCAATCAGATTCAAAACTCTCCACCATGGCCAAGACCAAAGAGCTCTCCAAGGATGTCAGGGACAAGATTGTAGA